GGATTGATGAAAATTATGCAAATTATACTAATTTGAACATATAAAAATTCGGCTCAAAACTAATTAGGACAAATAAAATTCGATAAAATTTAAATTATGACTAATGATTTTTAGAACATAATCATGCGTTCCGAAATTGCATTTTTGATTGTAATTTCTGAGAAAGTACTGTTACAGTTTTTTGTGAAAAAAGTGCTCATATTTAATTTATTGACATGAAATTTTTTTTCATTATTTTAACTCGAAAAAAGTTTTAGCTGGTGTATTTCTTGCTGATAATCAATTATCCATAAAGAAAAAAGCATTTTACCTTCTTGTTTTCAAGAAAAGGCTGTTGGTAATTTTCCAAAAGTTTAGTTTCAATAGAGATGGCGCTGCCTCATTTGGACCTGGCCTTAAAAAATACACGAAGAAGGAATATTCAATTCTAAAAATTTTCTGCACTATTTTGTATAGAAATATATTAATAAAGTTTTCTCTCCATGAAATTTTTTTTTTCGAATTCCAATTATTTTGTCAATTACGTTCAGATTTGTAAGACGCATTTTCATCATATATATTTTTTTCATTCACTCTTTTAATTAAATTAATTAAAAGAAATTTCATTTCTTGTTGACAAAATTAGCGAAGAGACATGATTTGTGACTGTTGGAACCATTTTGACAATATTGAAGTCACCGACTCAGGTGCAAATGGTATATACAGGTTGTTAAATTGGTACGTTGAGCATTTGCTTTGGTATCCATTTTGGAACGAAGCTTCTGTCCGGAACAAATACCAAACAAGAGTTTCTCCTTTGTTGATTTTTTTTTCTTTTTTTTTGACTCGAGTCCTTTTCGTAGCATCACGTCGTCGAAATATATACTCGCAGAATTTATTCTTCTTGTTGATGATGATGATGATGATGATTTTCGCGTACCATAAGGTCTTGGTTCTTATTGTGATTGAAGAGACACGTTATATACATCAGAGGAGTTCTTCAAAGCCTTGCAATTATTTTTGATCACCAGACAAGATTATACTATCACACACATGATGCGCAAGAGGATTAAAAAGAAAGAGAAAGGCGCAAAATGCATTCTCTATATATACGATCATTGAACGTTGATAAAAATTTTATTTTATTTACGTAATTTTGTCACGGCAATCGTTATAGAAAATTTTTTTTTTTTAACAGCAGAAAGATAATAAATAAATAAACATAATTTATTTATTAGGTTAAAATTTTCATTGAAAATAAATTTAATTATCATTTTTTGAATTAAACAGAATTTCTTTCTAAAAGGAATTTCTTAGTTAACAGATTTTTTGGATAACGAATTTTTTTTTGGTAGAATTTTTGATTATTTGAATTTCGTTCTAATCAATTATTTATTATTTATAAAAGAATTTTAATTTATCCCAAAAAATTTTGAGATGATAAAATTTTCATTTTTATTCTAATTAGGATTCGAATTTTAAAATTAAATATCGTTAATTATAAACGTGAATTCAATATGTTTTTAATTAAGTTCTAAAAAATAATTTTCAATACCGGTTTCGAAACATTAAAGATATTTTTTTATATAACTTTCTTGTTCTAAAAATTTTTCCAAAAGAAATTATAATTTTCAATATTCTATAAATATAGTAACTAAAAATAATAAGTAAACAATATATAATAATAAAAAATTAAAGTTATTTAAATATTGTAATTTGAAATGCGCAATGAGACGTAAACATAACCTTAAATTAATACATACATACATACTATTTTTAAATTTTCAATTGATTTACTGCTGAAAATATTTATATTCAAAATTTTCCACAAATTTTCCACATAAATTCACTGAATGACACTAATTAAATAATATATTTACTATTATAAGGAATATTTTTACTCGTGCTGCAAAGTGATTCGCGTGCAATAGAAATTCATTCGAAGCTTTATGAATCGTCCGCTAGGTTTCGCGCTCATTCCGATTAAAAATTTGTATAAATAAAATTTTGGACAATTTAAAATACGGTGAATTTGAAATTATAGAATTTAAAAAAATTCAAAACACTTCATAGAGAATTCTGCTAAATTAAAATTCAATTAAATCAGAATTCTTTTAAATGCAAAATTTGTTTAAAAATAAAATTCGAAAAGAAAATTAAATACGAAATTAAATAAAATCTTTAAAAAGAAATTCTTTAAATTCAAAATTAATTATTATCAATATTTTCAATCAAAAATCAACTAAAATTAAATTATTATTCAATATTTCAATTAAATTTCAATTATTTCCCAAAATTTCAATTCAAAATTAAAGAAAATTCAATTATTTTCAAAAATTTTAATTCAATATCAATTAAAATTCAATTATTTTCTAAATTTTCAATTCAAAATCAACTAAAATTCAATTATTTTTCAAATTTTTAATTTAAAATCAACTAAAATTCAATTATTCTCAAAAATTTCAATTCAAAATTAATTATTATCAAAATTTTCAATCAAAAATAAACTAAAATTGAATTATTATCCAAAATTTCAATTAAAATTCAATTATTTTCAAAAATTTGAATTTTAAAGCTTCTAAAATTTAATTATTTCTAAAATCTTTCATCGAAAATTTTTTGTAATTTAAAAATTTCAATTATAACTCTAAGGAAATTCAATTATTTTTAACTATATTTTTATAATATTTTTTGAAAATTCAACTATCTGAAACTATTTGTCAATGAAAAATCGTTTTCATATTATTGTATTTTTTGTTCAATTAATTTCAAAAATCTCAATTCTAAATCTTTGAAAATTCAATTAAATTTAAAAAATGTTATCTGAAATTATTTGATAAATAATTTTTAGTTCTGTAAAATTTAATTATTGTCTGAAAATTAACAAAATTTTTTTTAAATTCAATTATTTCTAAAAATTTCAATTTTAACCCTTTCCAAAGTATTATTATTTTTAAAAAAAATTTTATTTAAAAATCTGTAAAATATTTTTGTTACATTAAAAAAAAAAAATTGACTTTTTCGACTTTTTTTTTTTTTTAATATAAATCGACTAAAACAACTTTTTTTGTGCCTTTAAGTCGATCCAAGGACTGTATAGTAAAAATTCGTTTTAAAATATATTTGTCAAAAATTCATTTGCCATAGAGAAATCTGCTAAATTAAAATTCAATTAAATCAGAATTCTATTAAATGAAAATTTGTTTTGAAAAGAAAATTCAAAAAGAAAATTAAATATTAAATTAAATTAAATCTTTAAAAAAAAATTCTACAAAATAAAAATTACCTTAAAAATTTTGTATATAGTAAAAATTCGTTTTCAAATATTTGCCAAATTCTAATTCAAAAAATGAAAATTCATTAAAAAAAAAAGAAAAGAAAATTAAAGCAGATTTTTTTAAAGACGTTGTTACGTCAAAAAATAAAACCAAAATTTTTTGTAATAAAATTTTCCCCAAAATATTTACCTTTAATAACGAATTTCCATCTTCAAGGAGATATTCCTTTTAAACTAAATATCCCTATTTTCAAGTTAAATTTCCATCGAGGATAGAATCTGTAAAAAGAAAAATTAAATATTTAAACGGTTGATAATATAGAAAGTTATAAAAAATTTCGTTTCTAAATTTAACAAAAATAAATGTGGCATCATAATCATAAAATATGACGTTCATGAGCTCTAAAATTTCCAATTAGTATTTCGATAATTAGCAATTGTTTCGAAAACAAAAATTTCATCTCTCATATATATCAAAAGAGATAAATTGAAGAAACATGTAGCATCTTCAATTTTATCGTTTACAATCCGCGCTTGAAAATAATAATAATAATAATAAAAGAAGAGGGAACAATACATATAATAACGGGGAGAAAAAAAAAGGGAAAACTTGGTGAAACCCACCACCCACGTTGATGAAAGCGCGCCTTCGATCTATAGATAGCTTTCTAGGTCTGAAAACGTAGGTTTTAGCGCCCACTTGAAGTGGGCGAACTGCTTCCATCAAAATGAACACGCGCCAAATTGTGCAACTTGTATATATAGTTTCATCAGGTATATATTGAGAAGCAATAGCAATTGAGTCAAAATTGTAGGTTTTTGTCGGGGGGGAATATAATGATACAATAATTTTACTACAAGATTTCTTGCTGATTTTATCAAGAGATGAAATGATAATTAAGCTCACAAGTTTATCGTTTATATTATTACAACAATATTGTCATGCAATTTATCAAGTCACGATTTGATTTCTTAATTTTCTTGCACAATATTTCAATATTTTTTTTTTTTTTCATTCACTCCAGAAGCGCAATTTTTAAAGATTTAATCAAAATAAATTTCGTTTTCATTGAAGAATTAATTTTCAATTTCGTTTTCCTTATAAATAAGAATTTATTCTAATTCTATTAATATAATTCTTGTAAATTTTTTAAAAAAAAGTTCCATTTTTTTACATTTTAAAGTTTTCAACTCTTTTATTAGACCGTTTTTAAAATTAAATTATATTTTATTAATATCTATAACTTCTCTTTTTATTTAACATAAATTTTTGTTTCTACTTATATTAAAAATTTATTAATTAATGAAATCTAAATTTAATATTTACTTAATTTTTAAAAATCCTTTCTTTTGCCTATATACAAATTAAAATTTTTATATTCATATGGAAAACAAAGTTTTCATTATCCAACATAATAAGAATAATCATATAATTCGTATAATAAAAAATTATAAAATTAAATTAATTTATTTAACAAAATAAATAAAGAACTCAACCACCTTACCCCCCTTATAAATAAGAATTTATTCTAATTCTTGTAAATTTTTAAAAAAAGTTCCATTTTTTTACATTTTAAAGTTATCAACTCTTTTATTAGACCCTTTTTAAAATTAAATTATATTTTATAAATAAATTTATTTTATTTCTACTTGTATTAAAAATTTATTAATTAATGAAATCTAAATTTAATATTTACTTAATTTTTAAAAATTCATTTCAAGATGCAATGTTTTTTTTTTTCAGTTTGCATTGGAACGAATGGCCGTCTTTCAGTGACATCAAACAAGCAGTATCATTATCGAAATCTTCGTGATCGATACACGAATTGTACTTACGTTGATGGTAATTTGGAGATCACTTGGCTTGAAAATGAAGATCTTGACCTCAGTTTTCTTCAGTACATTAGAGAAGTCACAGGATATGTATTTATCAGTCATGTCAATGTACGAAGAATTGTTCTGCCAAGATTGCAAATTATCCGTGGCAGAAATCTCTTTAAACTCAATATTCAGGATAGAGAATTTGCACTCTTTGTTTCCATGTGTCAAATGTATAATCTCGAAATGCCGGCCCTTAGAGGTAAGAATTTCAAACAATTTTCCTTTTTTTCTTTTTTTGATTCCTTTTTAATCCATTAATTTTCTTTTTAGATATTCTCAATGGCAGCGTTGGAATGTTTAACAATTATAATCTCTGTCATATAAAAACAATAAATTGGGATGAAATAATAACCGGTTCGGGTGGTAAATATTATTATGTTTATAATTTTACATCACCCGAAAGAGTTTGTCCTGAATGTGATAAAAGCTGTGAACAAGGATGTTGGGGTGAGGGACCTGAGAATTGTCAAAAATTTTCAAAAATGAATTGCTCACCACAATGTTGGCAGGGTCGTTGCTTTGGTCCAAATCCACGTGAATGTTGTCATTTATTTTGTGCCGGTGGCTGTGTTGGTCCAAAGCAAAGCGATTGTCTTGCTTGTAAAAATTTCTTTGACGATGGCGTCTGTACACAGGAATGTCCACCGATGCAAAAGTAAGTTTCCAAATTTTCTGTAAAAAAAAAAAAATTGTTAATAATTATAAAATTTAATTTTAATTTTAATTTTAATTTTTAGATACAATCCATCAACATATTCTTGGGAAGTTAATCCCGATGGGAAATATGCTTACGGTGCAACGTGTGTTCGTAAATGTCCAATACATCTTTTAAAAGATAATGGGGCTTGTGTTCGTTCTTGTCCGCCAAAAAAGAAGGCACTACATGGTGAATGTGTACCATGTGATGGACCATGTCCAAAGACATGTAAAGGCGTTGATAAAGTACATTCGGGGAATATTGATAGTTTTAAAGATTGTACAATTATTGAGGGTTCAATAACAATTTTGGATCAAAGTTTTTGGGGTTATCAGCATGTTAATAATGATTTTAGTTTTGGTCAACGTTATCAACCAATGCATCCCGATAAATTGGAAGTGTTTAGTACATTAAAGGAGATTACAGGTTTTTTGAATATACAAGCGGATAATGAAAATTTTACTTCATTATCATATTTCAATAATTTAGAAGTTATTGGTGGTCGTGTTCTTACGGAATATTTTGCATCACTTTATATTGTTAAAACAACATTGGTATCGCTTGATCTCAAATCATTGAGAAAAGTCTCATCGGGCACAATTGCAATTGTTGAAAATAGAAATTTATGTTATGCGAGCAGCATTAATTGGGCGAAAATTAAAAAATCATCCGAACACGATATTCTTATGCAGAATAACAAAAATAAAACAGAATGCAGTAAGTATTTTTAAAAAATAAATTAAATTATTATTTCTTTGATTTCTCAAAAATTAACTGTTCTTTTTATTAATTAGTAAAAAAAATTATTCAAATACAAGGATCGAATTTAAGGCGAAAAAGTCTATTTTTTTTATTTTAATTAAATTTAATTAGTTAATGAATATTTTTCTTTAAATAACTAATGTTATTAGATATTAAATCAATTTTTTAATTTCTCAATTTTAAGTAGGACAAATTTCTGAAAAAAAAAATTCAATTTTAGATTTTTTACTTGAAATTTTTTTAAATAATTTAATTTTTAAAAAAATTATTAAAATTAGGTATTATTATTATGAAATTTCAAAAAGTTTTAAATGGAAAATTTTAGAAATAAATCAATTTCACAAGGATTTAAAATAAAAAAATTTTTAAAATAGTTGAATTCAAGTGATTTTTAATTGAAATTTTTGGTAATAAAGAATTTATTACAAATTACAGACAAAAATTGAATTTTAAAAGTTTTTAATATTGGAAAAATTCTTTCAATTAATTGAATATTTGAAGATTATTATTAAAAACATTTTAAAATAAAAATAAAAATAAATAAATTAATATTTCAAAAGTTTTAGATGGAAAAATTTTGAAAAAATAAATAAATTTTAGAAGATTTTAAATTGAAATTTTTGAAAATAATTGAAATCAAGTGATTTTGTATTTATTGGTGATTTCTGTTTTTGAAAAATTTTATTAAAAATTAAAGAAAAAAAAATTGAACTTGAAAATTTTATAATTAAAAAATGATTTCAAATATAATTGAATTTTCGAAGAATATAAAAATCATTGAAAATAATTATATTAAATTATTTTATTAAATAGAAATAAAAATAAATAAATTAATATTTCGAAAATTTTAGATGGAAAAATTTTGAAAAAATAATTAAATTTTAGAAGATTTTAAATTGAAATTTTTGAAAATAATTGAAATCAAGTGATTTTGTATTTATTGGTGATTTCTGTTTTTGAAAAATTTTATTAAAAATTAAAGAAAAAAAAATTGAACTTGAAAATTTTTTAATTAAAAAATGCATTCAAATATAATTGAATTTTCGAAGTGTATAAAAATCATTTTAAATAATTATATTTACGAAAGAATTATAGTGGAAATCATTAAATTTCAAAAAGTTTGTTGATGGAAAATGTTAAAAAAAAATAATTAAATTTTAAAAGGTTTTAAATTGAAATTTTTTTTAACTTTATTTGCTGATTTTTTTTCAAAATTTCTAAACAATTGCTTAAATTTCATAAAATTTTTAATTGAAAAAATTGTTTTAAGATAATTGAATTTGTGAATAATTTTATTAAAATTATTTAAAATAATTAATTTAGAGAAAAATTTTCGTTAAAAGTTAAATAATTGAAATAAAAAAGAATATCTGCATTGTACACTGAAAAAAATTTATTTCATTCAAATATATAGTTTATGTAATTCAATTATTTGTTATCAAAAATTATTTGGTTCAACTAAATATTTATTTAATAGTCAAGTAACCGATTATTTGAATCAAATAAATTTTATTTTCATTGTATACGAAAAGAGACGTATTTTTTTAAAAAAAAATTTTGTTAAAAAAATTGTCGAAAAAATCGCATTTTATTAAAATAAATCGAAAAAAAATAGTTTTCCGAGGCCTGCAATTATATGAATTATTAAAAAAAATGAAAATTAATTAATTTCAGTTAAGGAAGGTCAATGGTGTGATAGTCAATGTTCAGACGAAGGTTGCTGGGGTCCCGGTCCCGAAATGTGTCTCTCCTGTAAAAATTATATGCTCGGAAATGTCTGCCTTGAGAATTGCAATATTAAACCAGGGTGAGTAATTAAAAACAAAAATTTTATTTTTTCTATACAATAATTTTTTATATTTAATTATTTCGCTTACTAAGAGCATGGACGAAAGGTAAAATTTTGAATTAATTTCCAAACAAAATTTATGTTTCTCTAACATTAAAAAAAAAATAATTAATTTTTCAGAATCTATCAAACAGATTCAAAAATCTGTAAACCATGTCACGAGGAGTGTGAAGGTACATGTACAGGACCAAACGCTGAACATTGCAATAAATGTAAACACGTTCGTGATGGTCCATTTTGTGTGAAACAATGCCCACTATCAAAATACAATGACAATGGACAATGTAAACATTGTCATGAAAATTGCGTTGGTGGTTGTGAGGGTCCAGAAAATAATATTGGATCAAATGGTTGTCACAGTTGTGAGAAAGCAATTATGAATGGCAAAATTCCTGGCAGTTGTTTACAAAAAAAGGATTCATGTCCTGATGGTAAGGAATCAAAATATTAGTTTTTTTTTAATGAAATTTCGAAAAAAAGGGGAAAATTTATATTTTTGTTTGAATAACAGGTTACTATTACGAATGGATTAGCCCTCAGGAGCAGGGAAAATTGAGACCACTTGCAGGAAAGGCAGTTTGTCGAAAATGTCATTCACGATGTAAAAGATGTACAAATTATGGAATTCATGAACAAGTTTGTCAAGAATGTGTTAAATATAAAAGAGGTGAACAATGTGAGGATGAATGTCCCTCGGATCATTTTGTCAAACCTGATACAAGATTATGTTTACCATGTGACAGTGAATGTCGAGAATGTTACGGTCCAGGATCAAATGAATGCTTTAGATGTAGAAATTTCAAAATATTTTCGGTATGATTTTCTTGTTTTTCTATTTTTTTCTTTTCTTTGTTTATTTTTTTAAATTTTTTTTACTTAATTTTTTTTTTATTACAGGAAGGTGATCCAACGGACAATACAACTGATTTTAATTGTACAGAAACGTGTCCTTTGGATTATTATAAAACATTTCCGGAGGAACACTCATTGGTTGGCGATCCATTTTGTTCGCTAACACCTGCGGCTATTAAAAAGGAAGACGATTTTAATATATTTATTGTATCGGGTTCGGTTGTAACAACAACGTTAATATTCTTTATGATTGGATTTACAATATATGTTAAATGTCGACGAATGAAGAATAAAGAAAATACAGTTAAAATGACATTGGCTTTAACTGGTTTAGATGATAATGAACCGTTAAGGCCAACTGGTTTAAAGCCAAATTTGGCAAAATTACGTATTATCAAAGAGGAGGAAATGAGAAAAGGTGGTATACTTGGATATGGGGCATTTGGTAATGTTTATAAAGGTGTTTGGGTGCCAGAGGGTGAGAATATAAAAATTCCCGTTGCCATTAAAGTACTTCATGAGGGTACAAATGTTAATACATCAAAAGAATTTCTTGACGAAGCCTATATTATGGCAACAGTTGATCATCCAAATCTTTTACAATTACTTGCCGTTTGTATGACATCGCAAATGATGTTGGTCACACAATTAATGCCACTTGGTTGTTTACTTGATTTTGTACGTAATAATAAAGAGAGAATTGGATCAAAACCATTGCTCAATTGGTGTACACAAATAGCACGCGGTATGGCATATCTTGAAGAAAGAAGATTAGTACATCGTGATCTTGCCGCTAGAAATGTTCTTGTACAAACAAGTACATGTGTTAAAATAACAGATTTTGGTCTCGCTAAATTATTAGATATTAATGAAGAACAATATAAAGCAGCCGGTGGTAAAATGCCTATTAAATGGTTAGCACTCGAGTGTATTCAACATAGAGTATTTACACATAAATCCGATGTTTGGGCATTTGGAATAACAATTTGGGAGGTACTCACTTATGGTGGACGACCATATGAAAATGTACCGGCAAGAAATGTGCCTGAATTATTAGAGAAGGGCGAAAGACTTCCTCAACCTCCAATTTGTACAATTGATGTCTATATGATTATGGTTAAATGTTGGATGCTCGATGCGGAATCAAGACCTTGTTTCAAAGAATTAGCTGAGGAATTTGCAAAAATGTCCAGGGATCCTGGGAGATATCTTGCAATTATTGGTGATAAATTCATGATACTGCCATCGTTTACGTCACAGGTAATTACAAATAAATAAAAATAATAGAAATAAATTACAATATTTAATTTTGGGTTTTTTCTTTTAAGGACGAGAAAGATATGATAAGAAATCTTGCCACTGGTATGGATGGACTTGAGTCACTAATGGATACGGATGAGTATTTGCAACCAAAATCAAGAGCTCCCTTACCACCTGGTATTTTAACAACAAGCACATCTGGTTCGCCACCAAATACACCAATGAAAACATGCTGGCCAAATGGAATGTCCCTGGCGACTGATTCGCCAACGCCTCAAAATCAACAGAATTGGGATAGAGAATTTTTGAGATATAATTCAACGCATGGAAATGGAAGTACATCGCACGATCAGGGTTCAACAATTTCTGGACAACATGGACATTATGTTCACGCGAATGGACATTGCGGACCAATGACATCCGATGGCTCAAGTTCGAGATATTGTTCAGATCCCCTAAAAATGGTCGTAAGAGGTACGAATTTTATTAATTTCTCAAATACTATTTTTTTTCCCATTTTTCCCAGATTCGATTTTAAGACGCAAAAAAAGTCAATTTTTTTTTTATTTTAAATAAATTAGTTAATATTTTTTAAATAACTAAACTAGATAGAAATTAGAATTCTAATGCAATTTTGTTTACCCTTACAGATTGTGATGTAACGGACGACTGTTTCGACACGAATATTAGTTCTGTGCATCAACAAGCTCAAGTTGGTAATTTAAAATTGGATCTTCCAGTAGACGAGGATGATTATCTAATGCCATCGCCTCAAATTCCCACCAATACAACGCAATACATAGATCTCATCGGGGATACCAAAACCACGGGTAAGTAAAGAAAAAAAAAAAGAAAACTCTTTTCGCAGCTAAAAAATAATTTTTCAAAATATGTGAATAATTTTCATTTTCTTTTTTTTTTCTAGAACCCGAACATAAAAGAAAAATGAACGGCTATAGAAAATATCCTGATTTTATAACAATTGCCGGCAAGACATCATTAGATAATCCAGAGTACATAATGTCACAAGATGAAGGGCCATTAACACCACAAACTTTAGGCATTCCAACGCCCGATCTTGAGAAAGTCCTAACAAATGGAGCATTTGGCTCGCAGAGGCAACGAAGTTCCGAGGAAGAATCGGATCATGAATATTACAACGATTTCGATCGATTGCAACGTGAATTGCAACCACTGAAGCCACTTCGAAAAAATGAAACGACTGTTTGATATAAGAAATCATCGTGTTAGGTTTAATTTTTTTTTTTCGCGCGAATTATTAAAAAAAAAATATTTCAAGGAATAATCCTTTGATATTTTTGACTGAAAGAATGGGAGTGTTTTTTTTTTGTTTTTTTTTTAAACACTCAATTATCAGTACTTACAAGAGATTCACAAAAAAAAAAATGTGATAACAAAAAAGAAAGAAGTCTTAATGAGTTGGCAATGAAACATGACCGGGACAAAAGATACTCATGGATCCTTGTTCCATTTTCTCCATTTTATTGATGATAGTTCAAATAAATATAATGTGCCATTATCAATGTGGCTTGTATATAGATTGTAACAAGATTTAGTTTTTAATAGCAATTTTACGAATTCGCATTCTTCTTTTTACAAAAAAAAAAAAAAACAAAAAACAACAAAAAAACCTATTATTAAGATATGTAAATTTTTAAACTAACAATTTTACGAATTTTTAAGTATGAAAAAAAAAAATTTTGCGACAATATTGTCGGGAAATTTTCTTAATCGATTGTTTTATTTTTTTTTCCCGACGGCAAAAAAAAAATATTTGTGTATATTGTGCGGATTGCCGCTGACTGTGATAGAAAAAAAAATATATATATATACTTTCGTCTTCGAACAAATATGACGATAAGATAAAATATATGTAGTATATTATATACTACTGCATTTTTATATCTCTTCTTACTCATCTACTGTCGTTTTTAACGATGAGAGTATTTTAAAGAAGAAAGAAATTTCAATTAAATTTTTAGTAATAAAGAAATAAACTAGAAATTATTGAAGAAGAAAAGACTTTTAAATTTTACTTTTAAATTTAAAAAAAAGAAGAAATCGAATTTTAATTTGAACTTTTTTCAAGTTGTATACTTGAAAAAATTTTGTTATTCAATGTTTTAAAATCTAAAAAATCAAACAAAACTAATTTAATGTAATTTTTTTTTTTTAAATCAGTGAACAATTTTATTCTTAATATTTCAAAACACTAAAAATTTCACTTTTCATTCAGACATTCCAAAAATATATTTTAACTTATAAATGTTTCAATGTCAAAATTTTTTTCAAACATTCTTCATTCAAATGCAATTTATATTTAATGAAAATTTTAAAATACATTATAAAATATATTTTGATTTTTTAAAAACAATTTTTTATCTCGATTGTCCGATTTAATGATTAAAAGTCACTTGTAGCAATCTCTTTTTAAAAAAAAAGTTAATAGCCTAGAATTATGTTTGTTATTTATTTTTTTAAATGAATTTGTGACACTTTATTCACAAAATGATGAAAAAAATTAAATTAACTTTTAGTAGAGATTGTCGTGTGACAAATTTAATTTCCGCATAAAATATAAATTTTCTTTATTTGATTCAATAAATCCTAATGATTGAATTGAAATTTACGAACAAATTTTTAATGTTTATATAAAAAAAAAAAAAAAAATTGTAAATATATATAAAAAAAATAGTGTAGAGATCTTAAGAAAATTTCTACTATTGCGTAGAACGAAAGTACTTGAAATTGCAATGCAAAAAATACTTTACTTTATTCAAATTCTTTTTTTTTTAACTGCAATATATTCAAAATTAAATACGATAGTTGAAGGAAAAAAAAAATTTATGTTGCATTATTTAGAAAATACATTCAAAATTTAAAAAAAATTTTTTTTTAATTATTACCGAAATAAATTGCAATTTAGATAATTAAATATATTAAGAGATTATTTGAATTAACGCGAAGTGTCTTTTACAATGTTCTAGTTATTAAGTGGCATAAATTTATATTCACATATTTACTGTGTCTGTGAAAGTAGAATAGTACGTGCCATTTTTGTACAGACAAAAAGAAAAAAAAATAAGTACTTTATAGAGAAAAAAAAGGAATTTTGAGTTAAAAATTTGGAATATTAAAAAAAACAAATTCGATCTTAATAAATTTGGGAACAATTTTTTATATTTATAAATAATAATTTAAAATTCAAAATTCATTGATGAAATTTATTCTTAATATGAGCAGAAAATCGAAAAAAAAAAAAAATATTTCATGATCTTCTGTTCTCGAAATGCCTTATCTTTCCTTTAATAAAGTAAGATAATAAAAAAATGGATTTGTAAATTATATTAAGTGTTACTAATTGTATTTTCTATTTTGTAATATATTATACATAAACGTATATATGAATTAATCAATATAAATATATATATATATATGCTGAATCAGCACGAAATCGAGAAAAAAAAGAAACATGAACGAATTATTAAAAACCGATAAAATTTTTGAATTAATATTTACAAATAATAATTTACAATCCCCTTATCTTTTCTACTGACCGAATGAAAAAAAAAATTTGTAAATTATTTTGTTGATCGATATAGTAAAAAGAGAAACGCACATTCGAACGTTGGTTGTGGAATAGACGTTATAGATTTTTATTATATAAATACCGTTAAAAAATATTATAATAAAACATACAATCTTCATAAATTGACTTTTATTATTATTATCCCTCATTTCCCGTTTAGCATTAAAAAGAAAAATTAAAGTATTTTTTTTTTATTATTTTTGATAGACAACAAAATTTTCGATTTTTTTTTAATTTAAGAGATAAGACCGCGAAAATACCGCCAAAATCTTAAATCGAGAGTTGCAAATATTTCAAGTACAAATATTTTATAAAGACTTGAAATATTTGTTTTTGATAATTGTTTAATGAATTTTGCATTTTACAATGGCATTTTCAGGTAAACTTAACTTGACCCAGTTTTAGCAGACGTTATATACGATAATGCTCCCATAAAACTATTTTTCTATTTGTAAAATTAAATCTCCAATTTATGCTTCTTGATAAGAAACAAGATTGTTTTAAATTTCATAGCAATTTTAATTAAAAAAAAAAAAATTAATTTTTTCCACATAATTTTCTAAACAACATTAAAATCCGAATTGTAAATAAATAAAAATTAAATTTTTATAATTTATCTAAAAATAAATTTTTTTTTTTTAATATTTAAAAAGCAAAAAATTAAATTTTAAATAATTTTAAAAACAGTTTTTAATTTTTTTTAATCTAAAATTAAATTAAAAATAAAATTTAATTATGTTCTCTTTTTAAGACGTGGAAAATAGTGACACTGACTTTGTTTAGTCTAAGCAAATTACCTCTTTAGATAGTGAAAAAGAAAAAATTCTCATAAATCAATTATTATGATGCAGGTGTGTATAATTTAATGCAGAAACTGTTTTGCATCTCTACTATTAGGTTTTATTAAACAATTAATTTTACGAAACGTAACGTCGATTATTTCTCAGTGAATTGCATTCAAAATTAAACGTATGTAATATTAAATTAATTTATATATATATATATAATTTAAGTGCAAAATTTTAGAAATAAATTTCATTTCAAAGAGATTTAGAAATTTTTTAATAAAATGAATGATCCTTACCTTCGATATCAATATGATGGTGAACCATTGATGGATGTTTATAATGCAAAAAATATAAATTTATCCGTTGGTATACCTGGTCCGGATTTATTGAGACTTTGCGGTGATATGATGGTAACAGCAATGCAACACAGATGGGTAATATTCGGCTTATAATCTGAAAACAAAAATAATAATTTTTTTTTTTGATAATTAAATAAAGGAAATTTTATTTATAATTTTCAGAGGGAAGAAATTCGTGAAAATAAATATTATCTCTTTCAATATGGAATTAATTTAGGATTATGGGAATATCGTGATGAATTATCAAAATTTCTCACACGAAGATATGGAGATTCTGTTAAAAGGGAAGATTTAATTTTAACATGCGGAGCAACAACTGGATTGCAATTAATTTTAAACAGTATAATTTCACCAGACGGTGTTATTTTTGTTGAGGAATTGACTTATATGCATGCATTAGATATATTTAAACATTTTCCACTTATGAAAATAGTTCCAGGTTTGTTATTTTTCTCTAATTTCTTTGTAAAAATTTGTTTTATGAATTTTAAAATTTTTGCTATTGTTTAAACGACAGATTAAATATATTTTTTTTTTTTTGCAAATTGTAAAATATAAAATTAAAATTAATTTCCAACAAATAGTTCCATTTAAACGCAATAGCGTTGATCTCGACGCTATGGAGGAATTAATTATAACTGAAAAGAAGCGTCGCTTTACAATTAATAAAGAAAAAATATTTTGGGCAATGTTTTACGCTATACCAACATTTCATAATCCAACAGGAAATATCATGAAACCTGGTATGAAATATTATGAACAAAATATATTAAAAATAGAAAATTAAAAAAAATTTTTAATTAAAATTTAATTAATTTTGAAAAAAAAAAATTTCAAATAAAATTATAATTAAAATAGAATAATTTTTTTTGAAAATTGAGAAAATTTAATTAAATTTTTTCATATTTTAGAATTATGTCAACGTTTAGTACATACAGCAAGAAAACATTCATTTGTAGTTGTTTGCGATGATGTTTACAATCTTCTTCATTATGAAGAAGAATTTCCACCACATCGATTATTTTTCTATGACGATCCCGAAGATGAGAATTATAGAGGTGGAAATGTTATTTCTAATGGATCGTTCTCTAAAATTTTATTCCCATCAATTCGTGTAGGATGGATGGAATGCAGTTCTAGAATAACAGAAAATTTGAAAAATTCGTAAATATTTTTTGTTTCGTATTTATTAATTTTTATACAAATCGGCGAAATCACGTGAGATTTCCGTCGACCCTTTAAATTAGGCCAAATATATTTCTTTCTTGTTCTGTAGTGAAAAAAAAAGATACCTATTTTTTTTTAAATTATGAATTTTCAAAATTTCAGTTTCTTCAATGTAAACCTATTTTCAATGGCTCGAATAAAAATGAATTTTTTCAATTTTTGATAAGAAAAGAAAAGTTTCAGTTTTTCTTTGACTTTTCAATAATGTTAACAAAAAAATTTTTTTTTCATTTTTTATTAAAAAAATATCAATTTTTTATAAACAAATTAAGTTTTTTTAAATTTGGATATGATATTTTTTTAATTTTTTTTTTTTTTTTAAACATACCTGGAAATACTAAGAAGATTTTGCAAAAAAAATTTAGAGTGGGCCAATAAATTTTATAGGTTTAAATAAACATTTAAACACCGCGCACGCAGCATTTTTCGCATTTTTGAAAATTACAAAAAAAATTGTAAAATTGTTAAAAATTATTTTTTTTTTCATTTTTCATAGTGAAATATGATTTCAGATTTCAAAGAAAAATGAAAAAAATAATTTTTAACAATTTTTTATAATTTTCAGAAATGTGAAAAATAAAAAAAAAATTGTAAAATTGTTAAAAATTATTTTTTTTGGAATCTGAAATTATATTTCACTATGAAAAATGAAAAAGAAAATAATTTTTAACAATTTTACAATTTTTTTTGTAATTTTCAAAAATGCGAAAAATGCTGGGTGCGCGGTGTTTAAATGTTTATTTAAACCTATAAAACTTATTGGCCCACTCTAAATTTTTTTTGCAAAATCTTCTTAGTATTTCCAGGTATGTTTAAAAAAAAAAAAAAAAATTAAAAAAATATATCCAAATTTAAAAAAACTTAATTTGTTTATAAAAAATTGATATTTTTTTTAACTAAAAAATGAAAAAAAAATTTTTTTGTTAACATTATTGAAAAAGCAAAGAAAAACTGAAACTTTTCTTTTCTTATCAAAAATTGAAAAAATTCATTTTTATTCGAGTTATCAGCCATTGAAAATAGGTTTACATTGAAAAAACTGAAATTTTGAAAATTCATAATAAAAAAAAAACGTATTTTTTTTTTCACTACAGAATAAGAAAAAAATATATTTAGCCGAATTTAAAGAGTCGACGGAAATCTCAAGTGATTTCGCCCATAAATATATTTATATAAAATTCTTTTTTAATTTATCAATTTTCCCAGAGGAATTTTGAATGGAAGTGGTGCAGTTAATCATTTTATTTCTGGCACAATAACAAGTTTATTGCATTTAAAACTTGAAGATGAATTTCTCGATTTACTAATCGAAACATACAAGGTATTTAATTATAATTAATTAATTATTATTAATTTAATTAATTATAATATTTAATTTTTATTATTATTTGCTTTCTATTATTATATTTCTTTAAAAAAAAATTTCTAAATTGAATTATAAACAATTATTATCTCATGTAGAATAGATTATTGAAAGTCTGTAAAATATTGGATGAATTTCTTCCACAAAATTGCTCCTATACAAAGCCTAAAGGTGGTTATTTTATTTGGATTAAACTTCCGCAAGGTAAAAAAAAAATTTTTTTTTCAAAACTATATTGATTTTTTTGTATTTACGCGGCTGAAATCGGCGTCATCTATCAATGAACAGATGAACATCGTTGAGCTCTCTTATGATAAATTATCATACGAGCAATGATATAGTTTGCTTCTATATCGTTAGATAACGCTGTCTTCATAAGCGCGTAAATTTAAAAAAAAATATTTTCTTTTTAAATTCCTTTTTTTTAAATGTTCTTTTTAGATTTTTATAAAATAAAAATTTTTTATAAAATTTAAATTTTAGAAATGCTTCTATCTCTCAAGAGTTAGGAATTTGTATTTTACAGATATGGATGCGGCAATCTTCATTGATTGGTGCAATGAAGTTCATAATGTGAGCGCAATACCTGGAATTCGTTTTTCCTGCGCTGAAAAATTTAAAAACTTTTTCCGCCTAAGCATTGCATTTCATTCGAGTGAAATATTGGAAAAAGCCGTAAAATCCTTGTGTTTGGGATTAAAATACTATATTGTAAATATGAATTAAATTATTTTAATCTCATTAAATGTTTGTAAAAACATTTTTTAGAACAATATTTAATGTATATTCATAAATAAAAATAGTTCTGATGATTTTTTTTTTTATAAAAGATGTAACAAAAATGTTTAAAGAAAAAAAAAAGACGATTAAATACTAACGGTTTTATTTAGGAGCCCAATAATTCTGTATTTTTAGAATTAAATATATCTTCCGCTTCTTGTATGTGCTTCTCGGCTAACATATCAATGTTGTGTTTTAATCTATTATTTATTTCCTTTGTGATGTGTTTATCATCTTCTAATGATTTAAGATGTTTATTACCAACTGCTTTAATATTATTTCGACATTTAATAAACATTGCTTTTGCACTTTTGGACAATTCTTCTCTATGATCTTTGGTGACTCTGAAAAAAAAATAAATTTTTGTTCCTAATATTTGTCTAAAAAGACATAAATAATAAAAAATATTCCAACAAAATGATTTATAAATGAAATTTTTTTTTCTACTTACTTTGGAAGTGGCATGGAAATTTTAGTGCCATCCTGTTGTGGATTTAAATTCATTCCACTTTTATTAATTGTTTCAAGAATTTGTGGTATTGCTTGTGGAAATGCAATTGCATTAATAATAACAAAATTTGTTTTTCTTGCAATTTGCACTAATTCTTGTAATTGATATTTTTTCCCTTCAAAATCAACAATTAATTCTTCAATTGAACCAATATTTGTACGTATTGTTAAATTTTTTCTAAAATCACTTTTCATATGTTCAACAATATTTTTCATTTCAATTATTATTATCTCTGAATTCAAAAATTGATCAACTTCACGTAAATCGAGTTTCACTTTAGAAATTTGTTCTTTTGATAATTTTTTCGGTTTTTTGCCAGTTTTATTATTAAGTACATTAATTATTGACAAATATTTACATTGACTATTGTTAATATTGTTGGATTTCAAAATAATATTTTGTCCATTAAAATAATTATCATTGACAATTAATTTGTTAGAATGTCCATTAAATTTTGGTAAATAGTGAATTGATCTATTACATACCATGTAAAATAAAGGACTTAATTTCTTCAAATTCTTCATGATTAATTCATTAATAAGATTCTTCACAACTTTTGGTTAGATTTGTTATTTAGATTATAGCGACGTGCTAATCAGAATGCAGGGATGGGTCGTGTACATGCCGTTTCTGCAATGGAGTTATCAACCAGGCTAAAGGTATTGTTTCTATGTAAAACTTGTATCAGCTAACTTCACAGAAGACAGGAGAAAAGAATTTCTCTTATATATTGCTAACTTCAGTTAACATTTTACAATGATTGAAAATGTATTTTTTATTTGATTGTTGTGATTAAGTATAAATACTTTCGTATAATTTCGAGTTAGTAAAATTTATTTACAATCTAAAAACGAGGAAAAAATTGTACAAGTTAAAAAAAAAATGGGATCCTTAACTAGCAGACAAAATGCTGGTGTTGAAGAAGTTGACATTGTTTCTAATCACGCATACAAATACCCTCCTCGTTCTGGTCAGTATGTTAGCAAATTTTTGTTTTGACATTTGAGTTCTAAATTTTACATTCCGTTTTTTTCTTTTTCTTTCATTTATCTTGTTTATTAAAAAAAAGATTCAAATATATTCATAAGTTTATTTTTTTTAATTATAATGATTATCAAGGTCATAAACGTTTCTTTATTTTCCTATAACAAATCTTAAGAAAAATTTATGATAAATTATGTATAATTGGATCAGGTAATTATTTTGGAAGTCACTTTATAATGGGAGGAGAGAGATTTGATACACCACAACCGGAAGCTTATTTATTTGGAGAAAATGCGGATTTAAATTTTTTAGGAAGTCGACCAACGCCTGTTAGTATTATTCAAATAAAAAATTGAAAAAATTATTTAAAATGTATTTTTTTTTATATATTTGAAAATTTGTTTGTCAACAGTTTCCTTATCCACCGCCACAAGCAAATGATCCAACAAAAACATTGAAAAGTTTAGTTTATATAAGAAAAGAATCTCTTCGTCTTGTTCGTAGTGTTGATAATGCTGCAACATCACAACAAACAACTGATATTAAACATTTTGGCGATGGTGATCTTGATAAAAAAATGCGATTTAATATTGAATTTACATTTGATTGCGATGTTAGATGTGCAATTACGATTTATTATTTTTGCACTGAAGAAGTAACATCAAAGGGAGTGATGTAAAATTTATTTTTTTTTTGGAAAATATTTTGCATTTAATCAATTTTATATTTAATTTAAACAATTTTCAGATATGTGTCACGTGATCCTTCCTTGAATTCTGATACTTATCATTATAAAAAAGGCGCGAATCAACAATTTTGTCAAGCCCTTCACGTCTTTGATCCAACGCCATTCACTGATGAAGAATTATTATACAGTAGCGATCGTGAAGTATGTATAAAGAATTTTATTTTTAAACTTTTTTTTTAAAAAAAATTATTTTTCACGCAGATAATTCCAATTGCTATTCATTGCGTTGCTGAGGAAGGTTCAGACGATCCTAAACAATCGCATACAACAATAGCAGTTATTGAAAAACATTCCGATGGATCGTACGTTTTAAAGGCTCTTAAACAAAAATTATTCGTCGATGGACTTTGTTATTTGCTGCAAGAAATTTATGGAATCGAAAATAAAAATACAGAAGATGCCAAGGTAATTAAATAAAAGAAAAAAATTTTAAAACTGAAAATTAAAAAAAAAAAATTTTTTTCACAGCAGGGAAATGGCGATGAAGACGCTGAGGATAATGGATCAGAATGTGTAATATGCATGTGTGATGTTCGTGATACGTTAATTTTGCCATGTAGACATTTGTGTTTATGCAATGGTTGCGCTGATTCCCTTAGGTATCAAGCAAATAATTGTCCAATTTGTCGAGCACCATTTCGTGCTCTCTTGCAAATTAAAGCCCTGCAAAAATCATCGGGTTCAATAATATCGAATCCTGTACCACCTCCACCTCCACCTGGCTTACAAGAGGTAATCATTTTATTTTTCTTTCTTAATATAAAATAAATTTCCCTTTTTTTTCCCCCCAAACAGGGAAGTTGTGAAAACATTCCATCGGGATACGAAGCTGTTTCATTGATTGAAGCCCTCAATGGACCGTACATTCCTCGAGTTGCAACGACCGTTTTACCATGTTCTGAATCTCCCGATAGTCCACATGATATTGCTGATACGGCGACTGCAATTCAAGCCGCTGAAGTTCTCAATCGGTAAGATTTTAAAAATCGAAACAATTTCGATTTTGAAATTTATTTGAAAAAATAATAAGATAGAAGAAAATTTAATTGAAATATTTTACAGAACAACCGAACGAACTCCAGTATCGAAACATATTGCCGTTAAGGAAACATTGGATATTTCTTCGAGAACAAGTGGAACACCATGTACAACACCTGAATTTCGAATGTCTGTTTTATTAGCCAAAGGTGGTGAGAATTCAACAGGATCACAAAAAGCTGAACTTCATAATCGTTCGCCTGCTGTGCGTGCAAAAATTACTGGACATTCACGACAAGAAAAATCGAATCTCAATAGAACGAGAGACACTCTTCGTCTTGTTAATGAGAAACAACCTGTTTCACTATATGAGGTACAATTTTTTTTTCTTTAATCAAAAAATTTTATAAATCTCTTTTTTTACGGGGGGAAATATTTCAGTATTTACAGGGACAAGGACAGGACGAGGACAGTGAAGCTGAGAAATTATCACCGTTACTTGACGCTGCAACTAGTACAGAAACATTGGATACACACAATCATCGAATGTGTGAAGATATGGATGACGAGATGCAAAATGGAGAAAGTGAAAATGGCGAGGTGACTTGTCACTCGCGTTAAGTAAAAACCTTTTTTTAAAAAATTTTCCCCTTTTCAATTATACGTAAAATAGGTAATTTTCCAAAAAGAAGACGTTAAAATAATGAATTCTAAAAGAATTTTTTTTTTTGAAATATTCGGTTTTAATTAACGAGAACAGGTTTCGCTTAACCTTCGCTTGACAAGATGCCCACCCAGGGTGGGCCAGACAAATTGAAATTGCCATATCTTCTAAAGTTTTACCTTAATTGAATCGCGATTTTAAGTCACTGAACAAAATCTTAAGAACTTTCAAAAAATGTAAAAACAAATTTTAAAAAAAAATTTCTTCTTGATTATTTATAACTTTTATCAATGTATGTACGGAGATAACCGGGATGATTCAGATATTTTTTTAATTCTATTTTACAAAAAGACTTGAAATCATGCAGACTTTTCACTGTGAGTGTTTTATGATGTCAAATAATAGATATAAAAAATATTATATTGCATTTTTCATTTGTTTAAACAATTTATTGTTATTATTTATTAACTTTCTCTGTTCTGCACCTAGAAAGATGCAGTTTTTTTCTAATTTTGCAATTTATCAAGCCGAATATAATAAAAGATAGATTTGATGTAAAATTATTAATTCAACAATTGTTTAAACAATTTATTGTTGTTATTTACTAACTTTTTTTGTACGGCACCTGGAAAGTTGCCGTTTTTTTCTAATTTTGCAACTCATCAAGCCGAATATAATAAAAGATAGATTTGATGTAAAATTGTAAATTCAAAAATTGTTTAAACAATTGTTAAATTAGTAAATTTATGTCAAATCTGTCTGGCTATATTATATTCGGTTTGATAAATTGCAAAATTAGTAAAAAAAAATGCATCTTTCTAGGTACACTACAAGAAAGTTAATAAATAACAACAATAAATTGTTTAAACAATCGTTTGAATACTAAATTCATATAAAATCTTCATGTTTATTATGTTGAGCTTGTTAAGTTGCAAAATTAGAAAAAAATTGCAATTTTCTAGGAATATTATGAAGAATGTTAATAAATAGCAACAATTATTTGTTTAAACAATTTATAATAATAGTTGTTGCAAATTGAATTATATATTTTATTTTATTTATAACCTTTGAATTAATAACTACGAAGAAAAGGTAACAAATTTATAAAATTCTTCTACTGTCGTATGTGTATTTGAAAAAGTTATAAATTATTAATAATAAATTGTTTAAACAAATAAAAAATCAACAAAACATTAATAAAATATATTATTTGGTAACATATAACAATTCTGGAAAAAACTGAATGATTCTAAGTTTTTATTGCAATATACAAAGAAGAAAACATTTGGCCCACCCTGGGTGGGATCTTGTCAACCGTGTATATAAAAAGTATCCAGTCCGGCGAAGGTTAAAGAAAAATTTTGCCTCAGTTCTCAAATTATATTCCCTTAAAAATAAACTCAAATTCAAATAATAATGCCAGCAGATTAAAAAATCCAAAAAAAATTTTTTTTCTAGTACATATATATATATGTAATGTTCCTGCATGTATTTTTTTAACTATATTTAAGTGTAGAACTATTATTTATAAAAAATGAGATTCATATTTTCACATACTAGGTATTGCGAACGCTTTAAAAGAAACTAATTCTACTTTCTAATTGTTTTTTTTTTTTTTATACATTTAAGGGTCAAAAAGTGATTGCTGGCATATTTTTTGAAAAATTTTAGTTTTAACATCGAATTTTTACTACCTTTCACGCTTTTAATAATTAAAAATATCGCGACGTAATTTCGTAGCTTTTAATTTTGGAACATTTTTGGAAATCATTATTTAAAAACTAAAGTAATAATTTAAAATAGTTTTTAAATAACGATTTTAAAAAATTGCAAAATTTAACAAAATCACGGCACTATTTTTTTTTTTATTAAATGCATGAAACTTATTAAAAATTACTAGTTAATGATCAGTAAAAAAAAATTCATCATTAAAACTAGAATTCTTTAAAATATACCAGCAACCACTTTGGAGTTTATCAGTGGACTCATCCGCTCATTATTTTTATTTTAAACTGCCAAATGCTATAAAGAATTGGTGAAAAGACAAAAAAATCAAATAAGACTGCCCTGTATTTCGACTGCATGGTACTCGATGCAATTGTAAATTACATAAAAACATTGTAAATATTGGAATTCTCAATCGAATTTAAAATTTTTCCTCACTAGTGGAAAAATTCGAAAAAGTATTTGCTTGCAATAGTGCATTTTTAAAAAAAACAAAATGTTATTTTATAATGAAAAATATTTACGTTATTTTATTTTTAACGTTAAGTGAAACTGATATTATATATATATTATTATTATTATTTTGTTGTTTTTTGTAGAACATGAAGAAAATCGACTGTATTTAGGTGTTTTTTGTAGATTTAATAAAATTTTATTCAAACTGACATTAAGGATAAAAATTATTATTTATATACTTAAGCAGTCATATTCTCACGGAATTTCTTCCAATTACTGAGTGGACCATGTTCCGGTAGATATTTCACTATACATCCATCGGGAGCTAAACGGCCATTTAATTTTAAATCCTCATATTCAGCGCGATCGTATTTAGTGAAACCCCATTTTTTTGAGACATAAATTTTTTGCCTACCGGGAAATTTGAATTTTGCACGACGAAGAGCTTCAATTACAGCTGCCTTATGACGATCTGATGAACGAACACTCATTATTGGCTGACCAATATGAACACGAGCAACTGTACCCTGCGGTTTTCCAAAAGCACCTCTCATTCCAGTTTGAAGTCTGAAAAATTATTATTTCTCCTTTTTATACGAAAAAAGAATGGTTCTTTTAATTATTTTTATATATATGAGGCATTTTTCATATGAGAATACGGGATCAAGTCTCCGATTTTTCTCAAAATTCGATAAAATTGTAGTGATAGTGGTGTTAAGTGTATAAATTTTGAATTTGAAATTTTTCGAGATATTTACAATAATAAATTTGAGCAAATATTTTTTTTTATTAATATACTTATAAACTTTTTTCCTACTAAAAATAGAGAAATATATTGTAATTGTTTTTTTTTACTTTTAGAAAAAAAATTTTCTTTTTTTAAATATTAAGTTTTAAATAATTTGTTTAAAAAATAAAATTTGTTTATAACTTTTAAACATATTCTCCCTCATTTAGAAGCGCGAAAAAAATCATGAATATTGTTTAAGTCATAATTAATCGATAGTTCAATTTTCGAGATGGCATTATTTTTTGTTTTCAAGATATTAATTAATTAACTAATAAAAGTTAATAAAAAATAAAATATTTTACGAACAAATAAAATTAGAGTAATATATATATGGCTCGTTAGATGCGGATTTTTATAAGCATTCTAATGGTGTTTTTAAAAAATTACTCTAATTTTATTTGTTCGTAAAACATTCCCATTTTTTATTAACTTTTGTTAGTTAATTAATTAAATATCTCGAAAACAAAAATTAATGCAATCTCAAAAATTTAACTATCGATTTATTATGACTTAAACAATATATTCATAATTTTTTTTTCGCGCTTCTAAATAAGGGAGAATATGTTTAAAAGTTATAAACAAATTTTATTTTTTAAACAAATTATTTAAAACTTAATATTTCAAAAAAAAAATAATTTTTTTTCTAAAAGTTTAAGGTTAAAAAACATTTACAATATATTTCTCTATTTTTAGTAGGAAAAAAGTTTATAAGTAAATTAATAAAAAAAAATATTGATCAAATTTGTTATTGTAAATATTACGAAAAATATCCCGTATTCTTATATTTCTTACCTATCAGCGCCAGCACATGATAACATTTTGTTAATTCGAATAACATGAAATGGATGCAATCGCATTCTAATATGAAATTGATCTTTTCCTGCATTTTTAACCATGTATTTATTGGCACAAATTCGACCAGCCTCAAGTGCTTCGGAGCTCAATTGTTCATATTCGCCGGAAACTAAATGAACACACAATGGAAAATCCTCGACGGACGCTTTCTTTTTGCCCAAATCGAAAATTCGTATTTTAGGATCGGGTACACCACGACAGAAACGTGACTTTGGATATGGCTTATTTTTACAATAACGATAGCTGAAAAATTATAAATTTAAACATTCAACTCCAAATTAGTTTATATTTTGAGGTTATGTTTCAATATATTGAAATTTCACAATTTTTTGTAGCAATAGAGAAATTTTGCCGTACAAAAGTTACATAAACAATACAAACATTGTTTTTGCTCCTTTTTATTATTTTTTTTTACTTTGGACGGCGGAATTGACAGTATTTAAATTTTTATAGATTTGTAATTGAAACTTACCATCTCGCGGGTCGACGACCCATTTTTGGTTGTTTTTATAAATAAACTAAAATTATATTTAAAATTCAATGCCCTTGGGCAATTAAAAACAATTTTTGATAGAAAAGCAATTTGTAGAAATACAGAATGACTTGAATATAATTGAAATAAAATAGATGAAAATTGCGTTTTTTATTGCAATTATTTTGCAACTACTAATAGACAAACTAGAGGGCACTGTCACACTTTTTTTTGCAAAAATGGAAATGAGAGTTTCGAGACGAAAAATGGCAGCATATTAAGGACATGTCAAAGTCAAGAATGAAAATAAAATTAATATTACTTACCTTTGTATTGATTTTTGCAGAAAATGAAGGATTTCCTTACACTTATATAAAATACTATTTTTTTTTACCCCCTACGTGTGATTGCACCCTAAGGGTGTGATATTTAAAAAAGCTATTCCTATCTTTCTCTTTAACATAATAATAATAATAATTATTATTATTAATTTAATAATAATTTTTTCTATACTTTTCCATCTTCAGGGTGTCGATAACTTTTATGATTATAAATTCCCGGTCAAAATTTTGTAAATAATTTAACTCTTTCACACAAAAAATGACCATTTTTCTAAAAAAAAAATTAACTTTTTTATTTTTTAATATTAATTCTTCTAATAAATTTTAATAATGCACTAATACAAAAAAATAATTTATTTTTAAAAAACATTTTTCTGAAAAATGAATGCATGTAATGAACGATATAAATTTGTAGAATATCTGAAAAATTTCCGTTTTAACTTTGAATTTCCCGGTCATATCGACACCCTGATCTTACAATAGCGGAATTTTCAAAATTAATCCACCTGACAAAAAAAAGAAAAAAATCTTTTTCTTTGCTTAAAAATCTTTAAACTTGTAAAGAAAAAATAAGTCAGTAAAAATGAAATCATAAACTAAAAAAAAAAGTAAATAAACTTAATTCGTAAGATTAAATGAATTTGTAAATTATTTTTTTTTTTTGTAATATCAATGTGAGATAAAAAGATTTCACTTTTATTGATATTGAAAAAATACAAATAATTATTTATACTTATTCAGATAGTATTTGACGGAATTTCTTCCATGCAGCAAGTGGACCATGTTCTGGTAGATATTTCACATTACATCCATCGGGTGCAAGACGGCCATTTGTTTTTAAATCCTCATATTCGGCGCGTTCATATTTAGTGAAACCCCATTTTTTTGAGACATAAATTTTTTGCCTACCGGGAAACTTGAATTTTGCACGACGCAATGCCTCGATAACTTGTGCCTTATAACGATCGGAAGAACGAACACTCATTATTGGCTGGCCAATATGAACACGAGCAACTGTTCCCTGCGGTTTTCCAAAAGCACCTCTCATTCCAGTTTGAAGCCTGAAATTTTAAATTTATTTTCAAAACACTTTTTTTTGTGGTAAAAACAAATTTTACTTTAAATTAAAATTGAGTTTTTAATTAGTAATTTTTTTTTTTTTAAATTAAATTTGTTTCTTAAAAAAAAAAAAAAAAAGAAAATTGTCTTACCTATCAGCTCCGGCACATGACAACATTTTGTTGATTCGAATAACGTGGAATGGATGCAATCGCATTCTAATGTGGAATTGATCTTTACCACAATTCTTGACCATATATTTGTTGGCACAAATTCTTCCTGCCTCAAGTGCTTCGGAGCTTAATTGTTCATATTCATCCGAAACTAAATGAACGCAAAGTGGAAAGTCCTCAACGGATGCTTTCTTCTTTCCCAAATCGAAAATTCGAATTTTAGGATCGGGAACACCACGACAGAAACGTGATTTTGGGTATGGCTTGTTCTTGCAATACCGATAACTGAAAATAAAAAATAAAAAAAAATTCAAATACTCTTTACGTAAAACAATTTCTCAAATTCGAAATTGATTTTAAAAACTAATTTACTTAATTCTAAAGGTTACATTAATATTAAATTATTTTATTAATTATTAAATTATATATTATTAAATTATTTAATATTTGAATAATAATTCAAGATTAATTTCTATAAAATATTAAAAATATACAACAAAACGAAAAAAATGTCACTAATAAAAATAAATTTCTACAAAAAAAAAATTTAAGGTTATGTTTTTATCATTCAATTAAAAATTTACCTGATATTCATAACAAATAAAATTAATAAAATAGTCCACAAAAAACTAATTTTCAACATTAAATAAATCTTTTTTGAAGAATAAAATAAAATTTTAACTCACCATCTTGCCGGTCGGCGACCCATTTTTGACCTATGGTTAAAATAAATAAAACAGAAATTAATATCAAATATAATAAATGACACTTCAACTGCAATTAATTTTCAACACTTTTAAACACAAAACATCTCGAAATAATGTAGGATGTTTCTAATTTAAGTGGAATAAAGAATAATTTTTTTTTCTCTCGACAATTTACAACGTTCACGTGACGTGTGGCATATTCATTCACAAAACAAAGTTGAAAATTGTAAATAAATTAATTGCAATGTAAAAATTAAACAATCACCAATTATAAAAATGAATTAACTTTTAGTTGGAAATAAAAAAATTATATTTAATTACACTATTTAATGGTTTTTTTAATAAAAAACTGAAAGAAAGACACAACTTACAATTCTTGTCAAGCGTGGGTTGACGAAAAAGAAACGGAACTTGCAAGAATGAATGGAATGGGTTGGAACTTGGAATCAAGGTTGGGTTAGTAAAACAGTAAAGTTACGTTCACAACACTTATTTTTGAGCGGGGAAAAATAAAATTTGCTAATCGTAAAAAAGAGAGTTGTTTAAAATAAAGTGCCTAAATATAAAATAAATAAGAAATTAGAATTACTAGATCGAAATTAGTACTTAAATAAGTTTTTCGTTTTTAATATATTTGAATTACCCCTTTTAAAAATGAATCAGCTGTCCTTGTCTAACTTATAGAAAGAGAGAGTGAGGCTTACGAGAACCTCCGAAATATGACACATTAAAATAAGGGTACGTTTACATTTGCATCGCTAATATATGTACAAAATATATATACAAAATGATTTAGTTATCTTAATGCTTCTCAATGATAAAAATATTTAAAAATCAATGTATTTAAAATTTTTCCCCACATTTGCCATATTATGAAAATAATAAAATTATTTTTAAAAGAATTATTATGAACAAAGTTGTAATTAAAGGGGTCACGTGATTTAATTCAACTTGTCAAATTGGTATCAAAAGAAGGATAAAGGGAGGGGCAATTGAAAATTTATAACTCTTAATGTCAAGATAAAGTATTAATTTTTATTTAACAATGCAAATAAAATAATTGAACATTTTTTTTAAATGAAATATTTCGATTTTCTTCTATGCAAGAAGTATAAAAGTTAATTAAAGAATAATAAAATTATCACAAATTGAAGAATCAATTGCTCTGCGCATGCTTTCGGTAAACTATGCACATTGGTTGGCATCGCGTTAGGTAAGTCAAATACTTTTTTTAATATTGAAAAAAATAGATTAAATAAATACATGGAATTTTTTTAAAAATATATTTACACAATGAAAATTTTGCTATTAATACTATTTCTTTTTTAAACTGATTAATATAATTGAAGTTATTTTTTAAATAATGCGCGTGAATTTTAGCCAATGAGTAATAGTCACTGTGAACGGTCCTTTACTTTAAATGACATTTCACACATTCAAAGCACACACGAGCACACAAGTTTCAACATGGCCGTCTTAGTTGCTTTTAGTATCGTAGATTCCTTTTGCCTATTATGTATTTTTTAAACAGGCCAAACTTATTTTCCAAAATAATAATTGAAATATAGTGTTTAAAGTGAAGATTGCAATAAAAATACTCAGTTTTACAAACAAACAAAAGAAAAAAAAAAAAACGATACATTGTTGAGGGGAAAAAAAAGAAGTGAACTCGGGTGGTAGGCATTTTCACATAAAACAGCTCAATACACTTGTATACAGTTCTCGTTCCTTTTATTGGAACATGGTTTTCTATTGCACACGACGAGCAAGCGTAAACGACCGTCCTCAAAAAAAACTTGTTCGATTAATTAAAGTTCTCAAGTAAAAATGAATATTGTTAATCAAGCTCAGCCAGTGAAGATTCATTTCTTCTTTATATATAAAAAGGCTGATATTTAAATTATTTAAATTTATCAACTATCACTGGAAACATCCTTGAAAATTTTCAACACTCAAGAAGATTGATAATCAAAAAAAAATTTGATTCACAAAAATAATTCTCCTGGCAAGAATCTCATGCTTTCTATTATTAGTAAATTTTATTTCACTATTTCAACTGTCACCATTTATTTGTTTACTTTTTGAAAAGGGAAAAAAAAAAATTTATATATATATATTTTTTTAAATATTAAAGCATGATTTTAAAAAGCTGACAGTGATTTTTTTTTAAGAGAAAAAAAAAATGCTTTTTGTAGATTTTATTTTAAACACGTGACGTGAGGTCAATAAACTGTTATTGTTTCCCTCTTGTTTTTTGTGTAGTGCAAGCATTTTTTTGAGAGTTAAAATAATTGGAAATGGCGGAAACACAAAGACAAACAATTTACGGTAGACATCCACCTTGCGCCAAGAATTCAAGACTTGAGGATCGTCGAGCTCGAAGGTTTGTATTTTTTAATTTTTTCAATTGTCAGATGTTTTTAATAATTGGGGTTTTTTTTCCAGACAAGCTTTAAGAATGGAGAGAAATCGAAAACCAGATAAACCAGAAGATTTTGTTTGTTATGAAACAAGTGACGATGAGGAGGAAACAGTGACTGAGGGTAAACAATTTTTACGAACATCATTTAATTTTGTCGATTATGTACGTTCACGTGAAACGAATACACGTGAAGTACGAAGGGTTAATCATGAGTATGGCTCGCGTCATATGCTTACTCATGATTTATTTAAAGAATCTTCGGTTAATTTAAACAATATGAATAAAGTATTTTCATCGCAATGGTTGAGCGATAGGCAAGTTGTATTTGGAACTAAGTGCAACAAATTAATGGTTTACGATGTTGCAACACAAAAATTGGACCAAATACCATCGTTACATGGAAGACAAAGTATGAGTGGAACAAATGCAATTTCCGAACAACAATGTGGCATTCATTCGGTGCAAATTAATCCCTCTAGGTATTTAAAAGAAAAATTGAATGAGAAAAAGAAAATTTTCTTTTCTTCTATACTATTAAATGTATTTTTTTTTTTTAGAACTCTACTGGCAACTGGAGCGAGGAATAGCAACGAAATTGCAATTTATCGATTGCCTACACTGGATCCTGTTTGCGTTGGTGAAGGTGGTCACAGGGATTGGTTGTTTGATTTGTGTTGGATGGATGACGAATTTTTAATATCCGGTTCAAAAGACTCGAAAATGGCTCTATGGCGGGTCCTTAGTGAATGGGTCGACGCACCGGAAAAAGCTGATGTTCCCTCTCATAGGTAAAATTTATTTTCAAATTTCAACTATAATTTTTTTCCAAAAATATTTATTTTCTTTACTATTTTAAATGATTTTTATAATATTCTTCGAAAAATTCAATTATTTAGAAGCATTTTTCAATTAAAAAAAAACTTGAAATTCAATTTCTAATAAATTTTTTTTATTAACAGAAATCAAAAAATTTCAATTAAAAATCACTTGAAGTTTAATTTAATTCCAAAAAAATATGAAATATAAATCTTTGAAAATTTTATTAACTCTTTCCAAAATATTTATTTTATTTCTTTTTTAAATGATTTTTATAATATTCTTCGAAAAATTCAATTATTTAGAAGCATTTTTCAATTTAAAAAAACTTGAAATTCAATTTCTGTTTGTAATTTCTAATAAATTTTTTTTATTAACAGAAATCAAAAAAATTTCAATTAAAAATCACTTGAAGTTTAATTTAATTCTAAAAAAATATGAAATATAAATCTGTGAAAATTTTATTAACTCTTTCCAAAATATTTATTTTATTTCTTTTTTAAATGATTTTTATAATATTCTTCGAAAAATTCAATTATTCAGAAGCATTTTTTAATTTAAAAAAAAATTGAAATTCAATTTCTATTTTGTAATTTCTAATAAATTTTTTTTATTAACAGAAATCAAAAATTTTCAATTAAAAATCACTTGAAATTTAATTTAATTCCAAAAAAAAAAATATGAAATATAAATCTTTGAAAATTTTATTAATCAACTCTTTCCAAAATATTTATTTTGTTTACTATTTGAAATGATTTTTATAATATTCTTCGAAAAATTCAATTATTTTGAAGCATTTTTCAATTAAAAAGAAATTTGAAATTCAATTTCTGTTTGTAATTTCTAATAAATTTTTTTTATTAACAGAAATCAAAAAATTTCAATTAAAAATCACTTGAAGTTTAATTTAATTCCAAAAAAAAAAATATGAAATATAAATCTTTGAAAATTCTATTAACTCTTTCCAAAATATTTATTTTATTTCTTTTTTAAATGATTTTTATAATATTCTTCGAAAAATTCAATTATTTAGAAGCATTTTTTAATTTAAAAAAACTTGAAATTCAATTTCTGTTTGTAATTTCTATTAAATTTTTTTTATTAACAGAAATCAAAAAATTTCAATTAAAAATCACTTGAAATTTAATTTAATTCCAAAAAAAGAAATATGAAATATAAATCTTTGAAAATTTTATTAATCAACTCTATCCAAAATATTTATTTTGTTTACTAATTTAAATGATTTTTATAATATTCTTCGAAAAATTTAATTATTTAAAAGCATTTTTCAATTTAAAAAAAACTTGAAATTCAATTTCTGTTTGTAATTTCTAATAAATTTTTTTATTAACAGAAATCAAATAATTTCAATTAAAAATCACTTGAAGTTTAATTTAATTCCAAAAAAATATGAAATATAAATCTTTGAAAATTCTATTAACTCTTTCCAAAATATTTATTTTATTTCTTTTTTAAATGATTTTTATAATATTCTTCGAAAAATTCAATTATTTAGAAGCATTTTTTAATTTAAAAAAACTTGAAATTCAATTTCTGTTTGTAATTTCTAATAAATTTTTTTTATTAACAGAAATCAAAAAATTTCAATTAAAAATCACTTGAAGTTTAATTTAATTCCAAAAAAAAATATGAAATATAAATCTTTGAAAATTTAATTAATTTTAAAAATAATGTTATCTAAAAATTATTTAATAAATTATTTTCAATTCTCTAAAATCTTTTGAAATTTAATTATTTCTAAAAATTTCAAACTATAATTCTTTCAAAGTTCAATTATTTTTCAATAATTTTCAATAATTTCTTTAGAAAATTGAATAATTTAAAAATGCTTTTTTAATAAATACTCTAAAATTGAATTGTTTTTAGAATTTTTCTTTAGAAATTTTTGTTGTACATAATTAAAATTGAAGAATTAATAAAATTAATTTAAAATCTAATAACATTAGTTATTTAAAGTAAAATACTTATTAACTAAGTAAATTTAATTAAAATAAAATAATCGACTTTTTTTTTGCTGTTTAAAGTCGATTCGAGACTTGTAAATTGAAAACAAAATTAGAAATAATATTAAATTTTTTTATTTTCTAATTAAAAAATTTGTAGATTGATCCAGCCGGTCTGTGTAAAGGAATGTCGAGGAGCACAAAAAGTACGTGCGCTAGCGTTTAATAAAGCTTATGGAGAAATTGCAGCACTTTCTCTAAATAGTTTCATTCACATTTGGGAGGCAGAGACTTTTAAGCAGAAAATTTCTCGTAAATTACCGGCTTGTCAGGAAAATGTTTGCATGGCCGTTCAAGAGAAGGGAGTCTACGCTATTGGCTGCCGATCTCATACTCTACTTTTGGACGCCAGAACATTGCAATCTATTAAAAAAATACCTTCCCGGTTAGTATTAATTGAAATAATTTTTATTGAATTCCATTCATTTTCTTAAATTAATTCTTTTAATCACTTATTCAAAAAAATTTTTGTTTCAGTTACAATGGTTGTAGTATAAGATCCGTAAGTTTTCAAGGGACAGTGTTAACAATAGGCACTGGATTAGGAATGTTAATGTTTTTTGATATTAGAGCTCAAAAGTACCTAGAATCTTCAATTAATTCAAATCGAACGGCCGTTTTGAAAGCATCGAAAGGATACGTGGTGAGTTTTTTTGTTTTATTATTATATTTTGTTTAATAATGAAAAAAAAAAATAATCACTATTATTTAAATTTTAGTTTCCAGATGAAGAGTATATTGATGGTTTTCAAAATGTGAAATATACACCAGCGATTTATACTCATTGTTACGATCAATCGGGAACGCGTCTCTTTACAGCAGGCGGTCCATTACCACCAAATCTTTATGGTAACTATGCAGGACTTTGGCAATAAAAATGCAGGTCTTTATGGGAATTTTTAGACTGAATGTGTCATTTTACTTTATGTTTTAAAACAAATAACACGTAAAAAGACACGAAGGATATATGCAAACAAAAACAGAAATTAAAGTAGATTAAATTGAGAAATACTGAAAAATTTTCCCAATAGAAAATTGGGAAATTTTTTAACACAACAGTTTTTCTTTAAATTAGTTTGAAATACTTTTTACAAAAGTGATTATTATTATTATTATTATTATTGTAAATAGCCAGGAATTACGATTGAAAAATACGATATATATTTTTCTGTAGGCTGACAATTCGCTTGAAATTTTTACGGCTTTTTAATTCACAAACGTTTTACAATCGTTGAAGAAAAAAAAAAAAAGAATTTTTCATTTTGTGAAATAAGTTTTTACATGAGAATTAAAAATAGACATTTTTTAGAGCTCGTTTTGTGTGAATGCAAATAGCTAGTTAAAGAAAATATTACTGGCAATTTTCAGGGAACGGGAAATTTTAGTTAAAGAAAAATTTGTTTTAACAGAAAAAAACTTTTGTTAATGACAAAAAAAAAAGAAAAAAAAAAAAAAAAAACTAGAAAAAAAGCTCTGGAACAAATTTTACAAGAGCTGAGTTGTGTCTTAACAAGTGACTGGCCTCGAAATATTTTACAGTTATTTGTAACAATTTATGTCAGGATGAAAAAACATTGGTTTTAGCACAAAATTCAAAAATTTTTATTTTATTTAGTTTCAAAACTCCAAATAGTCAAAAAAAAAAATTCCTAATTATAAAATAATTTCAATTTTTCAAAAAAACAAATTTAAAAAAAATAACATGAAAATTTAATTGGTTATTTGGATATTTTAAACATTGAATAAAAATAAAAATTTTTGTATTTTACACCACCCCGCACAATGATGAAAAAAAAAAACCCTAAATTCAAAAAAAAAATGTGCGAATGAATCATGAGCAATTTCATTCATGAAAAAAAAATAATTAGTTTAAGTAAAAAAAAAACTATCATATTTTAGATAGTTACTGTGGAACAGTGTGTAAACTGTGATGGTGTAAACGTATTTGATTGTGTGCAATTCAAAGAACTGTTTATGTAAGTAGGTTTCTAAATAACGAATAATTTCGTTGGTGATAATATTTTATGCAAAAAAAAAAAAAAAAAAAGAATCATTAACAAGAGAATTCAATGGAGAAAAGAACTGGAAATTTTTTTTCACGTGTTTCGTTGTGGCTTCGTGAAAATTTGATTTTTTTTTCAATTAAAGAAGAAAAATTCACAATTTTTTTTTTCTGCCAAAAATTGATTATTAATCAAAATTGTGACGTTTCTGAGGAACATTGTTTTTTTTTTTTTATTTAATTAAAATAATAATTAGAAAAATTGATTCAATTTTTGGCAAAAAGGTGTATATATTTATAAAAACGACTATTTGAAAAAAGCCATATAATTGAAAAAAAACCATTTCTTAATCCTAAATTATTGTTTCTGTCAAATTTATCTTTAAAAAAAAAAAAAAAAAAGATTTACATCGAATTTCCGTAATCCAAATATTTAAAAGGAAATTAATTAAAAGGAAAATGTTTATAACTGAATGTCAGTTTTTCTTTTATTATTATTAATGATATTTAAAAAAAGAGAAATTAAATAACACGCGGTAGTCGGTTTTTTATATGAATATGTAATCTACTGCTAAGTGTTTGTACAATCATTGGCAGCAATATTGTGCCTAATCGGGGAACTTTTTTTTCTTTTTTTTTTTTTGAAGTTTGTAAATTGAATACAAATGAAAGGATAAAAAAAAACGGTTGCAATTATAATTAGACACGATTTTTGATTATTAATACATTATATTTTGATCAATCTTTATTAATTTTAAAATCAATTTTATCATTTTACTAGCATTTAATTTGATATATCATTTTTTTTTACGTTCATTCAAAATTTTTTTTTTGTTCGATATACTTTGAAAATCCAAATTTTTCTTTTATTATTAATCTTCAATTTCTTTTTTTTTTTTTTTTAGTGGGGGAATTTTTAATTATTTTACTTTTGAATAAATATTTTAAGACTGATTGAGGGTAAAAATTAAAATTTATTATTGACTGTGATTTATATTTCGATGAATTTCAAAAGCATGACCAAAGAATGATTTTTAATAGGAATCAGTTAAATATGGATTCTCGAAGTTTAACGAAAATTATTTATTTTTCCATTTTTCTTTGTATAAAATGACTTGTTTTGGATTTCGCGATATTGAATTTTTTTTTTTTTTTTTATTAAAGTTCTGTGATTGTGTTTTAGTTTATTTAAGTTTGATGTTTATATGCATGCAATTTTTAAGTAATTTATAAATTTTTTTTTAAATCATTGAAATTATATTTAAGAGATTTTTTTTAAGGAATTACTTTAATATTCTCTAAGTGTAATGAAAAATTGCCAATTTGAAAATTTTTGAAGTTTTTATTAAAATATATTATTTTAATATATTTGGTTATTAAGTTTTATTAATGTGCATTCGGAGAATATTCAAGTACCTTATTTGTAGTCTAATATTTTTTTAAATTGAAAAATCTTTATGTCGTGTCTGATTTTCAGAATGAAATTCGTTTTTTGAAAAAAAAAAATGTTTTACCGATGCTAAAGTATTTGGATAAATTAGTTAAAAAAAAAAATAAAATTTACGGAAGCGATTATTTGTCAGTTGAGTATCAAATATGTTAATGCATAATAAAAAAAAAATTCTTTCGATAAACGAAGATGAATTAAATTTAAAAAAAAGTGACATATAAATTTCCGATGATTCTCAATATATATATATATATATGTATATTAGTTGAATTTATTATCCCTCGATATAACTCAACATTGTTTTAATTGTTTGTCAATATCCGCCGTAATTAATAATAATGAGTTATTTTGTATTTAATGTAAGATGCAACGTGAAGGAAGTTAAGTATCTTATGCATAGAGTTGTAATTCTGTGTATATGTGCTCACATATACAAAAGTACTAATTGTAAATAAACAAGCCAACTTATACAGAAGGAAGGCTAAATTTATTATAATTTAATTAACCGAATTTTTATTATCTCTTTCTCTCTCCCTGATAATATTTCAGTAATTTATTTATTAAGCAATTTTCTTTATTTAATTTTTTTTTTTTACTATATTTAAAAAAAAATTGACCATTGGTATCAGAAATAATAATTAATTCAACAAATTAAGTTAAAAATTTGAAAAATTATTAACTTTTAAAATAGGTAATATTATTAATTATAATAATTGTTATTGTATAACAAAATTAAATGTGAAAGAAAAAAATATTTTTTTGAAAAAAAAAAAGAAGAAATGTCAATTATTTATAAATAATTTATTGATGATAACGACTTTTTACAAATTTGAAGATATTATTCCTCATAATGTTAATTTATCTTAAAATTAAGTGTATAATGTATAAAAAAAAAAAACGAGGTTATTCCCAAAAAAAAAATGGTTTTTAAAAACCTGGAAATACACGATATCGTTAAAAAAAACTGAACTTTGGATAAATCAAGATATGTATTCTCACTTTGTTTCAGGGTTTCCTATATTTAAAATACGATCAACGATATGTTTTGATAAAGAGTGCATAAATATTATATTTTATGACCATCGAAGAAAATTAATTTTCATATCTTTGTGAATTTTTTTTTTTTTGGTCATACAAAAATGTTACACATTATTTGTCAAAGATTAATAAGGCATTTAAAAAATTTACTTTTGTTTTTTAAAATGCAGAAGGGGATTTTTTTTTCAGGACATTATCCATAATTCTAATATTAAATATCTACACACAAAATTTGCATCGAAATGCATAATAAATAATTGGCATTGTCCATTTTACAATATTATATATTATATATATCAAAGGTCAGGGATTTCTAGATATTCAGAATAATTTCTAAGTTTCGAAAAATTTGACATGAGCAGTTTCATTTTTTTTCCCAAAAAATTTTTTTAAATTAACAGCGCAAAAGTTCTTTTTTTCTTTTAATTCTACAAAAATAAATAAATTTCTATTTTCAAAAAATCACGATTGAATTTATATAAAGATAAAAAATATGAAAAAAAAAAATTAAATAACACCGCGGTATTTATATTAAATATTGTATATATATTGTAATTTTATTTAATCGTCAGTTCTGAAATTGTTCCTAATTCCTGAGGATTGTTGAATTTTCTAATTTGAGTTTTTGTAAAATTGTTGGTTTTTTTTTTTCGAAATCAGAGATGACCAGCGTCGAGTGCTTTGTTTATATCGTTGACTAATAAACCAAGCGTTGCTTTTTGCTCGGAATCTTGTCGAAAAATTGAATCCAAAAAATCTGGATGTGTGAGAAAATCAAAGACAAGATCACAACGATCCTGCGATTTGTCGGTTAGATGTGGTTTTATTAAATTTTGAATTGCTGTTCTACATCTTTCCAGGGCTTTCATTAAGTACGGCTTATCGAAACTGTAATCCAATTCATAAAATGAAACTACAGACATTGCTGTTGATCTCAATGATGATCTAATTTCAGCAATTTTTTCATCATCCGCTGGACTCCATTGTTGATTTCGATGCAATAGTCCTATCTAAAAAAAATTTGAAAATTTGAAAATTTGTTTCTCTCTTTAATTTTTTTTTCAACTTACCTTAATTGATAATTTGACGATATTCTTGAGCACCTTTTCCGGTTGCTTTTTTGCCAAATTTGGACTCTGCTTTGCAGTTTTTTCCATTAATTTATAGAGATTATCCAAAAGTGATGTTGTCGCATCATCAATTAATAATGATCTGCCTGTGCCTGTCGATGCAAATCGGCCAAGAATTTTTTTTTGAGCACGAAGACCTAAATCGCGAGCCCTACTTCCGGCTCCTGCAGTAGGGTAAACTCCACCCCCTGTAGCTGTGGACTGCATCACTAAAAAAAATTTTTCTAATTATTTTTTCTGTAAAAGAAAAATAAAAAAAAAATTTTTTCTTCTGTAAATTATTTATAATTTGCAAAAAATAGAACATTTTTTTTTTTTTAATTTTTGATTAGAAAAATACTTGACTCTTACTTCGTTCCATGTAGTAATTTCTGATAATGATACACACTTATCTATTTTAGAGATATGCTATATATATATAATTTGATCGTAAATGAAAGCAATAAATGACAATAAACTTACCATCAAACATAAGTGGAAGTACCTTTTCCTGTCGATGATAACGGAATTGGAAATCAAATAATGGTTCCAAACTCAAGCAATGCCAATAAAAGGAACTAAAATATGTGCGAATTTTTTTTTTTTTAACATTGTGTTGGCAAAAATTAACAAAAAATGCAAAAAATAGGCAAAAATAAAAATTTTAACAATATTAAAACAAGACAATTGTAAAATGATTATGAATATAAGACTAATTTATTGGGAAAATAATAATAAATAATGTGACGTTCGATTATGTGGTGAAATTTTAATGAGATTTTATACCTTGATTGCAGTCCGGTACAGCCACAAGGTGATAGAGTAACCAACTTTGTAGCTCCATTACCGCAGTTCCCCACGCCACCTGTAAAATGTAAATTTTCCTTTAATTTATTCGTAATTAAACACATTTTCAAATGGCAAAATAATTCACTTATATTGAAAACATTGTTTTTAACTTAATTTTACCGTCACATTAGAAATTTTCCTATAAACAAATTTTTACCAAAAAAAAAAAGATATTTTTACTTTCTGTAAGATTTTTATTCCAATGATTAATTTTACCAAAAAAAAAAAGATGTACATAAAAATATGGAAAATAAAATAAAATTTCTAATATTTCTTGAAAATAAAAAATTTGTTTTTTTCCTTCTATAGAAAGATATTGGAATTTAAATTTTCTATATACTGGGGAAAAAGGGAAATTACTTTTCAAAAGATTGGAAAAGTTTTAAAAAGCACAAACATCATTTTCAACTCTAAGAAAAAGTGCTACTGAATTATACACATTCTGACAGTGTTTTTCACATAAAAAAAAAAAAGAAAAACTTTTCAGAACATGACAACGAGAAAAAATTTCTCTATTTTAGAGAATAAAAAATTGAAATTTTAAATTTTAAATATAAATTTATTTTACCTTTAGAATTTTTAAATGAAAAAAAATTTTTTTGGAGAAAATTTACTTGTAATTTTATTAAATATTAAATTTTAAATACAAGCCTCGGATCGACTTTAAGGCGCAAAGAAAAAATCGATTATGCTTTCAAATAATTGAATTTTCGAAGAATATTGTAAAAATTATTTTTAAAAAATTATATTTCAAAAGAGTTATAGTTAAAATTATTAAATTTCAAAAAAATTATGGAAAATTTTAAAAATAATTAAATTTTAAAATGATTTTAAATTATTTGTGAGGATAAAAATCGATGAGGAGGAAACCATATATAGACAATATTATATTGGGAAAAGATCATCATTTGAAATTCAAACCGAGAAGGTTCTTTTAATTATTCTGTCATTTTGCATTTGAGTTATATGGACACTTGCATTCATTAACTATACATATATTGATAAATGGAAAACGATAAACGTTCGAAGAGTGCAAAATGGTTTCACATATATATACATATTATACAGAGGGTTGGCCTAGCCTTTAGCACAGTTGAATCGATTTGTAAGGAGCGTCAAGGCAAGCCAGAGATTCTCATTCTCATCAAACTTTTAGGATACGTGACATAAACACCAGCACTTGCAATTTCACATTCCATACAAGACTGAATTCCATTTTAAATTAATGTCGAAAGTGAAGAAAAAAAAAAAATCCAAAAAGAAACTAAAAAGTTTCACATCGTGAAAAATAAACTTTTTTTTAATAATTGGCAAAAAAAAAAAAAAATAATAATAATTTTCAATTTATTAATTATTAATTCATTTCAATAATGAGGAAAAGAACAATTCGACAATCAGTTTTCAACTGATTGGCGTGATTTTTTTTTTTAATTAGCGGAAATTTAAATCAAGTTTATTCTCTTAAAGAGAGTAAATAACTAGGATTCTTTTAGGCACCTGCTTTGACTGACAACCGGTTATATTCTTTGAGAATAGCATTAATTAAACTCAATTTCGCATAACGGTTTTGGATAAAAATGCACAAATGAAGATATTGAGAAGAATTCTATCTCATTAATAACGAATCCCTTGTTGAAATTAATTGAATAAATTTTTATCAATAATTTTTCGAAAATATTAACAAATTTTGAAAAATAGAAATTAATTTTCGAAAATTCGAAATAAATTTATTTTTCCTATATAAATATATAGAAAATGTGAAGTTGACTCATCCTTTGAATTCCAATATAGTGCAGCTGTCCTTTTTAACTGTTGCACGAGAAGCAACAGCTGTACGGTCAGCACCCCTAATCGTTAATTCGTGCACTTTTTCATCATTGAAAATACAAAACAGCACACCAGCTGCCTTTTTCAAAAGAGTACAAGTTATTATATTCTTCTTTTGATAAAAAAAATTAATAAATTTTTCTCTTCAAAATAAAATATTAATTCATAAAAAAAATAATCCCAAAAGGAAAATTTCTCCTGAAAAAAAAAAATTAATAAAAATGTTTCATAAATAAATTATTGAACTTTAATAATGAAGACAGGTTGTCTTGAAAGTTCAGTAAGATAATTTAATTTTGTTAGTTAGAAACTGTGAGTCTTCTTTTGTATGTGAACCTATATAAACACAATCAAAGTATAATTATCCAACCAACTAAAAGCCTCTCACACGAAACCTCTCTCTCAAGTTTATTTAACTTTATTTTTCCTTTTTTTTTATTTTCACATGGAAAAAACTTTCTTTATAACAATTTTTCCCATTCTCTAGAGGAAAAAATTTCCTTGAAAAACTGTCACAAGGACAATAATATAATTTATTATTATTATCGTTAAATATCACTTTTTTTATGGAAAAATAATTTTTTAATTAATTAACGATTATAAAAGACTCGAATTTTTTTTCTTTCTTCAAAATTTGTAATTTCTTTTCACTTAAGTCAAGATTGTTGTAAAATAATTTTTTTTTTAGATTTCTGTTTACTATTATCGCCCACTTGTATTAAGATAATTATCTATTCGTGTCCCACGCACGTTTTTCTTATATATTACAATAATCATCAATTGATGTCAATGCCAAATTATTATTTTTTAAAAAAATGTGTTCAAAAAAATTTTTTCTGAAGCGAATAAAATTAATTCAATGAAAAAAAAATTGAAAATTAATTTTTAGACCGAAAACAATTTTTTTTTCTTTTTAATTCATGAAATTTAAAATTGAATTTTGATTTTTTATTTTTCAATTTAAAAAAAAGGTTACGATCTAGTTTCTATTAGTAATTATAATTATGCGGTCAGTTCATGTATTCGTATTTGAGTAAAATGAAGAATCTGTTCATAATAAGTCGGTTGGAAATTTTTAAGAGACGTTTAGAGTTTAATAGAGCAATAATAGTTTATTTTCAAGTATTATTAAATTCTATAATTTTTTTTTTTTTCTATTCAACCATTTTTTTTTCTTATACTGAAAATCTAATTTTAGTAAAATTGAACAATTAAACAAATTGTTTTCACAAAATGCAAATAAAAGAAAAAAAAAACATTTCCCTTTACAGTTGGTTTGTCAAGACAAATTGGAATTTTATTAAAGAATACTCTCTCTCTCTCTTTCTAATAGTGAATCACTTGTTGAATCATCCAATAATACATTGTCAGATTAGAATTTTTAACAGTTTCAAATTTTTTTTCAATTATCAACCAATTTTTTTTAAATAAAATTTTTAAAATAATTTTTATTAAAAAAGAAAAGTTGATTTATATTAAATTTTTTTTGCAAAATATTTATGTAGAAATGTATTATAAATAAATTTATTTATTTACCCGTTAACAAATTATTTGTTTATTCAAATAAATAAATAAAGGTATTTACTTAAATTAAAAAAAATTATCTATTTTAATATTTGAAATTTTCTTTTACTTAAAAAAAAGAAAAGAAAATAATTTCTTATAAATGAAAAAATATAATTCCTTTTTTTTTCTTTTCCCAATGATTTTTTCACGATTAATTATTATGGAAAAATAGAAAAAAATTCCAAAAGACATTATGGAAAAATTGCAAAAATAATTATCGATCTTTCATGTGTGCTAATTCTAAGAAAGGACATTGATTTTCAAAGTAATTGTATTCGGGAAGGTTAACGAGTCACGTAATGTTTCAACAAAACTTTGTTATCGCAATTCCATTATTTTCTTCAATATATATATATATGTATATACATATAGAACTTGAAAATTACAAGCGCAGTAAAATATAATACGAGAAATACCGCTTCCGGTAGCGATGACTAAATGGATATAATTAAGTCAGTATACATATGGTCAAGTCTACATTCTTTTCTCTTTTTTTTGTAAATTAACAGTTCATGAGTCGAGACGGATGCTCTCAAGAAATTTATATTCATCAATAAAAATATTCTCCAATCAAATAAAATTTTTTTGCCCTGTTTAAAGAAAATTGCAATAATTTAGTTTTCAAATTCAAAAATGTTTATTATTGTTTATAATGAAATTAATAAATTATATAGAATTTTTATTTTAATTAAATCTTACTTTGATTGTTAAATTTTTTTTTAATCAATTTTTGAAATTACTATAGCTGTATTGAAATTACATTTTTTTCATTAAAAAGAAATTAAGTAAAAAATTGAAATTTAATTACAATGAAATACTTTTCATCAAGTTCTGAATCTTTTTTCTACATAAACATAAAAGAGAAAAATTTTAATATCGAAAATAATTTTCAATGAAAAATTAAATTAATTTTTACTTAAAAAAATAAGTCGAGTCTTTTTTTTAACGATAAAATTTTAATTATTTTGCCTCTCAAATTAAAGTGTTTGTTAAATTAAAAATATTTTATATTAAAAATAATTTTTAAAAAAAGAAATAAAACTAACCTTTGTGGGGGAAAAGGTCGTAAAGACGACCTGTACCTGATGAAGAAAATTTCCGAAATTCAAAAAAAAAAATTATAACACTTTTTTGTTAAAAATAATCCCAAATAATGATGACACTTTCATGACAATGTGGACACACTTTTTCAAATTGGAATTGATTTTTTTTAATAGGCAATTTTAGTTGTTTATTTGCCAACAGGTAAAATATAATCAAGTGTCAAATAACTGAGAACCACAATATCCATTCATCCGCAATGAATGACGAACGTTCGTCGTCTGCAGTAGAAACAATTTTCTGTTATGATCTGCGAACCCACCCCGGTTTCCATGGATTCATTCTCCCGGATGGTGGGGGAGACATGTGCCAATTGGAGCGACTTTGTCTCGTGCTCTCTCATGTCAAGAAAATTATTTTGCTGAAACAAACTTTTTTTCAAAAAAAAAAAAAAAAGAAAGAAAAATTATTAATAAATTACATTTAATATAAACAATTATTTCCCTTGTAAGAATCTTTTTTCATATTGAATGAAAATATTTTCGAATTTTCTGAAAATAAAAAATTTAACTAATTATTAAATAGTTTAATATTATAAATTTTTAAATGTTAAATAATTTTATTATTATTTAATATTTTATAATCATTTTTTTTTCTATAAATTTTCTAAATAAAAAGTAATTAAAAATATTAAATATTGTAAAATAAAAAAATTGTTTTTGAATTAAAATAACAGAATGATAATAAAAAGATATGAATTTCAAACGTTGCTCCTTAAAAAAGAATTCAAGTTCTATAAGTGTGAGAAATTTTATTAAAGCGATAAATTGGATTTCATAATTCTGTCAAGTTTCCTAAAACTTTTTCTTTTAAAAGGAGAAAAAAAAGTTTATCATTTGCTTCAATATTTTGATTTAAATATTTAATTTTATTTAAATTCCAAATGAATATTCACATTCTAATATTTATTTCCATTTCAAATTTGAATTTTCACTAAAAAAAATATGAATATTAAAAATTACAATATTACGAGTTATTGGATTTTAAAAGATTTTTAAATAATATTTTTAGAAGGGTCTCACAGTCATTAAACTCAATTTCCCTTCATATTTTCCTTGTCAATGAATTCTTTACTACAAAAAGAAAAAACATTTCTAATATTAAGCGAAAAACAAAACTTTGAAAGTAATACTTTAACTTAAAGCAATTAAAATTAATTTTTATTATGTTTAATTAAAAAGTAAAAAAAAGATTTTTTTAAAAAAATTCAAAATATCATTACTTTTCGTGTTTATTGCAACATTGTTATCTATCACAAAACAACATTTCATTCTTATATTGTTGTTTGAGGACAAAAATTTTTTATACGTAGCTTTTAACATCATTTTTTCTTTTTTTTTTTTGTATTTCTCAAAAAGTTAAAAAATCACGAAATAAATCCTTTTTGAATTAACAAATACATTTTTGTGTATATTAATTGACAAATGTAGAATATATATTCCGATTAAATAGAATTAAATTGTGCCATTCAAATAATTATTAAAATAGCGTATAAAAATAAAATATTGTAAATTAAAAAAATTAATCTATAATTTTTTGAGAGAAAAAACACATGTGTCTAAATATCTAAAAAAAAAAAAAATTCTCTAATTTATAAACTTTTGTATATATTATATAGTATTGAAAAAAGAAATACTGAAGAATTTTCTTTTTAGATGAAAAAATATTTTTCGCAAAAAAATTCGGGTAACAAATTTTCTGTTACCTGTTTTTTTTTTTTTTTGTTCTGTGCGCATTATTTTAATATTTGGTATTTAATCACGTATTTCGCCATTTTTTGTGAATCTCTTGTAAATGTACGTAGGCTCGACGAGAAACATTGAGAGCTGCGTACATCGGACATAAACTCGGTTCACCTAAGAGGCTCAAACCGCTCAGACCTGGGCAATAAATTTAATTTCAGTTTTTTTTCTCCAAAGTCTGTGGGTTCTTTATTTTTTTCTAGTAAAAATTAAAATAAATAAATTACCTAAATATGTATGAAGTGGATCAGCAAAAACATATTGAAATTTGGCAAATCCTCCCACAACAGTATCCTGTGTACTTAGGACAAAATTTCGATTCTCATCGGAATTCGATAAATGACTAACGTTCAACATTTGTAATGTGGCTCCAATCCAAAAACTGTAACACGTATCGGAAGGTTTACCAGGCCTGCCATGAAAACCTCCATCCTGCCTCATAATGCACCATCTTCTTAATCTATTCAATTGTTTATCCGACAAAATATCCAGTTTGTCCATTAAAAAAAGACTCGCAATGGCACAAAATGTCGAACCACCATGTGATTCCAAACCAGGAGCCTGACCAATTGCTCCGTCATAGGACTAAATAAATTTATAATTTAAGAAAAATTTTCTATTTTTTAGTTTTTTTAATGAATTTAAAAAAGAACTTACTATGCTTCTTAAAATATAATCAACAGCCTTTTGAACATTAATACCCGTCCAATCGTCCAATATATGCGAAACACAACAAGCGCAATAGAGAAATCTCATATCACTTTCACAGCCAGTTATCATTCCAGAGAATGATCCATCAGAATTTTGACAAGCTCCAATACCATCGACAAGTGATTTACGATTGACACGCGATAAATCATCGCCAAGAATTAATAATGCCGCCAATCCTGTATATGTCATTGCCAAATGGCCATTAATATAATCACAAGCATCAATTGGCAATGTTGTTGATGCTAAAAATCCCGATTTTTCACCAGCATTTGAAATTTGTAATTTATATATCCAATCGATTGCTGAATTTTTTTCCTCATCAGAAAATTCATTTAATGAATCAAGAATATCAAGACCCGATATTGCAAAATATGCAATTGTCAATCTTGTTGAGTCCATTGATGCACAATTGCTTGGCAACATTTGTAAAATTCTGCGAAAATATTTCGCGTGTAACGCCTTAACGACTTGTTGAGTCATGATTTTTCTTCTTTTTTTTATCCACTCTTAAACGAATAAAGTTGAAAATTCAAATTTTTTTTTTTAAATTTCCCCTCCTGTAATTTTATATATATTCTAAATTATTCATTAAACTTAAAAAAGAAAGGGTAATTAAAATAGTTTCATTTAACCAAAAAAAATTATTTTACAGAAAATAAATTTATTTTCAAAATATTTATTGATATATAATAAATAATAATTATAATTAATATTAATTTTCCATTCTCTTTAACTAATGATAAAAAAAAAAATTTATTATTAAATAAGGTAAGGGGGGTTGAGTTCTTTATTTATTTGTTTAATAAATTAATTTAATTTTATAATTTTTTATTATACGAGTTATATGATTGTTCTTATTATGTTGATTAATGAAAACTTTGTTTTCCATATGAATATGAAAATTTTAATTTGTATAGGCAAAAGAAAGGATTTTTAAAAATTAAGTAAGTATTAAATTTAGATTTCATAAATTAATAAATTTTTAATATAAAAGGAATAAAATTTATATTAGTAGAAAGATAAGTTAAATAATAAAATATTAAATTTAAAAGGGTTCAATAAAAGAGTAGGAAAATATAAAATATAATTAATATAAAATGTAGTAAATTTTATTATTTAAATAAATAATAATAATAATTAAATTTATTATTTTTCGAAAAATAAATCAACAGAAAATACACTACAGAATAAAAAAAAAAATTAAAAGAAGATAATTAGTTCAAAATTTAATAATACTTTTAAAAATAGATACAATTTTCTCTTGTTAAAAAGATTTTTTTTTTTATTTTATTTGAATAGCCAAAAGTTCTGAACGTTCAAAATGAACGAAATATTATTTTCAATCTATAAATTATTATGACAATAAACCAAATTAATAAAATTAATATATTTCTTTTTAGATTAAAACAATATTTTATAATAAAATTTGTACTTAAAGAAGTTGCAAAAAGAATTTCGTTCATTCAAAACTTTTGGCTCATTTTTATTTTGAATAAACATATATATTAGGTTTAAAAATTACCTTTACAGAATTATCATTTTTCAATTGTCAATAAAATCACTAATCATAAAAATTTCACTTTCCAATGGTAAATTTATCACTGTTGCGCTATTAAAATTCATAATGTCAGAAAAATTAATATTTATTTATAGAGATGCTATATAAAATTCGCCGAATGTTATATAGTCATGTAGACATATAGGTTATGTTTCTTATTGAAAATATACAAAATCAAATGTAATTTATTCGATATTTCGATGTAGCGTTGAATTGTAAGTATAATAATGTTAAAATTAACTTTTCATGTAATCACTCTATTTTAAATTGAACCGGTGGTATTAAACTATATTTAAATGAGAAAATAATTTTAAAATACTCTTGTTTTGGAATTAATTTACTGATTATTCAGAACAGAGATGGGTAAATGTAACAAACTCGTATGTAATAATACGTATGTCAGGTATTAAAATTGTCCAACGGACTTAAAGTTCTATACACACTGTCTTTTCGACTCATAATTGAACTATTCATCCCTGCTTAATGATGACTACACCACTCTGATGTTAGCGAATTTTAGTTCTTTAGTAACTGCACCCTGGCAGTAACGGACGGAATCGCGCCAAAAAATTCTAGTTGTGAAAATTTAACTTGTTTTTCGTTAATCGAAGAAGTTATTAATTGGTGTTAAGTGTGTTAAGTGAATTAAAAGTGTGGTATATTGAAACGTTATAATGTCAAAGAAATTATATACAAAGTTTGCAATTTGCATATGACTGCGCGTTCAAAGTTTTCCATGTTACAAGTTCGTCAATTTGTCGAAGAAATTTATCGTCTTAAATTATATCTCCGTTACGTAAAAACGTTTTAATGACAGAAATCTTTTGTTTATAAAATCAATAGTTTCGTGAGTGTGGTGTAATTATAAAAAAAGCAGAGTTTTATATGATCATTCAGAAGGAAAAGTGTTCCATAGTTTTTAGAGCAGCGGCTGAAAATATGCAATTCTTTACTGAACCAACGTGGAAGTCCACAATCGGTGAGTACCCTTTTTTAAAAAATAATTATTCTATTATAAGGTGACAATATTTTTAATTTCAAATATTTTACATATTTTTTAATTCAAAAGATTTCTTTTAATTTTATATCGCGTAAGTTACGTAACGCGTTTAACCTACTCAAACCTGTTTAGGAGAATATTTTCTCGTAATTACATACTCAACCCTTAGAGAATTCCCAAACAAACAAATGTCAAATTCATTTTTACTATTTTAATTTTTTGTATAGAAAGTGTTGAAGAAAGTTTTTTTTTATTTTTTATAAGTGTGTGTAAATAATATAACAAAAATGGGTAAACGTCAGCATCAAAAGGATAAAATGTAAGTAATTTGATTTTTTTTTTGTTGACGTATAGGTTAGGAATTAGAAACTATATATAAAATATGTGAAATAAATTTTTATATTTAAATGTATAATTTCATTTATTTGTTCAATTAATGCTCAGGTATTTAACCTATACAGAGTGGACAACTCTGTATGGTGGAAAAAAAGCGGGTCCTGAATTAGAAGGCGAGGATTCAACATTTCGACGATTACCTTTTAATCATTGTTGTTTAAGTTTACAACCATTTGAACATCCTTATTGTGATGTAAATGGAAATATTTTCGAATTAGAAGCTCTTTTACCCTATGTAAAACAATATAAACATAATCCTGTAACAGGAAAGGCAATTGATGTTAAAACATTGACAAAATTGAATTTTCATAAAAATGCCGAAGGTCAATATCATTGTCCAGTATTGTTTAAAGTTTTTACCAAACATTCTCACATTGTTGCCGTTCGAAATACAGGAAATGTTTTTTCTCACGAGGTAATTATAATTTTAATTTAAAAATTCTTTTTTTTAATATTTTAATAATAAAATTTCTTTTTAAACACTAGGCTGTGGAACAATTGAATATAAAGACGAAAAATTGGAAAGATTTATTGAATGACGAGCCATTTTTAAGAAAAGATCTCATCACTATTCAAGATCCAACAAATGTGAAAAAATTTAATCTCTCAACATTTCATCATATTAAAAATAATTTGAGAGTTGAAGATGAAGGTTAGAGAATTTTTATTAAATAATTAATTAATTGGAAAAATATTAAAATTAACTTTATTAAAAATTAATTTATAGAAACAATTAGAGAACGAAATGATCCTAGCGCAAAACTTAAAACAGTTTCAAATGAAACTAAAGTTATTTTGGCACAACTTGAAAAGGATTATAAAGATAAAGCAAAAACGAGTGAAAATAAAAAATCTATTGTTTCAATGCCTGATAAATTTAATGCTGTAAGTAATTATATTTATTTATAATTTTTTTAGTTTTTTTTTTTTTAAATAATATTCTCTCCAGGCGCATTATTCCACTGGAGCAGTTGCAGCTGGATTTACATCGACGGTTATGCCAACGGAAACTGTTCTTCAAGCGGCAATTATCGAGGAAGATCAAGTGCGATATGAACGAGTTAAGAAAAAAGGTAAAAATTTTCAAAATAATAAAATTGAATTTTTAAAATACAAAAATTAATTTTTTACTTTTCTCATAAATTTTCATTTTTCTTATTAAAGGTTACGTGAGATTGGTTACAAATTTTGGATCATTAAATTTGGAATTACATTGTGATATTGTGGCAAAAACTTGTGAAAATTTTATTAAACATTGTCAAAATGGTTATTATAATGGAACGAAATTTCATCGATCAATACGTAATTATATGGTAAGTTAAAAAGAAAATAAATTTATTTAAAATTAACAAAAAGAAATAATTGTAATTTAAAAAAAAATCAGCTTCAAGGCGGTGATCCAACAAATACGGGAAATGGAGGAAAATCAATTTGGGGTAAACCTTTTGATGATGAATTTAAACAAAATCTTGTTCATCAAGGTAGAGGTATTCTTTCAATGGCAAATTCTGGTACACCAGGAACAAATGGCTCACAATTGTAAATTACATTATAAAAATAAATTTATTATATAATAGAATTTAAAGTAAATTGATAGAAAATTTTTTTTGAAAAATTGTTTATTATTTTACAGTTTTATCACATATCGCTCGTGTCGTGATTTGGATAATAAGCACACGGTTTTTGGAAAAATTGTTGGCGGTTTAGATTGTTTGAATGCTATTGAAAAAATTGAAGTTGACAATAAAGATAGGCCAATTGAGGATGTAATATTGTTAGTTGCCCAGGTATTTGTTGATCCTTATGAAGAAGCTGATGAAATTTTAGCAAAAGAACGTCGTCAAGCTATTGAGGAAGCGGAAAAATTGGCTCAAGAAGCAAAAAGAAATAGCAATACAAAAGCCGATGGTACTTTAAAGGTTTACAAAGCAGGTGTTGGAAAATACATTAATATGGAGGAAAAAAAGAAAAAGTATGATAAAAAAAAAAATTTATAATTACTATTTTTTATAAATTAATAATTTTTAATTATTTAAAAGAATAATTGTATTTAATAAATAATAATAATAATCCATTTTTTTTACAGATTGGAGGAAGGAGAGACGAGCGGACTTCCATTAAATCGAAAGAAGAAAAAAATTGTACAACCAATAGAAGAATTTTCTTCTTGGTGATTGAAATTTTGAAATATAGTTTTTAATTACAAACATATTTTTAGAATTTTATTCCTTGTCTTGACTGAAAAATAAAAAAATTTTTCCCCTATTATATTCAAAACCGTTTTTTTTTTTTAATTTTGATTGAAAGAAGAATTATGTTTTTTGTAATGGTTATGAACCAGTTTGAAAGATTTGAAAAAAAAATTTCTAAAAAAAATCGAAAAAATCTATATAACAGGTTTTTCAAGATTTTCTCCTTTTTATTTGAGATAAATTTACTCCCTATTAAACTTATTAAAAAAATTTGTACTTCAAAATTATAATTAATTAATCAAAAAACGGGAATTTTGCAATTTTTTTTTTTTTTTTTGAGGTTATGTCAAAAGGACAATACATTTATTTTTGTTGTTTACTTTTTCTCTATAGGGTAAAATGTCAGAACTATACGTCATTTTTATATCATAAATGTAAATAATTATCACGAATAAAAGGAAATTTTTTTTTTTAATTATGTAAATTATATCATTTCATTATTTTTTAATTGCTGGCAGAAGAGTAAAGAAAAATGTTATTGATGAAATGAAAGGCGGTTTGTGTACATTATTATACAAAAGTGAAACAAGACTCCATGTTTGTGATTTCGTTTAATTTTGCTCCGCAGTCGCTGTCTTGTCGCGAGTCGTGACGTGTGTTGTTTCCGCGTCGTGATTACTGTCATTTTTGTTTTTTTTTCAATAATATTATAAAACATCTAGTGAATATTTAAGTGTATTTTAAAAGGACATATAAGGATTAATCTCATTGTCTTGCAATGGATGATTTAGGTAAGAATTGAATTTATCCACTTTGCTTTAAAAAAAAAAAAAATGTCGAAACTTATCAATATGTTAACCTCAAAATGCAATTATCAAATACAAATCTGTCATATTATTGTATCCCGGCGCATATGCATAATTTATTTCATAATGTTTTTTTTTTATCTCAATTTCTTTAATATCTTTTTTTAAAAACGTGTTTATTATAATCATTATTATATTTGGTAGTATGCAATAATTTTTTATTGCACAAAAAATATTTGAAACAAATTGTTAAGAAAATTTTGATTTCGCATTTTACAAAAGAATAATAAATTTTATTATATAATATGAAAATAAGGAAACAATTTTTGCTGATCATAGATTCATAAATTGTTTTTATGAATTAATTGACGTAAATTAACGGCGTATTTGTGAAAAAAAATGAAGCTGAATTCTGCAATTTAGAAAAAAAAATTTATGAATCTACCGGTGATTGTTCATTTTTATTTATAATCACTGTGTTCAATTAATAAAAAATAAAATAGGCGAAAAATATTAATTTCAAAACAATGGCTTTTTTTTAGGAATAGAGAAATAAATTTTGAAAACTATAAATGGTATTAAAAGAGATGATTTGTTAATTTTATGTTTTATAAATTCAGGTGCGTGTGGGTGATGTCACGCACCATTTCGAATTTTATTTTGTCATACTTTCCTTTAAATATATGTTCGTTTAACTGCACACATACACACTAAATTCTATATAACCATATCCTCCTTCAGGTTGTGACGTAATTTTCTTGCTCCAAACTACGTTCTTCGATAAAAGACCATTTTGCCATCGCACCATACGTGAATTAGTCATATCTTTAGAAATAGAATGAATCCTTCATTTCCAGAAATTCACTGAAATGAGAGAGAAAGTTTTTTTTTTTTTATTTTTGCATTCTTTTTCTTCAATTCCAATATAGAAGTCGATTCAAAAAAATTTTCCATGATAAACAAATTTCAAGATATTTTTTTTTTTTTTTAATTTTAATATTAAAACAATTTTTTGTAAATATTCTTTTTTTAGAAAATTGAAATCGTCACTGAAAATAAATACAGGTGTGAGCTGAGAGTAATCAAATATTTGAATTTCTTTTGTAACGATTTCAATTAATTTGAATAATAATAATAATAATAATTACTTTTCTTTTCCGAGTTCACTGATCCGGATATCAAATATCGCAAAAATAAGATCGTGTAGAGGCGAATGCTCTTCGCAGCATCCCTAATTCTATTCTCTCTCTCTCTGCTTGTGCGTAGAGAGATATATATATAATAAACTGAGAAGCAAATAAGAAATGTCGTTTTGTCGGCTGAATCGGATATCACGTATTTTTAGTTGTCGTCTGTTGAGGCTGCATCAGCTTTAGAGAGCAGTTTCTTGTGTAAAATAGTGTTTTAGCCTCATCGTTATCGTCACCACGTGTTCCGGTGCGTGCGGATATACAATAACTAGACGACACCATGCGCGCAAAGATGATACAATCGCATCCGACCTACTGGGCACCACCGCGATTCTCTTAAGCAAATATAACCGCAAGTGACCCACACGTCTCGATTTTTCTCGTTTTTCAACTTCCTACGCATTTTCTCGTTGACCATTGAAGAAAAAATAAGTATCGTTTCGCGATTGCGGAATATAAGTTCGTGTGTGAGGTGATTATTACCTTTTTTTCTAACCCCATTGACAAAAGCGATAATTAAGCAAATTTTTCGAAACAATCAATTTCATTATAAGTCAACTTTGCTGATTAATTGAATTTATTTCTGACAATTGAGGTTAGGTTGGAAAATTAGTTTCGTTTTTTTTTTTTTTCTTTCAGTATTATATTATTTTAATTTATTATTAATATTATATTATTTATATTGCATTATTTATAAATATAATACAATAAATTAAAAATTAATAAATTATAATTGATATAAAAAATTTGTAAAATACTTAATAAAAAGGCAATTTTTTTGGAATAAATTTTGAAAAAAATGTTTTGTCTTTTTTTTTTGATAAATACTTTGTTTGACAATTTTTCCGCGTTAAATATTCTGTCATATATTAAAATTAAATGAGAAAGTGAGAGGAATTAATTGTTATTTTAAATTGAGAATTAAAGTAGGCAATAGAGTGTAGTTAGCGTGAGTGAAGTTTTCAATTAAAGGAGGCAAATTCCAAGATTAAATCTCGACTTTATATATAGAGCATAATATTCCAAGTTGTTGTGATCAATTTAATTTTTTTCTTTTATTATTGTGTATTTTCTTTGATAAATTTATTTTTTAATATACGCGTGTGTTACAAAGTCAAAAAAATCATGGATCGCACAATGTATGGAAAACTTGAGCCTGGCGCAACTTATCAACCCTATAGGATTACCGTTAAAAAAGGTTCACCACCTGGATGTAAGTTTTATATTGTAAAAAAAAAAATAAATTGGCGAAAAAATTAATTTTTTTTACTCTCTCAGTTTTGGGATTTTTTTTTTTATATCTTCGAAATTAATAATATTTTTTTCCAATTATTTTGTTATTTGTTCCGTCTTTATATTTTTTTGATTTTTTTATTGAAAAAATATATTTGAAAATTCATTTTTTTTTTTTTTCAAAAATAGATTCGAGATGTTACCGACGTTTTTTGTTGTTTAGTTCGTGATTTTGACGAAAGATGTTATTTGTTTGTAGCAATTTTTGTAGGAAACAAAATTTTTTGATTTTTTAACTGAAACAAAAATTAGGTTTTCTAAAAATATTTAAAAAAATTGACAATTTCTATTTTAGTTACGAATTATTTTACAAATTTTTTTAAAACAATATTTACAATTTTTTTTGTAATTTTTTTTTTTTTGAATGATTGAAAAAAAATAAGAGAAAATTGTCTTTTTTTTGTAATATTTAAAATTATTTAGTGGAAATGAAAAAGATGGAGGACAAATTGAGCCAATTAAGAACCTTCAATACCGTGAATGGATGCCTATGACATCATTATTAGAATTCCCTTCTCCGTTTGTGTGTGTGAGAGTAATCAAACACTGATGCATATTAATTGCTCGGAAGTCTTATATGATATTCTTTTATTATATGTAGGTTGGTGGGGTAATCTCTAATCCCACGTCATTAACATGTGTATTTTTCTCGTTTTACGTCTCAATTTACGTTTATATCGCTATACCAGTAACTTGGCAATTTTCATTGATAATAGTTCGTTAAAGTTTCATAGAAAAAAAAAAAAAAAATAATGTTTAAAAGATTGAAAAAAAAACAATGGCAATTTCGTGACTAGGATTATTTTTCACTTCGACAGATTAATATTATCTCGTAAGTGTTTTTACAGGAATTATTATTATTGAAAAAGAAAATTTTTCGTGACAATTTTTGATGAAATATTATAAAATTATTAATTTTTGTTATTAATTGATTATTAATTATTATTATTTTAATATTAATTAATAAATATTAATTATTAATATAATTATTAATAATCAATTAATTACTGACTACTAATTAAAAATAATAATAATTATTATTATTATATAACTGATATAAAAGTTGGAATAATAATTAATATTATAATTTATTAATCATAGATCTAATAATTAATTAATATAAATTATTACTTTTTTTTCAAATTGCAGATTCAGCCTCATTTTTTATATATTCAGGCCTCGGATTACACGACTTTTTCGACTTTTACCGACTTTTTTCGACTTATTTTAATAAAATGCGACTTTTTCGACTTTTTAAAAAAATTTATTTACAAAATTTTAAAACAAAATACTTTTTTTTGAGAATACAATGCAAATCTTCAGATGTTCTTTATTTTAATTATTTAACAAATTTTGAATTAAAATTCTTCACTAAACTAATTATTTTTAATAATTTTAATTGAAATTCTTCACAAATTCAATTATCTTAAATTATTTTTGAATTAAAATTTTTATGAAATTTAATAATTGTTTATAATTTAAAAAAAAAATTAGCAAATAAAATTACAAAATCACTTGAAATTAAATTATTTCTAAAATTTTAATTTTATTTTTAATAATTTTTTATAATATTCTTCGAAAATTCAATTATCTGAAAGTATTTTGTAATGAAAAAAATTTTAAAGTTCAATTTTTTTGTAATTTAATTAAATTAATTAATTATTAATTAATTAATTATTTTAATTTAATTTTTTTATTTAATTCTAATAAATTCTTCAGTTATTTTCAAAAATTTCAATAAAAATTCAATTATTTTCCATAATTTCGATTGAAATTACATTATTTTCAAAATTTTCAATTTAAAATCAACTAATATTCATTTATTTTCAAAAATTTCAATTCACAATCAACTAAAATTCAATTATTTTCCTAAATTTCAAATTAAAATCAATTTTGAAATTTAATTATTTTCAAAAATTTCAATTTAAAATCTTCTAAAATTTAATTATTTCTAAAAAAAATTTTCATCTACAATTTTTTGAAATTCAATCATTTCTAATAATTTTAACTTTAACTCTTCCAAAATTATTATTATTTAAAAAAAAAAATTTTTTTAATAAAAAATCTGTAAAACTTGATTAAATTTTTGCCATGAAATTATTTTGACCATCAAAACATAAAAACTATGACAAAATTTTTAATTCGAATAAATTGTATAAATCAGACTTCAAAAAATTATAAAAATGTAACTTCAATAAATTTTTTTTGGAAATTTGTTCTACTTAAAAAAAAATTTTGAAAATTTGTCTTACAATTAGTTCAATTGTGAAATATTGAAAATAAATTTTCTTGATAATATTTTTATTATAGAATTTATTCTCATTACAGAATTAATAATATGAATTTAATATCTACATTGTTTATTTAAAGTAAAATATTCATTAACAAATTAATTTTTTTTTTTTTTAATAAAAAAATCGACTTTTTTTTGGAATATAAATCGATTGAAATGACTTTTTTTGTGTCTTAAAGTCGATCCGAGGCCTGTATTTTGTAAAAAAAAAAAAAACTAATTTTATTTCTTTAGTTTAAAATTTTAATTATTATTATTATTATTTATTTTCATATTTACGTTATTGTATTGACTAACAATTATAATTAATTTTCAGATTAACAAACTAGGAGTAATCATCATAATTACTAACAAGTTGTCATCATCGCAGTCATTTTTTATGTTGGCTTCTTGCAATTTAAAAAAAAAAAAAAAATACTCGAAAGAATATATTTTTGTGTTTAGATTGACATTTTTATTATACGTGTGCATGGGTCAATATATATATATATATGTATACACAACACAGAAAAATAGTCCAAGAGCATATTATTATATCTAAGAATGTCAACTAGTGCGAAAGTGTTCGGTGGAGGGCCAACACAAGAAAGCAGGTTGACGTAACAACTCGTGGTGATTTTTAGCGGGTCGAAGAGCGCAGGGCCACATGAAGACGGCCCAGTTCTAATCGTCTCGGTCTCTCTGACTGCAGTTCAGACATCGCTTCTCTCTTTTATATACGCGAAAATTTAAAAAAAAAAAAAAAAAAATTTATCCCCCCATTGACTCATCGTTTTTCCTTTCTTTTCTTTTTTTTACCAAAAGGTGATAAATTCTCTTGCTTATAAAAAAAAAGAGAGGGATTAACGAAAATTATATATCATCGCAGTCAAAGATAATAAAGTGACTTTTCTTCTTTTAGCTCCACGTGTTTTTTAAAATTCACTGTTGTCAGTTAGTTGCTCCAGATTTTAGACAATCGATCCGTCAGTCAATAAATTTCACTCACAGAGAATCATTCTCGCCAAAAGTTATTTTTAAAATGCTCAATTCGAATTTGTTTTTTTTTATGAGCAAAAAATTTTTCCTTTTTTTTTTGATTATTTAAAAAAATTTATATATTTTATATTATGTAAATAATTTTGTAAAGAGTTTTCTTTATAAAAACAAATGTGTCATGTTTTCAAAAATATTCTATTCTTATTCTTCTGTTATCTAAAAATATAACTTTTTTTTTTTTGAAGCAAAAGTGAAAAATTTTTTTCTCGATCATCGATAAAAATTATTATTTTTCAATTATTTTATTTCTATTGCTATTTTGATCGAATTCAAGGCCGAATGTTATGCACGTGGTGTTATTAATAATAATCATTGCATTTACACACACGTGGGTGACATGTAAGCTGAAAGAAAGAAGGGAAAAAAAATATATATATTCGAAAGAATCTGTTTTGCGTCAAGATTGCAAAATATCGATTCAGGAAACCTTATAATCTCGTTTTATCACTCTATTTTCCCCCTTTTTTTTAGGATTTTCATATAAATAACATTTTTACTATTTTCACCTCGAAATCTTGAAAGAAACACTTTAATTGTTTAAAATTGGAATAATGCCAGCGAATATTCTCTGAAAACAGAATTTATTATTCCATTTCATTTATATAATTAGATAATTAATTATTGAAAAAATTTTTTTTACACTGGAAATCTATTTTACTTTTTTTGGAAAAAAAAATTATATAATTAAATTTGGAATTATTAGGAATTATTTTCAAAAATGCAACATAATGTGAATTATTCGAGCGTCGAAAGCTATTCAATTCCACCGACAATTTATGTTGAAATTCCTCAAAGACCACCTCCGGTATGTTATTATGCATATATAGCACGAAATAATTACGTGTTATGATTTCCTCAATTTGTTCCCTGTTTCCTTGTGTGAAACAATAAATCAAAAAAATTTTAATACAAATTCTATTAGAGCATGCCAAAAAATTTTTTTTTATACAATTTTCTCGCGTACACATATTTTTATATAAAGATTCATCATCAAAGTTGTTTTTATGTTTCTCAATGAAAAATTGCCCTCTGGGATTTTCTCACATTTCTGTATTATTATTTCATAATTGCAAAATTATGAAAATTATTATTTATGCGTGAATTTATTAACTAATATTTATTTGAAAAAAAGGGGTATTGAAAACTAAAATTTAAATTTTATTTTCCAAATTTTTATATTTTTTAATTTTTGGATTAAATAAAAAAAAGAAAATTTGGAAATAAAATTTATTCACTACTACCAGTGTTTTCAATAATTCCAGATTGTTTTCCATTTAATGGAATTGTTTCGTTTTGTCGAATATGTCTGACTGAAAAATTAATTTCTTCTTTTTAAAAAAAAAAAAAAATATTCAATTATTGTATTTATATAAATAGATTATTAAGATAACAAATCCTAACAAGATGGCAGACATTTTGAGACCCTCGTCACCATCCCTTAATCTTCGATTGGCTACTGCCGCACGTCATGCTAAATGGGAACGATATCTTAGTAAGTAATTTAATTCAAGGTCCTGGCAAAACAAAAACCCTTTGTAAAAAAAAAAAAAAAAAGTTATTGAAGTCTGGATTCAAAAAAAATATTTCAATATCCGCTTCATGAAATTTTTTGTCACTGAAAGAAAAAAAGTCAAATAATAAATTACTACTAATTTTTATATTTAATATTAATTATATTTTTATTATAAAATAATATAATTATTTTTATTATAAGAATAATAATAATAAATATTACTATATAATTATTAATATAATAATAAAATATTAATATTTATTACTAGGAAAATAATTTATTATTTGTTTTTACTGTTGGGATTTTTTTTTCTCTAAAGGAAATGGTATGATGAGTATTTGTAGGGTGAAAGTTCTTTTAGTTGGAAAAAAAAAAAAATCTGTTATTTATATGGTGAAGGATTTCGAACGCTTTCTGAATTGTAGTTTAATGTGAGCGTGAATTAGTTTTATTTATTTATTTATTTATTTTTAATTTCAATGTAATATTTAATTAAAATTTTTTGTTACAGATGCTCTTCTTGCTGATTTGCAAAATACAGTCTCACCTGAAACTACAACACCTGGCTATGGTTCTCTCAATGGAAAGAAAAGTCACTCATCAACTGCAATTACTGTTCCATCATACAAAGCCTGTGACAATCGACAAAATTCCCCTCTTTTATCTCAATCGGTAAATTATTTGATTTTTTATTTCTAATTTAAAAAAAAAAAATTCAATCATTTTTTTGCACACAAAAAAAAAATTATATAATTTTTATATTTTTTATATAAGAAAAATTTGATTTTTATTAAAATTTCCAATTTTTATTTTGAATTTTAAATGAATCAATATTTAAAAATTGAATTTTATTTCAATATATTATTGAATTTTTAAATCGATTGAAATCGATTTTTCTTTTAATTACTTATTGATAAATATTTTCAATTTGGAAAATAATTAAAAAGACTTGAACTATTTTACCGTCATTGTTATAGATTTTTTAATTTTTTTTTTTGAGGTAATTTTTTATTATTATATAGTAAGAAATTGAGGAAATTTGGTTTTTTTGGAGTCAATTTATAAAAAATGCAAAAACTTATTTTATTATAATATAGTAGATACTTTGTGACTTGATATACTAGAGTAGATTTTTTTTTTTAAATTTTATTTCAGTGGGATCGTGTGAAGAAAATTTCAAGGACTATGGCCATCCTACGCGTATTTTCTATAAGAAAATATCACTAAATTTAAATTGATTTCATTAATTTTTTTTTCTATATCAATTTTAAAAAATATTTCTCAACATAAGTAAATTTAAGTAAATTTAATTGAATTTTAGAATTTTAATTCTGAGAAATAAAAATTAATTTAATTTATCCACAATTGATATTAAAATTAAATATTAAAATAAATATTAGAAATATTAAAATTAAATACTAATTAAATATTAAATTTAATTATATAAATATATATATTTAATATATTCAATATTTATTAAAATTAAGATAATTTTTGTTTTCTGTTGAGCAGCCAACGTATCAAAATCGAGAAGCCATAGAGGAAGCCATAATTAAATCCGGAAGTGCTCCATACAATCAAAGCTCAAGTGGAGGAAAAATGCCCTCTCTCAATAATAATTTGTCGGAATTGGATACTCTTTTGCAAGATTTGAGCAATGCTCGTTACAATACTCATACTCAAGACAGAGGTAATTATTGCTTTTTTTTTTAATCGAAATTTTTAAATAATTTTCAAAAAACATAATAATGTTTCTAAAATAAAAGTGTAAAATTCGACAATTGAGAAAAATATTAAAAATTGTAATAAATTTAAAATATTAAATTAGAATTAATTTTTTAAATTACCAAATTTGTAGAATATTCTTAAATTTTGAATAATATTAAAAAAAAATGATTTAACCTTCCGAGCGTTAAAATCTTTATCACACCTGACACGTTTGAGGTTGAGGCCAATTTGGATGAATTCCAAATTATTTTCGATGACAAGTTGTGTACTTGTCTCATCTTGTATAATTACGCAAGTTGGCAAAATAATTATTCTTATAATCATGATTGATTAGAATTCTGTAAAAATTATTTTCCCTTTTTTTTCTCGTTTGCAGATTTAATTTTTTAAATTCTCGAGAAAAAAAACTGATAATTAAATTGATTTAAAAATTTAATCTATTTTTTATCTATTATAAAGATTAATTGAATTTTTTTTTTGGGAAATAATTAATTACAGATAGCAGAGCATCAAATGGAGTTACAATTAGTCCTACACTTCATTCACCGGGAAATACTTTATCACGACCCACTGTCGATTCCTTATTAGAAGAATTAAATACCGCTGTTATTCCAAATGGGTAAGTATTTCTTTTTTTTTAAAGAGAAAAAATTATTTTCATATTAAAATAAAAATAATATAATTTTAATAAAAACAAAAATATTCAGAAGTTTTTTTTTTTTTAAATTAGATACAATTTGTTGGGAATAAAGAATTTTTTATTTAATTATTTGTTTTGAGATTTGTTTTCAAAATGTAAATTTGATTATCCTGAAAAATAAATTATTATTTGAATCGTGGTAAAGAAATAAATGTTGACATTAAAGGTTGTTATTTAAAGTACTGAGTAAAGCTGACAGGAAACTTATTTTTTTTTTTTTTTTATTATTCAAATGTGTTAAAATGTGCTGGATTCTACCTTCGAATGATATACAGATCGATGCTATTTTTGTGTCTTGCCTCACACTCATTATTAAGAGAATATAGAACACAGAAACATCGATCTCTGAGGATTTCACAAAAATAGATAAGGACTGAAATTTTCTTTGACAACTTCATTTTAATTATTTATTTCCTTTATGTTTGGATTTTTATTTAAACATTTTTTTTTCTATTTTCTAATTTTATTATTAAAAAGTAATAATAATAATTTTATTTTTTATTATTAGTATTGAAAAAAGTCAATAATAAGATAATTATTTTTAAAAAAACTAAATTTTTAAGATAAACAAAAAATTGAATAAGAACATAAATAAAATTTTTATTACTTAAATGTTGAGATTTTCGTTTTCGTTATTTATTGCTCTATTTTGAAAATTGAGTGAAACGCATGAAATTGGTTGAAAAATGTATTTCGAGGTTTAGTGAAAATGAAAAATGAGCGTCTTTCGTATTAACTGGCAACAGCTATAATGATGAGATCATTTCAATAATAATATTTGAAAATTTTATTTTTTTCAAAAAAGAAAATTGTTTTTTTTTTTCGATCTTTATTAACTTTTTTGATACTTATTAATTTTTTAATTTTTTACATTAACAGAGATTATTATCCTTCGGATGGGAGACTAAAGGTCACAGTTCAAGAAACAACGACAGAAATTGAACCCACAAATGGATTTGGTTCAATTGGAAGTCCTTTTATACGTTCAGATTATGAACAAAATTTCACAACCAATGGACACACGGCAAGTAATGCCACTAAGGAATTAGATGATCTTATGGCATCTCTATCGGAATTTAAGGTAGGTTATTTTTTTAAATTTTTGTTATTTAAATAGTATTTGCTTCTTTTTTTTTTTCATTATTTTGATGAAAAAATTGAATGAATAATATTGAAAAAATTGTGTATAATTAAATGGTGAGAAAAAAATGATATTCCAAAAATAAATTGGAATTTATCCAGAAAAATATGGTAAACACTTTTCCTTATCTTTTTGAGATATCCTCGCGCTTTTAAATTTCTAGGAAAATTTGCAAGCTAACATTAGAATTATACGCGCACTGAGAGCGACTTTATATACCATTTGGCACAGACAATTTTCACCAATTTGAATATTAGAAAAAAAATTTTACGCTTCGATTTTTTTTTTTTTTTAACAAAAAAATAAATTTCAATATTTGATATTATATTTAGGAGGAAATTTTTTTTTTGTCGAAGGGGATTAAAATTAATTTTTAGAAAATTGAAAAAAAAAAAAAAAGAGGGGAAAATGAAGAAATCGAGAGAGAGAAGTGATGCGGGAGTATAGTAATCATTGACGTTTATAAGCACACTCCTGCCCATTCTTGGCTGGCCAGGTTACCGAAATAACTTCCATTCCACCCGGACCAGAGAGTCGTCATCTTTCCCTTTGCGTCGCCACACCCTGCATCATTTTCATCTTCGTCGTCGACGATGTGATCTCTCCGCCTAATGTTCCAACGTTTATTAGGAAGCCGACATTGTAAAAGAGAAAAAGAGAGGGGGAGGGGGAGTGAAAAGCCTAGAAATTCAAAAAAGTCGAGTGGGGATAAAGACAGTAAACTGCTGTTTCCAAAAGCTCACAGTGCCAGTTTGCAAGCACGCGTTCACATCAGATATCATTTCACGCGATCAGGTCTCCTTTTTTTACGCTCTACTTTTCTCGCACAAAAACAATTTTTCTTTCAAATTAAATTAAAAATTAATTTAAAAATTTTTTTTTTTACAATTTCAAATTTGATTTATAATCAATGTTCCTTTTTTAGATTCACGGAAATAATCATCAACGTCAAACAGTGACAGATTCACCATACGCGAAACCTAACAAAGCAACGAAAAGCTCGTCAAGTCCATTACCAAACGATCAGGGATCGACGAGAATTCATATAAGGGAAACGCATACACAACATCTTTATCAACCGCAATACGAGGAGAGTCAAATTGTCACGAGTACGAGTCAAGCGACTCATATTAAACAAAATCAACTTGATTCTATGCTAGGAAATTTACAGGCTGACATGAGCCGTCAAGGAGTAAATACCACTCAAAAGGGATGTTGCAACGCCTGCGAGAAACCAATCGTCGGGCAGGTTAGAAATTTTCTTTTCTTTTTTTTTTGTAATGAATTTTTTTTGTAATTTGTATTTTTCCAGGTGATCACAGCATTGGGAAAAACATGGCATCCGGAACATTTTACTTGCACACATTGCAATCAGGAACTTGGTACCAGGAACTTTTTTGAAAGAGAAGGACATCCTTACTGCGAGTCTGATTATCATAATCTTTTTTCGCCTAGATGCAATTATTGTAACGGTCCCATTCTCGATGTAAGAAAAAGGGAATTTTGAAAATTAATATCAATCGGCAAAATTTAAATATGAAAATTAAATTTTCAAAATCAAGATACAAATTGACATTTTTTTCACAGAAATGTGTGACAGCTTTGGAAAAAACATGGCACACGGAACACTTTTTTTGCGCCCAATGTGGAAAACAATTTGGTGAAGACGGCTTTCATGAACGAGATGGAAAACCATATTGCCGTGAGGATTATTTCGATATGTTCGCACCAAAATGCGGTGGATGTAATCGGGCAATAATGGAGAATTATATTTCCGCTCTAAACAGCCAATGGCATCCCGATTGTTTCGTTTGCAGGGTAGGAAATTTATTAATTTTCTCTCTAAACATAAACAATTTATTTTCAGATTTTCATTTTTTCTTTTATTCTTTTTTAAACAAAAAAAAAACTTACAATTTGCGATGTAGGATTGCAAGAAACCAGTTTCTGGAAAATCTTTCTACGCAATGGAGGGCAAACCCGTATGTCCAAAATGCGTCGGTGTCGATGACGATGAAGAAGAAGAGGAAGAAGAAGAAGCGTAAAAGAGAAAAAAAAAAAAAAGAAAAAAAATGCTAAAATTTTTTTTTTGTCGACCAAAGAGAAATTTTTGCTGAAAAAATGTTGACCCTTTTGCCCCTTGGCTCCAATTATGAGGAGCCTTCCCATATTTATTTTTCACAGGTGATCGAGGCGAAGGTCGAATTTTAAGCGAATTTTTTCTTCTTTTTTTTTCCACTTTCCAATAATTACGCGACGAGAAAAATTAATTCTAAAAATATATAATGTGAATTAATTTTTCTTTAGCGGACAAAAAAAAAAAAAATCTTTTACCAAAAAAAAAGGGGAAATAGTCGAGAAAAAAGCGATTGGTGGTTATTTTATAAGAAATTTTTGTTGATTTTTGGTTTTTTTTTTTTTTTTGAGAAATCTTGTACGATTTGAAAATAAATGTCAAAAAAATAAAAAAAAAAAAAAAAAAAAAAAAAAAAAAATGAAAAAAAAATGAAAAATTAAAGAAACAAAGCCTCTGAATCGTCTTCTCGACGTATTTTTGAGTGTTGATGTCCTCTTAACCGCCTGCGGGAACAGGTCAAGGTTAATATGAGGGTGATGTGAGATTCAATCACACACGTGAGCCAATGTGTGAGTTTGAGATCTGATTCAACTGTTCAGTTTTTTTTTTTTCTTTTTTTGGGGTCGTGTGCAAAAAAATGACGCGATCGATCGAGATTTCAAAATCCTTTCGTAATGTCATTTTCGACGTCTACTATAAATTAAAAATTAAAAAAAATTTTTAAATTCAAATCAAAATTAACCATTTTTTTGTAATTAGAAATTTTGATTTGATTTTTATTAATTTCAAAAAATAGTTGGAAACTTTTTTTCTTAGTTTTTTTTTTGAAGAAAGTTTAAATATTTTTTAGAAATAAGAATAAAATTTTCATATTAGTTTTTTTAATCGATAAAAAAAAAAATTTGTTTCAGGATTGTAGACAAAAATTTCAAGGTGGATCATTTTTCGATCACGAAGGATTGCCTTATTGTGAAACTCATTATCACGCTAAACGCGGTTCACTTTGTGCCGGATGTCACAAACCAATTACAGGTTAGATAAAATTTAATTTTCAATTCAAATTAAGATAACAAATTTTTAATTTTTGTAAAATAAATTTTTCCTTTTTTTGTTCGCAGGTCGTTGTATAACAGCAATGTTTCGTAAATTTCATCCCGAACATTTTGTCTGCGCATTTTGTTTAAAACAATTAAACAAAGGAACGTTTAAAGAACAAAATGATAAGCCCTATTGTCATGGTTGTTTTGAAAAACTTTTTGGCTGAATTCAATTTTTTTTTGCGAGGGAAAAAAAGAATTTTTTTTTTTCAAATAACAGAGTAGTGATTAAATATAACCATTTAATCTCTCTATTAATACAAAATAGTCGTTACTAAAGAAATGCGTCTTTAGTTACACGGTAAATAATATTACCGTGATGAAAACAAATTTGAAAAAATTTTGTTCTCAAACAGAAATGACTAAACGGTTTTTATAATATAAACCGTTTTTTTTTTTTTTTTTAATTTGATCATTGAAAGAATTTATTTTTTACTAATAAGTGGTTTATGAAATTAATTTTTTTTTTTAATGAAGAAATCATGAAGTTTTCTTCTATAATTAGGAGATATATACTAATTGTGCCTAATGGACTTTTTATAATTACTACTTAATAGTACCTTTTTTTTTTTTTTTTATTAGTAAATTAGATTTATACTATATACGTGCAATGTGTGAATTACGTAATCTAAAGTAATTTTTCTGTACAGATTTTAATGTAATTCTTCTTTTTTAACAAATGTAAAAAAAAATCGCCTAATATTTGATGACTGAACATCGAATCTGTTTTTAATTCTTTACAAAATTGACAAACATAACGAATTAACGAAAAATTCGCCTATCAAAATCAATATTTAATCTTATTATGTCTGTCATTATATAAATGTTGCTTATTTGAAAAAAAAATTGGTAGTTTCTTTCTTTCTTAATTTAAAAAAAAAAAAAAAAAACAACTCTCTAGACTTGAAAAGAATTTATTACTATTCTCTATTTATTTCACAACAAAACAACGTACAAACAATTCAATTGATTCGGGACATCAAAAAAAAAAAAATCACATCATTATATGACGAGTCTACTTAAAGTGATCTACAAAAAATTTCACTGTGCAAAAGAGAAAGAAAAAAAATTGAGATCTATTTTTTCTATTAAATTGTCTTTAATTAAAATACTAACTTGGTAATTTGCTCTTTTTTTACGCTAAAAAAAAAAGTCAGCGCTAAATTAGAGCTTAAGAATCAATATAATGCCACTATGAATTCTCGATAAAATAAGAATCCTTTGGTTTGCTCCTTGTTTCAATTTTTTTTTTCGCCTTTCAATTGAAAGTGAACAAAAAAAAAGAAAATGCATTGGAAAAAAATTAATTTGCACGCAGACTTTGAATAAAGATGTGATCCAGGGGGAGTTTTTTCTTTTTTTTTTAAATTGGCAGCAAATTAATATCACCTTCTTTTTTTTTTTAATATCTTTTTAGTGATTAAATGTAATTTATCGTGGAATTGGTGGTGCCATTGGAAGTCCTGATGTTCCTGCGCTAGAAATTGCTGCATTTGGTCCTAATAAAACTTGTTTTTGTTGTGCACGTTGAGCCTCTTCCATTTGTGCACGCTCTACTTCAAAGAGTATTGGTGCAACTAAAATTGCTGACGAACTAAAGAAAAACCACGTGAGAGTACAGGAAACTGAGTAAAATTCTGTAATAGAAAAAAAAATATTATTGTCAATTTAAAATAATATTTCATTTGATTTTTTTTTGAAATAATGTAAATTTAAAATTACGTTTAACACAGGAACACAAACAGGAGCTCATGTTGTAGCTGAAATTTCGTACTTCCTTTGGAAACATTTCCGTTAACCCTATGAGACGCTCAGCTAAACTTTCATCCTAGAAAAAAAATTGAACACATTTTTCGAAAACAATTATTTTGATATATTTCTCATTTAATTTAGTAAACTCAAAATTTTAACCTTTTTAAAATGGAAAATTGGTAAACAAAATCAATTAAGTTCCATAAGTTCAGTTAACCTCAAAATTTATATTCAATTTCTGATTATAAAAACTATTTATTTATCCAAATATTTAAATTTCGAATATTTAATCCGATTCATACAAAATTTAACCGGTTTTTTTGCAAAATGTTTGTTTAAATAAATGTTTTAATCTTTTAATTTGTTTAAGGCGACAGAATATTATAGAGAGGTTAGAAATTAGAAGTAATAAAAAAATAATAAGGGAGAAAAATAGAAAGATTAATATAATTTAATAAAATAAAATTTTTATGTAAAAAAAAAGAAAATAGAAAATTCAGTCAACTACCTCCTCATCTTCATCGTCATCGGGAAGAATAGCTTTGACTTCAGGTGATCTCATGTCACTGCTTCCCATTCCACTGTCTAATTGTTCAAAATCTGCAGCTGCACTAGAATTAGAATCCATGTGAATGTTTTTTTTTTTTTTTTTTTCTTCTTTCGAAATTTCGAAACAGTCAAAGAAACCTCGTGTTTCAATAATTTTCTTTTAAAGGACTATAACCAAAGAAATTATATACATAAGAACTAAAAACTCACACATACACGCACGGTTCACCACATGTTTTTTTTATAATTTCCTTTTAATCGCTCAAGAGTGCGCTGCTGTTAATTTCCAAAACCGGAAAGAAATTTAAAATTCTAAAAATTTTATTAATATTCAAATTTGACTTTTGTGTTAAATTTCAATATTTAAAACAATTGAAAATTGATTACACATTTTTTTTTACTAAAATTATTGAAATTTGTCTATATACTTTTTGAATTATAGGAAATTTAAATTTTAATAAAGCGCTGCTATTGACTGCCGGTAAGCGGTAAATTTAAAATTCAGACTTAAGGTTTCTGTAATTTCTCAATTTTGTAAAATTAAATAATATTTCTAAATTAAAAAAATTGTTAATCTATTTTTAATATATTTTTTTTTTTTGATGCGAGAGTAATATTTTTTTTTTCTAAAAAGTTAATATAATCTAGATTTATCCACGTGAATATAAAATATATTTTTTAATAATGATTGCATATATAATTATTGATTAATATATCACGAATTTGAAAAATTAAAAGAGAATCATGGATTTATCATTTAATATAAAAATTTTACTAAATGATTTACAATTAATAGAAATAGAAGAAATGGAAAAAAATTTTGAAACTGAGAAAAATGAAATTTTAAACAATGATTTGCAATTTATAGAAATAAATAAAAAAAAAAAGTTTTTAATATTCCTATTAACAATGTATCAATAATGGAAATAATTATGAATATTAAATATAAAAAATGAAGTAAATTTTTAAAAATTAAATCTAAAATATCTATTCAAGGAAAACGAAATTTTTCTAATTTATATTAAGACTGAAAAATTATTTATAAAATACTAATTTAACTTTTTCTTTTGATAATGAAAAAAGTAGAAAATTAAAATTAAAAAAATATAGAAGTTGAAATAAAAAAAACCAAATTAAATTAAAAAATACTGTTTACTGAAATTATTCACTGATACAAGATTGATGACACTGTTTTCTCCTGTAAGAATAAAAAAAAAAGAATGAAAACTAATTTAACAAAAAACATTAATAATCTTCGTCGTTAATAATAAATATTTCCCCTCACATTTAATGAAACGAAGATATTAAAAAGAAAAATTTCAAATTCAGAAAAGTCCACATTTTGAAAAAGTATATATGTGATTAAAAATTATTTTATAAAATGTCAAATTCTATAAAATATAATTTTTAAAACACGCTTCATAAAATTATATTTTATAGAATATGACTTTGCATATTATAAAATATAGTTTTAAGAAAAAATTTTAAAATGTCACTTTGTGAAAATGAAAAATGGATATTAGGATTCAAGTTACAAACATTTTTTTTTTTTTTAATTTTTTATTTCTTACTCCCACATGAGAAAATTTGGCAGTGCAAGGAGTAAAAAAAAGAAAAAGGTTTCTAAAAATTTTTTTGTTGTTATTTAATCAACTTCCTCGATGGTGGGTCCTGATGCTCCACCGGCACCTGGTGCAGCACCACCTGGAGCAGCGCCACCAGCACCTGGGAAACCGCCTGGCATTCCTCCTGGCATACCACCTGGCATACCGCCACTTCCTTGATAGAGTTTAGTGACAATTGGATTGCACACACCTTCAAGTTCCTTTTGTTTATGTTCAAATTCCTCCTTATCAGCCAATTGATTAGCGTCAAGCCATTTAATAATGTCATTACATTTATCGAGGACAACTTGTTTGTCGCTCGCGCTTATTTTGTCCTTTAATTTTTCGTCTTCGACGGTGCTCTTCATATTAAAGCAATATGACTCCAGGCCATTTTTCGATGCAATTGTCTCCTTTTGTTTTTCGTCTTCACTTCTATATTTCTCAGCTTCATTCACCATTCGTTCAATATCCTCTTTACTGAGACGTCCCTTGTCATTTGTAATTGTAATTTTATTCTCTTTACCAGTTGATTTATCAACAGCCGATACATTTAAAATTCCATTTGCGTCAATATCAAATGTCACTTCAATTTGTGGTACACCACGTGGCGATGGTGGAATTCCTCGCAATTCGAATTTTCCCAATAGATTATTGTCCTTTGTCATTGCGCGTTCTCCCTCATAGACCTAGAAAAAAAAAAATTAGAAAAATTAGCATTCAAATTGAAAAATTCTAAATAAATTGTAAATATTTTCTAAAAATCATTAGAATGGAATTTCATTATTTTTGAGCCGAATTTTACCGAAAATTCACTTCACAGAATTTTTATTTTCTCGAATTATTGTTATTTGATATAAAGAATTTTTTACTTAACCGAAAAATCATTTTAAAAAATTTCTAATTGATAAAATTTTCATTTGTCCGAATAATAGACAGAAAGATTTTCCGGCGCGATTTTTAAAAATCAACCAATCACAATTTTATGGATAATTTTTGATTTTAAAAAATCGCGCCGAAATCTGTCTATTGTTCGCACAAATGAAAATTTTTGTCTTGTAAAATATGTGACACGCTCTGAAGAAAGGGGACCTTAGAAAGACAAAAAAAAAAAAATATAGATTTTGTTTTGAAATTTTAAATTGAAAATACACAAAGAGAATCAACTCACAATCGAAATAATTGATATTTAAATCTTAATTCATAGTTTTTAGGTACCGAATTTTAATTTAATATAATTTTTATTTTACCAATTTTTTTTTTTGTTATTCAACTTTTTATTTTATCCAATTACAATTTAAATCAATTTTAATAATTATCAAAAAATTTTCATTCAGCAGAATTTTTATATTTAGACGAATTTTTATTTCATAGAATCCCTAAAACAGAAAGATTTCGGCGCCAATTTTAAAATAAACCAATCAAAAAATTTTCTTAATAATTTCTGATTGTGGTCTATTTTAAAAACTGCGCCAAAATCTTTGCTGTTTGTTCGGCCATTTTGTAATTTCTATTAAATGAAAATTCGCTCTATTAGGAATTCGATTAAATAAAAATTCTTACACATGGAAATTCGAATAATTAAAATTCTGTTAAATGAGAATTTTGATAAATTAAAATTGAAGTAAAATTATAATACTTTTAAATAAACGGTGGATATAAAAAGAAATCCGTTAATATAAAAATTATTTCAAATAAAAATTCAGGGCGCATGAATATCTCATAAAAATCATTAGCTAGAACTTTTATTTGTATGAATTTTATTTGACAGAATTTTTTTTTTTAGACGAATTTTCATTTTTCTAATTAGCATTTGAGTTACTGTCTTTGTAAATAAAATTTTATTTAACATAATTTTTAAATATCGAATTTTTATTTGACATAATTTTTATTTTGACGAATTTCATTTTATCCACCTTTTATTTTAAAGTATTACAATTTTACTCAATTTTAATTTATCACAATTCTCATTTAACAGAATTTTAGTTATTTGAATTATTTAACGTTAGAATTTTTAACTTAACGAATCTCTATTTGTTCGAATTTTTATTTACAATAATTGTTATATTTCATAGAATTCCTAAAACAGCGAATTTTCATTTGATAGAAATTACAAATGGCCGAACAGAAATTATTAAGAAAATTGTGATTGGTTTATTTTAAAATTGGCGCCGAAATCTTTCTATCGCTTGCTTGTTCGGCCATTTGTAATTTCTGTCAAATGGAAATTCTCTGTTTTTGGAATTCTATTAAATAAAAATTCGTGTAAATAAAAATTCTGACACATGGAGATTCGATAAATTAAAAATTGTGACATTAAACAATTCGAATAACTAAAATTCTGTTAAATGAGAATTCTGATAAATTAAAATTGAGTAAAATTATAAATAATTTTAAATTAAAAGGTGGATAAAAAGAAATTCGTTAAAATAAAAATTATGTCAAATAAAAATTCGATATTTAAAAATTATGTTAAATAAAATTTCGTTTACAAAGAAAGTAACTCAAATACTAATTCGAAAAATAAAAATTCGTCTAAAAAGAAATTCTGTCAAATGAAATTCATACAAATGAAAATTCTAGCTAATGATTTTTATGTGATATTCATGCGCCCCAAAAATTCGGTATTTAAAAAATTATGTTAAATAAAATTTCGTTTACAAAGAATTCATATTTTCCAAAGAAACTGAAATTTTTAATTTATTTAAATTTAATAAAAAATTTTATTTCGATCAATGAAAAAATTCTGTAATATAAAAAATCGATTAGATGAAAATTCTTGTAAAATACTAATACAAACAAATACAAAATAATATAATGACAAATAAAATTCCAAAAATGAAAATTCAAACTGATTTTTAAAATATTATGTTCAAAGAAATTGAATTACCTGAATCAATACAGCGGGTTGATTGTCGGAATAAGTTGTAAATGTCTGCGTTTGTTTAGTGGGAATGGTGGTGTTTCTCTTAATGAGTGCAGTCATTACACCTCCAGCTGTTTCAATACCAAGGGATAATGGAGCAACATCCAAGAGAAGAAGATCTTGTACCTCCTCTGATTTATCACCATGAAGAATAGCAGCCTGTACAGCAGCGCCATAAGCCACGGCTTCATCTGGATTTATCGATTTATTAAGTTCCTTGCCATTGAAAAAGTCCTGAAGGAGTTTTTGAATTTTTGGAATACGCGTTGAACCACCAACAAGTACAATATCATGAATTTGTGATTTATCCATTTTTGCATCGCGCAATGATTTTTCAACTGGTTCAAGTGTACCGCGGAATAAATCGGCGCAAAGCTCTTCAAAACGTGCACGCGTTATTGATGTATAAAAATCAGTACCCTCAAATAATGAATCAATTTCAATGCTTGCTTGTGTTGATGATGAAAGTGTTCTCTTTGCTCTTTCGCATGCTGTTCTTAAACGACGTAATGCACGTTTATTGCTTGTCAATTCTTTTTTATATTTACGTTTAAATTCCTGTACAAAATGTGTCACCATTCGATTATCAAAATCTTCACCGCCAAGATGTGTATCGCCGGCTGTTGATTTTACTTCAAAAATACCATCTTCAATGGTGAGAATTGAAACGTCAAATGTACCACCGCCAAGATCAAAAATAAGAACATTACGTTCGCCAACGGCTTTTTTGTCAAGACCATAAGCAATAGCGGCCGCTGTTGGTTCATTAATAATACGCAATACATTTAAGGCGGAGATGGTTCCAGCATCTTTTGTTGCCTGACGCTGCGAGTCGTTGAAATAAGCAGGTACAGTGATCACAGCGTTAGTGACGGTTTTGCCAAGATATGCCTCAGCAGTTTCCTTCATTTTCACCAGGACCATCGAACTCACTTCCTCTGGGAAGAAAGTCTTCTTTTCTCCTTTATAATGGACCTCGATTTTTGGCTTATCACCATCGCTAATTACAGTGAATGGCCAATGTTTCATGTCAGCCTGAACTGTGGGATCGTCAAAGCGACGACCAATCAAACGCTTGGCATCTGAAATTAAAAATTTTTTTTAATTTTTCCCAAAAAAAAAACGAAATAAAAAAAAACTATTTCAATAAAATCAAGTCGATATTGAAAAATCATTAAATCGATAAAAAGAATGATGAAACGATGAGTCACGCTAGGGAATTTACAAGGCGATGGCATCGTCCACCATTTTTTTTTTTTTTTTCCCCCCGTCTAATAAAACGACCACGAGTCAAAACCGGAAGTAGTTAAAACAAGGAAATTTGAAGGAAAAAAAAGGTAATTTGATCGAAAAAAAAATTCACTTACCAAAAATGGTGTTATTGGGATTCATCGCAACTTGATTCTTGGCAGCATCTCCGATAAGACGCTCCGTGTCAGTAAATGCAACATAACTAGGTGTGGTGCGATTTCCCTGGTCGTTAGCGATAATTTCAACTTTTCCATGTTGGAAAACTCCGACACATGAGTAAGTTGTTCCAAGATCAATACCAACTGCGGGTGCTTTGGTTGCCATTTTTGTTAATCTGGAAAAAAAAAGAAAATCCTCCTTTTTATCACATTTTTGTAAATTTGTAAATTTTTGTAAATTTTAACGAAATTTAGAAAAAATTAGAATATATCAGAAAAATCACATAAACACGCACCTTTATTAAATTTAATTTAAAAAGACGTGAAGAAGAAATGAAGTACTTTATCCTACAACGATTCGCAACGTGAGTGACGGGACGCGCGCACAAATTCGTTATATATATAATCGCGTGAGAGTCGCAAGAGACCAAAAGACTTCTGGAACATTCTATCACAATCTTGGGCGGGATACTTTTAAACGAATCAGAAAATAGCTTTCTTTCAATGCTCATCAATAATTGGTGGATTAGTTTTGATCTAAAAGAATTTTAACAATGATGAACAAACTGCTAATGTCAAATTCAAAACTAATAATCTATTTTATTTTTAAATAACAATTATATTTTAACATAAAATTGTGATATTTGTGTATAAATAATTAATGTTATTTTAGAAAATAATTTTTATTTTTTGAATAATTTGTGAAATAAATGGAATTTAGTTGATATTTTGACAAAAAGATGCGCAAGTTGCGCAGGTGTTGCGGAAGTGAAACATTAACAATATTCAGGAGGAAAATGGAGAAAATGCGTTACTAAAATAATTCTGGATTAGTCTATAATATACGGGAAATATATTATTTAAAAAATCGAATAATTTTCCGATGAAATGCAATATTTCTGTTTTTATTTATGATTTCATGGAAGAATACGGTAAGAGGTTAGGTTAACCATTTAAGGTTATATTTTAATTTATAACCATAAAAGGTAAAAATTATTGATTTTCGTGAAAAAAGAGGGTTTTTTCATCCTATACATTGGTATATTTATATATATATTTTTCAGTTGAAATTTGTGTTTTATTCATTAAATTAAAAATTTTACAAATAATCCCACGTGGAAGGGCACATTTTAATAGAAAATAAATAAATTTAATTGTATTAATTATAAATAATTTATATTATTTATATTTTTAAAAAATAAATTTTTTCAGGAAAAAAAAAGTGCAATAATTTTTTTTAAAAAATAATTTTTTGTTTGAAAAGAAATTTGTATAAATTATAGATAAAATGTTAAAAGTTGTGTCCTAATCAATGAGCACGTGTTGAATTATGGAATAATTTTACACACATATACAGTTTGAAAATATTTATAAGATTATTTCATTGTATTAAAAGGTCAATACGTATATACTATGACGTGGTACAAAATTGAATCTATTTTTCCTAATTAATAATTTTCGTTTATCTAAAATAATTTCACATTTAAATATTCAATTATTTATTTTTAATTAAATATTTTAATTTGTAAAATATTAATATTTATTTATAAATAATAGAAAATAATAATTTTTGCTAAAAGAAAATTCAAAATAATAGAAGAAATATAATTTAAAAACTATAATTTTTATCATTTGATTAAATTTACATATTTATTTGTAAACAAAACAAAATATGTTTACTATTAAATATAATTAAGTTAATTTTTGGATATTGAATTTTTTTTTATTTTTAGTTTCTTAAAAATTTCATATTTAATATTAATATAATATTAATACATTTAATATATTAATATAAGATGGTTTGTTTGTATATAAACAAAAAAGGTTCGTTTAGTTAAAAATACATACATGTCCTTAAGAGATAAACTTCAAGTCAAGGTTTAATGCTTGGAAAAATCTCGTTGACGTATTTAAGTTTCTATATAAGCGTTTGAAAAAATCTGACGATTTAAAGTAGGAAATACACCTGACAAGGTTTCATTGAAGGTTGAATTAAATTTTTAATATTTTTATTTATAATAGATGATTATATTCATTTATTAAAATTATTTATGGAAAAATTTAATTTTTATTTAATTTTTTTTTAATTTAATTTTTGGTAAATATTTAATTTTTTCTTTATTATATAATTAATAATTAAATTTTTTTTTCCTCTATTAAATTTTTATTAATTCACATAATTTTAAATAGAAAATTTTTTAAAGAATTTGTGTTACTTATTTTTTGACTGCAGTGTTGGAAGTGATATTAACCTTGATATAATAGTCACACTGCAGTATATCGCTAAAAATCAATAATTTAGAAAATAAGCTGAAAATAAGTTCTTTTAATTTTTTTAATAATGCGAAATTGTTAATAAAAATATTAAAATTATTTTATTAAAAAATTGTACAGAATTTTACAAAACTGATAATTATTTTAAATAATAGGATTTTTTTTTTTACTAACAAATTTCGAAATATTAACTTTTTCCCGCCGACGATTTTAGCGCGTGGCGAAATATGGTAGTAAAATTGTTTTTCCACTCGAGTTTTTTCTCACAATGGCGGCATTTTCATTAGTTTATGATTAAAAAGTCAACGTGTCAGCGATGTGTTGGTTTGAGAATTAAATGTCTTTTTTTTATTATTTAAAGAAACGAGAGAATATTAAAATTAATTCTCATGGAGGTAAAAATAATTACACCTGTCAATATTTTATTGGTTGAAGCTAATGTAATTGTAGTATTTTTAACCTAACCTCCTTCTGTCACGTACAATTGGTAATGTTTATAATTTCAATGAAATTGAATATTTTCTAAAGAAAAGAAATAAAAATAATTATCAAAAAATGTCTGATTTACGTTATAATTATTTAACATTGTTATATTTAACGACTTTAATTATTTCAATTGTTAAATGTCACGATGTGATTTATGCAATTAACGCTGGTGGAGATTCTCATATAGACAATAATGGCATTCGTTATGCTAAAGATCCACTTTTTGATAAAGTTGGAACAGCTTCCGATTATGGAAAACAACTTTTAATTGGAAGAATTCATCCCAATGATCATATTCTTTATCAAACTGAACGTTATCATCATAGTACGTTTGGTTACGATATACCAGTGAGCGATGATGGTGATTATGTTATGATTTTGAAATTCAGTGAAGTTTATTTTAATTCACCAAATATGAAGGTATGTTTATTGTTTTTGCAATTGATTTTCTTAGAAACATTTTTTTTTTCTGTAAAGAATTGTTTCGTTTTAAATAGGTTTTTGACATTGTTTTAAATGGAGATCATACAGTAGTGACGGATTTGGATATTTTTGAAAAAGTCGGTCGTGGAATTGCACACGACGAATATGTACCATTTACAATACAAAATGGTAAATTATATTACAATGACGACGAGTCAGATATAGTTTCAGGAAAAATCCGAGTTGAATTTATTAAGGTAATTGAAATTTTTTTGTGAAATAGAAAATTTTAATTTAGAAAAAAAAAGAAGTAAATAAAATACTATTTTTCACAGGGCTACCGTGATAATCCAAAAATAAATGCAATTGCTGTTATTAAAGGAAGCCTTGATGGTATGTTTAAATTTAAAAAAAAAATAAATTTCAAAAAAAATAAATTTTTAAAAAATTGCCGAAATCAAATTTTACAAAAAAATTAATTGAAAATTAGATGTACCTCAACTGGGACCAATTCCTCAAGATTCTGAGGAAGATGAAGAATTACAGGATGAAGAGGAGGAATCTGTGGTTCGATCAAGACACACTAGTGGTCCACGAACTCCGGATCCATATTCCACGGAAGAATATTCAATGATGTTACCTGTTTTTATTGCTATAGGAGCCTTCATACCGCTTCTATTTTGTCTCTGTAAATTGTAGAAAAAATTATCATCAAGGTACTGTGTACTTAAAAAAACAAGTTGTAAATTCAGATGTTCATTACATGAACATTTTGCTTCCTCTTTACGATCAGCAAAAAAATTTGCTTCCTCGTGGAGAAAGCAATATTTTATTGCCAAAATGTCAATTTTTAATTTTTTAACTTTCATTAATTCTTTAAATTTACCTCAAATGTATACTTTATATATATCGATCGATCGATTCGTCTTGACGTAAGGAATACGATTTTATTATATATAACCTTAAATTTTTCTATTTAAAAATTTTTTCGATTAAAAAAAAATTTTTCGAAAAAAGACGATAAAAATTTTTTTTTGGGGTATTTTTTAAAATCATACATCTGGACAATTGATCATGATCTCATATAACATGTTTCTATAAAGAAAAAAATTTGTTTCCGCCACTTTGAAAAGTTTTATAAATGAAAGGACTACAAAGCTTCCTCCACGAGGAAGCAAAAAAAAAAAAAAAAAAAAATGGTGTTCAATTAAATTAAGACTGAACACTGAATTTTCAGTAAGTTCGATTTTACGCACCTTTTTTTCTATACGTCAATTAATATTTGCATAATTAAAAAATTATCTATTTTTAATCGCATTTTTATCGAATTATCTATTTTTAAAAAATGTGAAATTAAAAAAAAACGAAAATTTTCGTTTTATATTTCATTTTCTATTTTTTATCTATTCATATTCTTGTAGCTTTTTTTTTTATTGAAATAGTAAGTTTTTTTCATTTTAATTTTTTTTTTTATTTTCTTTTTTACATCCTCTAAATTGTATTTAAAGATTTGAATTATATTCTAAGTCGAATTTGCTGTGAATTGCGAGAGTTGGATATGTTAGGTAAATAATTCTAATATAATAAACAATTATTTATTAAAATAATTATTTAAATATATAATATATATATATATAAAAAAAAATTATAGAAAGATACTAGTTGTCAAGAATGACGGATTTGTGTTCAATAATACGAATTTTAAATGCATTTTAATAATAAGATTTGCGCACACCAAATTTTGCACGGGTTTTAGATTAATTATTATAATAATATAATTTGAATTATGTTGTCCTTTTTTTCTGTTCAAAGGACTGTATATTTTGTCTTGATACTCCCTAATAAAAATTGTTTTATTATTGTAAAAAAAAAGAAAATTTATTTGCCCGATAAATTTAGTTTTTATTTCCAAAATATATTCTTTTTTTTCCAATTCAATTTTGTGTCAACGAGTAAATTATCATTTTAATAATATATATTTATTTTTGGTTAATGCCAATGTCCAATTTTTATCTTATCAAATACTTTTGATTTTTTTTTTAAAGAATAATAACTTGAAAAAGGATATAAATTTTTGTGTTTTAATTTTGTAGAAACTATAAAAATAGAAAAAAAAGCAATGTAAGATTTGATTAAAGAATTTCTAATGGAATTTTATAATCCTTAACATCTGGCGGATAGTGTTTAAATGAAAATGAGATTTTTGCATGCATCTTGCATTAAAAATTTTTAACTGGAAATGCGAATTAAATAAGAATTTGTTAATATTTATTAAAAAAAAAAAAAATTTATTTCTAACTTTAAAAAATCATTAAATAAACAGGAAGGGCAAACAATATATAAAAATTTTTAAAGCCTTATTTGAAGAAAATGTCGGCTTTTACATGTAATTTATGGTGACTTTATCATAAGAATGTTTAAGGTAGAAAAAACTTTAATGATTTAGAGATATCAAATTCTCTTGGAAATTTATTTTTATCGATTGGATAGTATCATTTTTATAATTCTGAAAAAAAACTAAAAAAAAAATTCTTAAACATTAAAATAAAAACATTTTTTATTGAGCTGAAGAACATAACGTTAATTGTTTAACGGTTACAAAAACCAATTTATTAAAGTTTGTTCAAATTTTAATCATTACCAATCGAAAGAGCATGAAAAAATGTGTCGGAATCCATGAGTTTTATTCCAAATTTGATGTCGGAAAGTTATGAAAAATCAAAATCAAAATTAATTTAAACTTTCTTAAATGTTAACGATCGCGTTAACGGGTGCTTATTAAAGTTTGTTCAAATTTTAATCATTACCAATCGAAAGAGCATAAAAAAATGTGTCGGAATCCATGAGTTTTATTTCAAATTTGATGTCGGAAAGATATGAAAAATCAAAATATTGAAGAAGTTATGGCTTCTTAAACGTTAACGATCGCGTTAACGGGTGCTTATTAAAGTTTGTTCAAATTTTAATCATTACCAATCGAAAGAGCATAAAAAAATGTGTCAGAATCCATGAGTTTTATTCCAAATTTGATGTCGGAAAGTTATGAAAAATCAAAATCAAAATTAATTTAAACTTTCTTAAATGTTAACGATCGCGTTAACGGGTGCTTATTAAAGTTTGTTCAAATTTTAATCATTACCAATCGAAAGAGCATAAAAAAATGTGTCGGAATCCATGAGTTTTATTCCAAATTTGATGTCGGAAAGATATGAAAAATCAAAATATTGAAGAAGTTATGGCTTCTTAAACGTTAACGATCGCGTTAACTGGTGCTTATTAAAGTTTGTTCAAATTTTAATCATTACCAATGGAAAGAGCATAAAAAAATGTGTCGGAATCCATGAGTTTTATTCCAAATTTGATGTCGGAAAGATATGAAAAATCAAAATATTGAAGAAGTTATGGCTTCTTAAACGTTAACGATCGCGTTAACGGGTGCTTATTAAAGTTTGTTCAAATTTTAATCATTACCAATCGAAAGAGCATGAAAAAATGTGTCGGAATCCATGAGTTTTATTCCAAATTTGATGTCGGAAAGTTATGAAAAATCAAAATCAAAATTAATTTAAACTTTCTTAAATGTTAACGATCGCGTTAACGGGTGCTTATTAAAGTTTGTTCAAATTTTAATCATTACCAATCGAAAGAGCATAAAAAAATGTGTCGGAATCCATGAGTTTTATTTCAAATTTGATGTCGGAAAGATATGAAAAATCAAAATATTGAAGAAGTTATGGCTTCTTAAACGTTAACGATCGCGTTAACGGGTGCTTATTAAAGTTTGTTCAAATTTTAATCATTACCAATCGAAAGAGCATAAAAAAATGTGTCAGAATCCATGAGTTTTATTCCAAATTTGATGTCGGAAAGTTATGAAAAATCAAAATCAAAATTAATTTAAACTTTCTTAAATGTTAACGATCGCGTTAACGGGTGCTTATTAAAGTTTGTTCAAATTTTAATCATTACCAATCGAAAGAGCATAAAAAAATGTGTCGGAATCCATGAGTTTTATTCCAAATTTGATGTCGGAAAGATATGAAAAATCAAAATATTGAAGAAGTTATGGCTTCTTAAACGTTAACGATCGCGTTAACTGGTGCTTATTAAAGTTTGTTCAAATTTTAATCATTACCAATCGAAAGAGCATAAAAAAATGTGTCGGAATCCATGAGTTTTATTCCAAATTTGATGTCGGAAAGATATGAAAAATCAAAATATTGAAGAAGTTATGGCTTCTTAAACGTTAACGATCGCGTTAACTGGTGCTTATTAAAGTTTGTTCAAATTTTAATCATTACCAATCGAAAGAGCATAAAAAAATGTGTCGGAATCCATGAGTTTTATTCCAAATTTGATGTCGGAAAGATATGAAAAATCAAAATATTGAAGAAGTTATGGCTTCTTAAACGTTAACGATCGCGTTAACGGGTGCTTAATAAAGTTTGTTCAAATTTTAATCATTACCAATCGAAAGAGCATAAAAAAATGTGTCAGAATCCATGAGTTTTATTCCAAATTTGATGTCGGAAAGTTATGAAAAATCAAAATCAAAATTAATTTAAACTTTCTTAAATGTTAACGATCGCGTTAACGGGTGCTTATTAAAGTTTGTTCAAATTTTAATCATTACCAATCGAAAGAGCATAAAAAAATGTGTCGGAATCCATGAGTTTTATTCCAAATTTGATGTCGGAAAGATATGAAAAATCAAAATATTGAAGAAGTTATGGCTTCTTAAACGTTAACGATCGCGTTAACGGGTGTTAATTAAAGTTTGTTCAAATTTTAATCATTACCAATGGAAAGAGCATAAAAAAATGTGTCGGAATCCATGAGTTTTATTCCAAATTTGATGTCGGAAAGATATGAAAAATCAAAATATTGAAGAAGTTATGGCTTCTTAAACGTTAACGATCGCGTTAACGGGTGCTTATTAAAGTTTGTTCAAATTTTAATCATTACCAATCGAAAGAGCATAAAAAAATGTGTCGGAATCCATGAGTTTTATTCCAAATTTGATGTCGGAAAGATATGAAAAATCAAAATATTGAAGAAGTTATGGCTTCTTAAACGTTAACGATCGCGTTAACTGGTGCTTATTAAAGTTTGTTCAAATTTTAATCATTACCAATGGAAAGAGCATAAAAAAATGTGTCGGAATCCATGAGTTTTATTCCAAATTTGATGTCGGAAAGATATGAAAAATCAAAATATTGAAGAAGTTATGGCTCCTTAAACGTTAACGATCGCGTTAACGGGTGCTTAATAAAGTTTGTTCAAATTTTAATCATTACCAATCGAAAGAGCATAAAAAAATGTGTCAGAATCCATGAGTTTTATTCCAAATTTGATGTCGGAAAGTTATGAAAAATCAAAATCAAAATTAATTTAAACTTTCTTAAATGTTAACGATCGCGTTAACGGGTGCTTATTAAAGTTTGTTCAAATTTTAATCATTACCAATCGAAAGAGCATAAAAAAATGTGTCGGAATCCATGAGTTTTATTCCAAATTTGATGTCGGAAAGATATGAAAAATCAAAATATTGAAGAAGTTATGGCTTCTTAAACGTTAACGATCGCGTTAACGGGTGTTAATTAAAGTTTGTTCAAATTTTAATCATTACCAATGGAAAGAGCATAAAAAAATGTGTCGGAATCCATGAGTTTTATTCCAAATTTGATGTCGGAAAGATATGAAAAATCAAAATATTGAAGAAGTTATGGCTTCTTAAACGTTAACGATCGCGTTAACGGGTGCTTATTAAAGTTTGTTCAAATTTTAATCATTACCAATCGAAAGAGCATGAAAAAATGTGTCGGAATCCATGAGTTTTATTCCAAATTTGATGTCGGAAAGTTATGAAAAATCAAAATCAAAATTAATTTAAACTTTCTTAAATGTTAACGATCGCGTTAACGGGTGCTTATTAAAGTTTGTTCAAATTTTAATCATTACCAATCGAAAGAGCATAAAAAAATGTGTCGGAATCCATTAGTTTTATTCCAAATTTGATGTCGGAAAGATATGAAAAATCAAAATATTGAAGAAGTTATGGCTTCTTAAACGTTAACGATCGCGTTAACGGGTGTTAATTAAAGTTTGTTCAAATTTTAATCATTACCAATGGAAAGAGCATAAAAAAATGTGTCGGAATCCATGAGTTTTATTCCAAATTTGATGTCGGAAAGATATGAAAAATCAAAATATTGAAGAAGTTATGGCTTCTTAAACGTTAACGATCGCGTTAACTGGTGCTTATTAAAGTTTGTTCAAATTTTAATCATTACCAATGGAAAGAGCATAAAAAAATGTGTCGGAATCCATGAGTTTTATTCCAAATTTGATGTCGGAAAGATATGAAAAATCAAAATATTGAAGAAGTTATGGCTTCTTAAACGTTAACGATCGCGTTAACGGGTGCTTAATAAAGTTTGTTCAAATTTTAATCATTACCAATCGAAAGAGCATAAAAAAATGTGTCAGAATCCATGAGTTTTATTCCAAATTTGATGTCGGAAAGTTATGAAAAATCAAAATCAAAATTAATTTAAACTTTCTTAAATGTTAACGATCGCGTTAACGGGTGCTTATTAAAGTTTGTTCAAATTTTAATCATTACCAATCGAAAGAGCATAAAAAAATGTGTCGGAATCCATGAGTTTTATTCCAAATTTGATGTCGGAAAGATATGAAAAATCAAAATATTGAAGAAGTTATGGCTTCTTAAACGTTAACGATCGCGTTAACGGGTGTTAATTAAAGTTTGTTCAAATTTTAATCATTACCAATGGAAAGAGCATAAAAAAATGTGTCGGAATCCATGAGTTTTATTCCAAATTTAATGTCGGAAAGATATGAAAAATCAAAATATTGAAGAAGTTATGGCTTCTTAAACGTTAACGATCGCGTTAACGGGTGCTTATTAAAGTTTGTTCAAATTTTAATCATTACCAATCGAAAGAGCATAAAAAAATGTGTCAGAATCCATGAGTTTTATTCCAAATTTGATGTCGGAAAGTTATGAAAAATCAAAATCAAAATTAATTTAAACTTTCTTAAATGTTAACGATCGCGTTAACGGGTGCTTATTAAAGTTTGTTCAAATTTTAATCATTACCAATCGAAAGAGCATAAAAAAATGTGTCGGAATCCATGAGTTTTATTCCAAATTTGATGTCGGAAAGATATGAAAAATCAAAATATTGAAGAAGTTATGGCTTCTTAAACGTTAACGATCGCGTTAACGGGTGCTTATTAAAGTTTGTTCAAATTTTAATCATTACCAATCGAAAGAGCATAAAAAAATGTGTCGGAATCCATGAGTTTTATTCCAAATTTGATGTCGGAAAGTTATGAAAAATCAAAATCAACATTAATTTAAACTTTCTTAAATGTTAACGATCGCGTTAACGGGTGCTTATTAAAGTTTGTTCAAATTTTAATCATTACCAATCGAAAGAGCATAAAAAAATGTGTCGGAATCCATGAGTTTTATTCCAAATTTGATGTCGGAAAGATATGAAAAATCAAAATATTGAAGAAGTTATGGCTTCTTAAACGTTAACGATCGCGTTAACGGGTGCTTATTAAAGTTTGTTCAAATTTTAATCATTACCAATCGAAAGAGCATAAAAAAATGTGTCAGAATCCATGAGTTTTATTCCAAATTTGATGTCGGAAAGTTATGAAAAATCAAAATCAAAATTAATTTAAACTTTCTTAAATGTTAACGATCGCGTTAACGGGTGCTTATTAAAGTTTGTTCAAATTTTAATCATTACCAATCGAAAGAGCATAAAAAAATGTGTCGGAATCCATGAGTTTTATTCCAAATTTGATGTCGGAAAGATATGAAAAATCAAAATATTGAAGAAGTTATGGCTTCTTAAACGTTAACGATCGCGTTAACGGGTGTTAATTAAAGTTTGTTCAAATTTTAATCATTACCAATGGAAAGAGCATAAAAAAATGTGTCGGAATCCATGAGTTTTATTCCAAATTTGATGTCGGAAAGATATGAAAAATCAAAATATTGAAGAAGTTATGGCTTCTTAAACGTTAACGATCGCGTTAACGGGTGCTTATTAAAGTTTGTTCAAATTTTAATCATTACCAATCGAAAGAGCATAAAAAAATGTGTCAGAATCCATGAGTTTTATTCCAAATTTGATGTCGGAAAGTTATGAAAAATCAAAATCAAAATTAATTTAAACTTTCTTAAATGTTAACGATCGCGTTAACGGGTGCTTATTAAAGTTTGTTCAAATTTTAATCATTACCAATCGAAAGAGCATAAAAAAATGTGTCGGAATCCATGAGTTTTATTCCAAATTTGATGTCGGAAAGATATGAAAAATCAAAATATTGAAGAAGTTATGGCTTCTTAAACGTTAACGATCGCGTTAACGGGTGTTAATTAAAGTTTGTTCAAATTTTAATCATTACCAATGGAAAGAGCATAAAAAAATGTGTCGGAATCCATGAGTTTTATTCCAAATTTGATGTCGGAAAGATATGAAAAATCAAAATATTGAAGAAGTTATGGCTTCTTAAACGTTAACGATCGCGTTAACGGGTGCTTATTAAAGTTTGTTCAAATTTTAATCATTACCAATCGAAAGAGCATAAAAAAATGTGTCAGAATCCATGAGTTTTATTCCAAATTTGATGTCGGAAAGTTATGAAAAATCAAAATCAAAATTAATTTAAACTTTCTTAAATGTTAACGATCGCGTTAACGGGTGCTTATTAAAGTTTGTTCAAATTTTAATCATTACCAATCGAAAGAGCATAAAAAAATGTGTCGGAATCCATGAGTTTTATTCCAAATTTGATGTCGGAAACATATGAAAAATCAAAATTTAATAAGCACCCGATAACGCAATCGTTAACGTTTGAGAAAGGTTAAATTAATTTTGATTTTTCATATCTTTCCGACATCAAATTTGGAATAAAACTCATGGATTCCGACACATTTTTTCATGCTCTTTCGATTGGTAATGATTAAAATTTGAACAAACTTTAATAAATTGGTTTTTGTAACCGTTAAACAATTAACGTTATGTTCTTCAGCTCAATACATTTTTTCATTAATTTTCAATAAATTTATCGAGAGACTGCAATTCGAATTCCAGTGACTAATTCAACTATAAGTTATTTTAACTCGTTAATTAATATGGAGAATTAGTACATTAAAGCAACAAGACGTGACTTGTCTTGTTCATTTTATATTCTAATAATAATAATAAAATTTTTTTTTATTTGAAAATTATTTATATTTTTACATATTTTTTTTCTCTCTACCTTTTTTTTATGTGAAAAAGATAAATTTCTTTTATTAACGTAACAAAGATAAGATTCTTAATAATCCTAACATTTTTTAATCAAATTTATGATTAGAAAAATATTTAAAATTAACTTCTTTTTCAGAGTGAGATAAAAAAAACATTTCATAATTCGAAGATTATTTAAAAATAAAATTTTTTAAATTTCTTTTTTTTTCTAAATGTAGATTTTTTTTGAAGCTTTAAACAATCGGGGGGTCGAAAAAAAATCTCGAGACATATATATTTATTGAGAGTGCAGAATTTGAAAATGTGGCCTTGAATTGAATGCTAATTGTCAATGATTACTGTACATCAAAGCCCTGGAAGATCGAGTCACGTGATCTCTATTTTATATGGGATGAATGAGCTTATTCCCATTAAGAATATGCAGACCCTTATGTACATACACGAATTTTATTGAATTAGGGTTCTTTTGTAGTATAAGTATAGGATGTGAATATATATCGTATCCGCACATATATATCAATCACTTATAGTAAAGACAATTTTTTTTTTTTTTTTTCAATTGTAAAAATGACTAATTTTTTTTTTAATTTGGTAATTTAAGAGTAATTACTTAGTTTTTTTTTTAAATAAATTTTTTTTATAAAATACAAATTGGCGGTGTTTTATAAAATGTTCTCACACTTTTTTTTTGATACCCGCATTAAAAAGAGGGATGACAATTTAAATTAGACTAATTTGATTTAAATAGAAGGGGAAAAAAAGGAAAATTAAATTTATTTTAAATTTAATTAATTTGCCTGTAATTTATATGAAAATTCTCCTTGAATAAAGGAATAATAATTGAACTTCCTGAAAAATAATTTTTTTTTTTTTTCTTTCACCATTGTCTTGAATCTTTTTTTTTCATAATTCTGCACCACTCACGCACACAATATAAAAAAAAAAAAAAATTCGTCGACGATTTGCAATGAATGCGTCAGATAAATCAACGGAGATTGGATGTCTGATGATGCGTGGGGGGCCGGTCCGGGGTCTGTTCTTCTTCTTCTCCTCCTCCTCCTCTTTAACCCGTTGAGTTTTAATCTCGAGGATCAACCTCCTCGGTATAGACTTGGTGATACAACATTGCATAATCATTGGCGGGCGCTGCTGAAGCTTATAAAAGCCGGATGTCTCACTTCTTGGACTTGTAGAACTTGTTGCGCTCCGGAAACGAAAGCAAGTGCGGATTTTTGAAAAAGAAAATTTTTTTTTTTTCTAAAGTTTCTTTTTTTATTTTCAAATTTTTAATAGAAAAAAAAAAAAATGGTGCAAATTGTTGGAAAATTTGAGCACGAGAGAAGCGAGAATTTTGAAGAATATTTAAAGAGTGTGGTTGGTGAAGAACACGCCGATAAAGCAACAACTTTTGCAAATAGTAAACCAATTCTTGAGGTTCAAAAAAATGGTGATGATTTTACTATCACTGTTACCAATGAGGGAAAAAGTAATACAACAACTTTTCAACTTGGTGTAACTTATGATGAGACAATGCCCCATGGAGCTACAATGAAGGTGAATATTTTCATTTCATAAAATTTATAAAAAAAAATTATAATTATTAATTATAATAAATTAAAAATTAGTTTCAAATTTCCCGAATTCATTTATAGCTTCATTTTTATAAATTTTATCAGATTTAATTAGTAAAATATAATAATAATAATTATGTAAAAAATCAAATATAATATTTAATTAATGTTTCATAAAGACAAATTCTTGTAAAAAAAAGAAATAATTATTTTTTACATATTCTAAATATTATTAAACAAAAATCTTGGAATTTTTACTTTTCTTAAATTTTAAAACACAGAGAATACAAGTAAATGCCAAATTTTTAAATTGTGATAAAAAAAATAAATTAATAAAAAAATTAATAATTGCCAAAACAATTTTTAAATAAAAATACCTCGCAACAATTTGAACACAAAGTTATGTAAATTAAAAAAAAAAACTATTTTTTTTTCATAATCTCGAAAAGATAAATGAAATATAAAATTTATAATATATATAAATTACTTCTTCTCTTTTTTTTCGCTATTGTGCAATCAACTACCTTAAATTTCTCACAAAAGAATTATCAGAAAATTATAGGACAATTATTTACAATTGTATAATTTTTTTTATGACTATATAAAAATTGACGTAAGAGTGTGAAATTTTGTAACAAAAACACAATACTTAAATAAACATAAAAATGATAAATACTTAAAATTTTTTTTTTTTTTTGTAAATAATTTTCAGAGTTTAACGACGCAAGACGGAGACAAATTTACTACTGAAACGGAACTTCCCAATGGAAATAAATCCGTTCGTGTTTACGAATTTACAGAAAATGGCATTACTGTTGTAAGTATTATTTTTATTTGTAGTTGAAATTTTTTTTTTTTTTTTAATAAACTTATAAATAATTATTTAAAGAATTCAAAATTATAAACAAATACTTTAAATTATCATTTGTGATTAGAAAATTCAAATTATTTAAATAATTAAAAGTGTGTTTAAAATTTTGGAGAAAAATGTATTTTTTTGTTAAAAAAAAAATGAAATTTATTTTAGCATCTATCGGACGAGAAAACAGGAGCTAAGGCAACAAGATACTACAAGAGAATGTAATTTTCGTATGAATTTTTAGGCAATCTTTTAATTTTAAATCAAGTTTCAAATAAACTTTTTATCTAGATGTTTTGATTATTTTATTTTATCCAAATTGATGAAAAAACACCAATTTTCAATATATATAAATTAACTACATTAATTAATGAATTTATTCATCTAACATTAATCAATGCCTTCAATTACTGTCATTAAATAAAATATTTTTAAAAAAATCCATAAAATTTTCCATTACATTAAGTATTTAAAAAAAAAACTGTTTAATCACCTATTTTTTTTCTCATTTCTTGCTTTTTTTTTTTTTTTTTTTTTATTTTTTAATAAACTTTATTCTTTATATACTGTAGAATTTGTTTAATAATAAAGGTATCACATTAAATCATAAGGGTGCTGTACATATAAGACGATAGTACAATTAAGTCGGTGACGATTTTGTTGGTTTATATACTCAACAATTTTTTTTTTTTTTTTTTTTCGGATATGAACAAAACAAAATAAATAGGTTTTACAATGTACGATGAATAATTATGAATTATTATAATGCACATATAAAATTAAAAAATATAAAAAATGTTTCTCCTTCTCTCGATGGTAAGAAATTCATTTTTAAAGAGGGGGAGGGGAAGATATATCATGCTTGGACAAAAAAAAAAGATCTTTTTTTTTCATTTTTTTTTTGATTTCTTACTCTCCAGAGAAGGTGGTTTTTTTTTTCTTTTTTTTCCTACAAGAGCAATTCCATGCGCTTATTAACAAAATTCGTAATATTTTCTTAGCTGAAACAAGAAGCGAGCTCTCCACAATTTATAAATTCGTAAAAAAAAAAGAAAAAAATAAAAAACGATCACGCCCGGTAATAGTGACATTAAATTTCAACGACTAATTAAAAAAAAAAAATAAAAAAAATAAAAATGGCGTGATGAGCACCACGCGACATATTTTAATTTTTTTTTTTCTTTAATATTGCTCTTCGAGCGACAAATAATATTCATCATCAACTGCTTATTTACACAACAAAATTCAAGCTTACTTTCTTTCTCTCTCTCTCTTTCTCTCTTTCATTCTTTCTTCCTCTCAGGAATAACTTTTTAAGTTTCAATGCGACTTTAACAGCACACCGAAGCAATTAAGCAATAATGCGGTACGTTCAAATAGGTAAATATATCTTTCAATATCTATATATTATTCGTTTATCATACGTAAGTAGATTAAAACATCATTCACTTTTAATTAATTCCTACTTTGGATCAGGCTCACCCTTCAAGCTCATTCCCGAATGTTTCCATGTAGAAAATTATTAATTTTTTTTTTTCTCAAAAATTTACAAAAATATAGATAAAATTGATTTCATTTTAAGTTCTTTTTTTCAAAAAAAAAAAATCCGTTTTTTTTTTGTCGTTACCAAAAATTTCTCTAAAAAAAAAATGTGATTAAAAACACTCTTTTTGGTGTCAAAGAAATTAATTTGTAAAAAAAAAATTACTACTTTTAAAAAAATGTTTTTTGTAATTTAAATTTTTTTTTAAAAATTTAATGAAAAAACAGATTTTTTTTGGAAAAAAAAAATATATCTTTTCCCTAAAATCGAAAAAGATATCTATTGTAAAATGTATCAATGATTAACAAAAAAAAAAAGTGATTTCATTTTGTAAAATTAGTTAGGAATTTTCTTTTATCAGAAAAATGTTCATATTTTAAAAATTATATATTCTTATAGTAAGGAAAAAAAAAATTAACTTTTTTAAAAAAATTACTATTAAAAATAATTGATTTGTGGAAGATATGTGGATTTAAAAATTGAAATTTAAAAATAACAAAAAAAGAACGATAAACAATATAAATTAAAAAGGACAAACAGAATAAACACAAAGGGACAAATTTTTTTTGTTGGCAATGAAACGTGGTCAAAGAGCCGCTGATCGGATTTTGAAAAACTTACAAAAAAAAAAAAAAAAACAACATCAAAGACCAGTAGAAAAGAAAAATTATATCGAAAATGCGATACAATTTTCTAATATTGTTTTTTTTTCTTTTTTTCTTTCTCTTTCTCTTTATTACTAAATCCCAATTCACTCTGTGATTAGTAATTGATTGTCAGTGGGTGATGCAATTGGAGAAATATCTTTTTTAGGCACATCTTCCTCGATATTATTTGTTGTTGTTGTTGTTGTTGTCGTGACACTTTCGATTTTTTTTATTACACAATTGCCATTTTGAACAATTGGTTTGACATTTTTTGTTATTGCTTTTCCATTTGTTTTTGCAACGGAGGATGATTTTGTTGTTGTTGTTGTTGTTTTTGTAAGTGGAGCGCTGCTGACCTTTTTTGTTGGCGATGTTGCAGTTTTTAATGTTGATGTACGTTTTACCGTTGATGTTGCTGTGACAGTTGTTGCACCCGATGAACGACTTGTTTTTAATGGCGCCGAATTGACGCGCGACGAAATTTGTTTATTCGCCGTCTCTTTTATTTGTTTGTCAATAATTGTTGATTTCACCGCTGAGACACGTGGCTTTGTTGTTCCAACTGATGCTCCAATTGTTGCTGGTGCCGTTTTCGGCCTGAAGATATCAAAAAAGAGAATTCAGGTTTTTATTTATTTTAAAGTTTTTTTTTACAGGGATTTATTATTATATTAGTTTATTAATAACAAAATAACTTTTGTTTTTTGCATGAAATTAATAATTTTATTCATCTAAACTTACTAAAAGTATTATTTGTTTAATAAATAATTGCTTGGTATTTTATTTTTTTTTAAAAAGAATCTAATTTACACTTTTTGTAATTTTCAATATTTTAATATTAATAATGTGAAAAAAGTTTTTAAATAAAAATTTCGAGTTTATTATTTAAATTTTAATCTTGTTATTTTCATAGTGATTTAATTTTTATACAATTAATTAATTAAATTATAAATATTTTAAGAATTTAGTAACATTAAATAATATTATTAAAATAGAGATTATTTAAAAGATAAGATAAGAGATTTTAAAGAGATTATTTTTTTTTTAAAGAATGAAAATAATTTTTTTTCAGAATTAATTAATTATTTGTAAATAAATTAATTTTTTAATTTCTGAAAAGAATATAAAGAATTTGTAAAAAAAATTAAACAGATTTTTATATTTTAAATAGTTAGGGTCAGTCGGGGTAAATCCGAACGGGGGGTAAATCCGAACGCTAATTATTTCAGCTTAATTAAAATTTTTAAAAATAAGTTCGATATGAGAATTTTTACCTCAGATCCTCTTGAAGAGATTCTAAGTATTATCCCATTTTTTGTTTGTTAATTAGCAACAGCATAAACAAAGATAACAAGTATTGCAAAAAAGATTGAAAATCAAAGATGACACTCTTTCAGTATTTTGTCTCGTATTTGAAGAAAAAGAAGCTAAAAATTCATTTTATTATTTACAATTGTTTGTTATGAATACTAGAACAGAAACTATATTTGATTTTTGCCTTCTGTAAAATTTTATTAATAATATCAGACCGTTCGTATTTACCCAAGAAAATTGGAAAACTGGGGTAAATCCGAACGGTATTTTTAATAATTTTTTTTTACATCAAAGCCACACAAAATTGTTTTTATTTGATTACACTATTATTTTAACATTATAAAAGTACATAGAAAAAAGTTTTTCTTTCTATACGTATCCTCGTTAGTAATTAATAAGCAGAAACTTAATCTCTGTTCTCTCGAAGGAGTGTTTCAATTTTTTTGCCAAATGGTTTGTTGAAAAAAGTTTTTCAGGATCTTAATAAAATTTGGTATTCTACGGTTTTTGGGGTCGCTAATTACCAATTTGAAGTCAGTTTTTCAAAATTCAAAATGGCGGACGAGAATTAAAAAATTCATTGGATTCGCTCGAAAATTGTTACTCGGGGGGTTTCAGGGTTAGCAAATTTGATCATTTTTAAAAATAAGTTTTAGGAAAGTACGCCATTTTGAATTTAAAAAATTTGACTTTTATTTTTGTATTTACATTCAATCACTCCAAAATACTTTCTGTACCAAGTTTTGCAAAAATCCGTTATGATTTGATAAAGTTATTGAAGGTTTTAATTGTGTAATGCATTTTAATTTTTAACCTGTTTGATTTTTGTATTTATATATGATGCATTATTACATAATAGGTTTATTATCGTATTTTTTTTGAGTTTTTATATAAGTTTAACAATTGCAATACTTTAAATTTATTTTCCCTAAGATTTTTCTGAAATACAGTGGCGTTCGTATTTACCCCCATATTTTAGGAAAGTTGCAAAGTATCGAGGTAAATACGAACGCTAAGTTTCCTGCGATTGTAATTTATCAAAAAAATTTTCTACCCCATAAAATTGTTCTATGGAAGTAAAGTAACAACTTCATGCACCAGAATACCGGAAGTATTGTCTTTTAAAAGAAAAAACTTATGTTATTGTTGAAACTTACTAAAAGCGTTCGGATTTACCCCAGTTGACCCTAAATGATTTTGAAAAACAAATTTAATGAATAATTAAAAAAAAAAATTACTTTTAGGGTTAATTCTTTTAAGATGTTTATTATTGATAAAATTAATAATTTGAATATTATTGTATTAATTTTGATATATTTGTGTCCATTTAAGGGACATTATTATAATTATAATAAATTTTATTTATATTTATTATTTTTTTTTAGTATTTTAATAATAATGATTAAAAAAGTAAAAATTACCTAGTAGTTGCCGTGGCAGTTCTCGGAGCAGTGGAACTAATTTTCGCGGCAGTGGAAGTTGCAGTCGATTTTGGCTTTAGAGACGCGGCAGTAGCAGTGGAAGTTCGAGTTGTCGAGGAAGACTTGACTAGTGTTGTTTTAGTGACAGTCGATGGTTTAGTTGTTGTTGTTTTTGGAACAGTTGATTTTGTTAACGATTTTACATCGCCATTGAGTGTAGATTTTTTATCACCAGCAGCTAATGAAGTTGTCTTTGACGATGAAACTAGAGTTTTCGGTTTAGCGGCAGTGGTTGCTGTTGTTGTTGTTGTTGTTGTTGTGAGACGTGGTGTAATTTTAGGAGCAGTTGTACTTGTTTTTGGAACTGGTGCCGCTTTAAAAGTACCACTTGTTTTGCTACCAATATTTGTCATTGGCTTTGTATCCAATTGTTTTGGTCTCGATATCGTTGATTTTTTCGCCGCTGTTGCTGCCGTTGTTGCACTACTTCTTGCCGTTTTTGTCGGTGAAGTTGGCAACGATTTAACAGGAGCCTTCGTCGACGTTTTTGTCTTTGAAATTGGTGCCACTGTCTTTTTCGCTACTGTCACAGCTGCCGCAGTGACAACGGTACCTAAAATTTAAAAAAAAAATGTTAATATTTCCAGATAAGAAAAAAATGATTTTTTTTTACAAATACCTGTAATAGCAGCAACAATTTCGTTTTTCGTTTCTTCAATTTTCAAACTTTCGATATTAATTGATTCCTTTTGTTCGACAATGATAGACTCTTTTGGAATTTCACTTTCCGTGACAATATTCTCTTTTATTTCATTTATTTCACGTTCCAATCCAGTAAATTCTTGCAATGATTCCGATAAATTTAAAATAGGCGGATAATTTGTTTTCTGTTCAAAATCATTGTTTTCAATTAATTTCTCATCGGGAAATTTACCAACATCATTTTGTAAATGTTCTTCATCTAAACTCAATTCAAATAATGTTTGTGATTTCTCTTGAATTTCAGGATCAAATTCAATATCATGAATTTCACCCTCAAAATCTGGAGTTTCAATTAAATTTTCTTCTTTTTTCTCAATAAATATTTCTTTTTCCTGAATTTCTTTATTATCCAATGATTCATTTTTAATAACCTGAGGAATTTCCTCATTTATCGAAAGAGTCTCCTTATTTTCCAAAATTTCTTCCTTTGTTTCAAGATTTTCATTATCAAAATGACTTTCAATAGTTTCAAAATGATTTTCTTCTTTAACCAATAAATTTTCATGAGGAAAAATATTTTTATTCTCAAGAATTTTTTCCTCTACATCATTTTGTGAACTATCAATATTAGATGATTCCGAATGATCGTCAAATTGATTATTCGTCTCAATGGGATAATCACGATATTGAGAATTATTTTCACATTCTGAGATCTTTCGTGAATCTTCAGTGAAAGGCACTTTTGTATCAATTAAACAAATATCATCGACATTATCAGTTGACGTCGCGGAATAATTTACTGATTTCATATTTTCCTCGTTTAACGTCTCTCTCAATGTTTCCATATTGAAGGGATTCAACGAAGCTTGCGCTTCGGACTCTTCTACAAAAGGTGGAGAAATTTCTTTTTTTTCATCATTATCATTATCATTATTTTCAAAACCATTAACATTATCGGAGAAATCAACATCAGTTAAATCGTGAACTGCATTGAGATCAACATGATCTTCATCTCTTTCAAATGCTGCTTGCAAATCACTGGGAGTAAATGACATTGCCATTGGATCTTTTGCAATATCATAATCACCACGTTCTGAATCGGCAAATGAATAATCCATTGCTGACACTTCATTTCGTTGAAATTCACTAGTGAGAAAACTTGTTGTTGATTCATCGCCAAATTCAGCTTTTGTTGATGAAATTTCCGATTCATCAAGACATGATTCAAGTGGTTTCGATAATGGTGATGCTGCGCCGTCAATGTCCCTTGGTCTCGCCGATACTCCTTTTTCAAATTCCTCCTCACTTGGAATATCAATATTATCCATTACTTGTGGCGTTTGTTTCAATGGTGAACCAGCAACGGGGAAATCTTGTATAATTTGACGTTGTGAAAACATTGATGGCGGAATGAATTCCTTTGCATCGGGATTCAATGAAAAATCCATTTTATCCTCCTCGAAATCTTCTTTTTCAATTATTAATTCCTTTTCGCTACACTGAAAAATTAATAAATTTAATTTTTTTACTTTAAAATCACTTTTTTTTTTTTTTTTACTCACCTCTGTGTTTAGAAACTCGGACGATTGACTTTTCGGTTCAGTCTCAATTTTCGAATGAGATTCTTCGTCGTTTTCGGAGTCGTCTTCAATAAGAGGCTTTGGACTTGCCTCTTTCTCCTTAGATTCGTTGGACGTCTCGTTCACCTGAACAGGTGAATCTTTATCCTTATCTGGCTCGACGCGGTAATAATTCCACTCGTCCTCGGAATCCTCGCTGTCCGCTACATTATCTGCCTCAGGAAGCAGTTCATTTTGTCGAGATTCTGAAAAAAAGATTATTTCATAAAAATTTCATTTGAAAAAAAAAAAAAAAAAAAGAGACGAATAAAATTCTCACAATGACAACGAAATTTACAAAACAAATTAAATTACAAATTAACAGAGAAAAATGAAAATATACTTAATTATTGATTCAAAGTTCATTGATCCCTAATAATAAGGGAGGAGACTTCTCGAAAATATTCTTCTAATTTATACACCCAATTACCTTTTTTTTTTCAAATATTGAATTTCAAATGTGAAATTTGAATTTAGAAAATTGAATAATAGAAAAAAGGACGATTTCTGAACAGGAGCAATCGCCGGTGACTAAAAGCAACTACGCCTGCCAAGAGAGATGCATTATCGATCTAGTCTGGAGCCCCAGAGAAAATCCCCTCTTTTCTCCGCTCCTGACACCACCCACCTGTACACACTAGTAACCAGCCGCTCCTCATCTCGATTCACTCTTTCGATATATATATATATATATACCTGTTTTTTTTAAAAAATCGAAAACGTTCTTTCAAAAAAAAAGGGTGGAGATTTTTTTTTTTTTTCCAATCAATAATTTTTCTCTTGTAATTTAATTTTACTCTTTTATCCAGAAAAGACGAATTGTTGAAATTTTTAAATTAACACAAAAGCAATTTGAGGGAAAATTAAATTTTGCAAGAAAAATAGCATATATATTAATAATGGCGTTCAATTTTGAATAAAAATTGTTTTCGAATAAGAATTATGAACGGGGGCTGGAATAACGATGAAAAACTAAACCTACGTTTCAAGCCACTCACTTATATTTTAGATTTAAATACCATTTTCTACCAACGCGCGCAAAAGCTAGTTAGCATTCTCACTTTGAAAGAGATAAAAACAAAACCAACTTTTAAAGATCCTTTAATAACGTAAAATCTCCAATTATTAAAACTCCCTTAAAAATGGAAATTATTTCCAATTCTTTCTTATTCATTTTCGAAGGAGGACAATAAAAAAAAACCTCCCTTTTTTTACACAATTTAATAAGAATTTTTCTACTAAATAAAATTTGACTTAAAAAAAAAAATGCCAAATTTTTTGATTTACATTTTTTGGAATAGTTAAAAAACATTTTTTTCAAATGCGTGTGTGGGAAGAGAAGAAACACGCCCTTTGAGAGGGCAAACAATGAATATTATGCTCAAAAGTGGTTCAAGATGACGGGCAAGAATTTTTTTTTTTTTTACATTAATAAATGTCTAAAACGCGATATAAATTTTTTTTTTTTTTCCCTCTAAAGTTTCAATCTTTGCTTCTTGCATGAGCTTCAAAAACCTATAGTGTCACGTTGTCACGCGAATCCGGCAACCAACGAGGTCTAATTTTAACCGGGGGTCTCACTTGGCTGTGCTATTCAAGGCCCGGTTTCTTCTGGTTTCTCTTTCGAGAGAGAGAGAGTGAATCGAGCATTTCGTACTCCTTTTCGATACTATCTTGACACGAGAGTCTATTTAAAAGATGAATGTTCCCCTGCAAGACGGTATCAGATTCTAAAGAAACAAATTTTTATCAAAAAAAAAATACAGCGATTTTTTTTTTTATCTAAATTAATAAAAAGCATTTAATTTCTTTTTTTTTCGTATAAATAAGGAAAAATTATTTTTCAATAATAAAATGAATTATTTACAATTTGAAAAATAGGTAATGAATCATTTTTAAAGAATTTTGTATCAAATCCAGAGCAATTAAATCTATAAAGGATAAAAAAAAAGAAGATAATACTCTTGTTTTTAATGCACATGTCTTGTCATCGATTCAAAAAATAATAATTGATAATCAAGAAATTATTTGAGAAATTGTTTTATTTAAAAAAAAAAAACATTTCATTGATTTTACAAAACAATTGTTTTGCTCATTAAAAAAAATGTAATTTCATAAAAAAAAACAATAGTCACTGTATTTTAGATAAATATAAATCCAGTGTGAAAATAAATAAAATCTTTTTAGAGATCTATAAATAAAGTGATCTTTATACGTATAGCGTCAATTTATTCATGAATTTTGCTGACTTTGTAGCCACATTTTACGAAGAATAAAACCAAGTTGAATTTTGCAACGCTTAAAAGAATAAAATATAAAAAAAAATTAATACTCAATTAAAAATGTTAATTGCAAATAATTTCCAAAGTTTCAATTTGTAAAATAAATTTTTTCCCTTTTCATAAATAAATAAAAAAATTAATAAATTTTCCAAATTACAAAATAAGATTATATATATATACACGAAGCTTTTTGTAATGGAATAATAAAAGTTTGTACTCGACATAAATGGAACTTTGAATATAAACTTCTAGCCAATTATAAAGCCGTAAAGGAGTTCCCGGAGTTAAGCGCAGAAAAGGAAATGTTTTGTTCATTTTACCAACGATATAAATAATATGAATTAAACTCACGACGTGGGATTTTTGAAGACCGAAAATAGAGCGAATTGCTTTTCAATTGAATATTTACCTTATTTAGAATTTTTTTTTTTTCAAATAAAAAAAAATAAAAACTCTGAATAAAAAAAAATTTTAATGAGAAAAATACGATTACGAGAAATGTAAAAAAAATATATATATATATATATATATAAAAGTGATAAGACAATAGTATGTCTATTTCGAGTATTTAGAGGAAAAAAAAAAAATTGCAAAGAATTGTGAGCGACAGTAATAAAGGACTGATTTTTATGCATCGGAGATACGATACAACTTTTTTTTTTCTACTTCAAAGTTTTTCCAAAGCAAATTCAACATTCAAATGCAACAACCACAAGTCACGCTTGAAAATTCAGTGAGAAACTACGTTTCTTAAAATTGCGTGCTCTTCTTTTCAAAAGAACTTTAACTAAATAAATGTCTAAAGAGAAAAAAGTTTCATAAAATTGAAATTAAATTTTTTAATATAATTTCTATATATAGTATCGAAAAAAAATTATAACCTATACACAAAACAAATTTAAAAAATATAAATTAATTAATAAAATAAAATTATTAAAAAATTATTACTCATTAAAAAATAAGTAATTAAAAAGTAAAAAAAACATGTCAGCTTTAAAGGCTGCAAGTACTTTTTAAAATGCAATAATTGACGGTTCTTAATCAATAGTAAGCATTGAAAAATTTTAATTACTATGTTGATAGTGTTCGAGCAGTTGTAACTCTTAATTTTACGACTGACAATCATTTCACTTGCGTTAAAGAAAAAAAAACAACATTCTGAAAGAAAAGTTATTTTTAACTATTTCTCTTGGCGATACGATAGATTTCCTCTCATAGTTTAGAAAGAAGGTTCTCGTCATCGGAAATGAAAGGTCAAGTTTCATTCATGATAACGGTTATTGAACGTTTTTTTTCAATTTATTTTTTTGTTAAAGAATATTTTCGTTGTTTAATTCTAACTTAAACTGTCAGAAATTCTTCCAAAAAAAAATGTTTAAATAGTTATAAAAATAAATTTAAACAAAAATGTAAAAAGAGGTTAGGAATCCCAAAAAATAAACAAAAATTGAGTAAACAATAAAAAGATGAATTTAGTTACCAAAAAAAAAATTGTGTAGAAAATTTTTACTCACATTAAGATCACAAAATGATAAAAAAAAAAAACACCGCAACTGGCAAAATTATCCATGCAAATGTCACTAGGAAAAAATAATAATAAACACAAATCGCGAAACAACTTTTTTAACATAAAGGGCGTTAACTGCATTCAGCATCTGCTGTGCAAGATTTTGAATCTATTTAAAAATCCTAATAGTAAAAAAGAAAAACTCAAGGACAGATGTTCCCACGTTATAATCTTTGTTAGAGACCAGGCACTTGCTCAACACCTGACTCTCACACAAACGAAACTAAAGCAACTCGCGGAATCGAGACGCAAAAAAGAAAAAAACTGACACACACATACGTACATAAAGAAATTCTCACGACTCTCGCGTTGAGATAATAAAGATAATGATTTATTTAAGAATGTGAAGTGTAACGGCTTAACCGGCCGGCCGGCGCCGATTCAAAATTCAAATTCTCAACACGTTCAACAACGACGATGGTGGACCACAAATGCAACAACGTACCTTATCAAAGACTCGTTTCTACACACACACACACACCGGGGGATTTTATTTTTTTTACTCCACAATTCCTTTTTGGAAAAATTCACTTCCTGATTATTGATGAGCACGAGATTAAATATCGACACCTTCACAATTTACAAGAACAATGAGAATAAAAAAAAAATCTTTTTCTTTTCTTTTTTGTTTTCTATATACACGCGAAGAAAAGATGTCTACACAAAAGTATCGCTCTGCTTCTCAAGACCAACTGCCGCGCGCGCTCCCTCCACGAGTTCTCCGCACCCTACCCCGCCATTGGTCCAAGTTACCCCTCTTTTCCCGCCAATCGAGCACGACTGTCCAAAAAAAGAACCAATTAAACAATGGCGCGCCAAAATTCAAAAAGTGTGCAATTTAAAAAATTTTTTCCATTTAAATTTCAAAAAAAAAAATGAATTTATTCCTCATTAAAAAAAAGTTTGCATCTCTTTTTAATATATTTAACTTTCTAAATGCATTTAAATTGCAAGCCATAAAATATTTTTGTTCCATCATTGGAATTCTACCGGAAACTGACACGTAATAAAGCCTCCACAGCAGGTGGTATGATGTCAGGATTAACATACTTTTGCCAAGTTTAATGTCGAGATGAAACAAAACTTGTTTATTTGGAATAAATAATAAGCAAATTGCAACTGGAAAATTAACCACTGTACTTAATCAAATCCAATATAATGTTCATTCGTAAAAAAAAATCTATATTAATTTTTCTTTCAGTCAATTAATTATATTATTTTATTAATCACTTTTCTTTTTATTTCTTTCTTTCACTTCATGTATAAACAAAATTATTAAGATAAAAATAAAATTTTATGTATACAGTGGAACCTTGATTTCATTTTTTGCGCATAAGAATTAATATTAAGCTTGTTTCACATGTAATTTTTTTTTATGAGAATAAGACAATAGTGCCACCTGGTGGCAATTGCAAACAACTATCGCGCGAAATTTAAAAATTATTTTCAAAACTAATTTTGTTTTTAATTAATTATTTTAATTAATTATTTTAATTATTTATTTGAATATTAATTTTAAAATTCTATATCGAATTTTATGATCGCATTTCCGAGAATATCTGACATAAATCGAAAGTAAATAACTGAAAAGATTATCGATAAAGGTATGAATTTTTTTTTTTCGTGAAAGATTTTCAGAATTGAAATGGGAATCTTGATAAACGATCCCAAGGAAGCGCCCACATTATATATATGTATAGTCAAATGGAAAACAGAGGCGTGGGCAATGACATAGAAATATGTCGTTTGGGATTGCCTTGTGGTGCATTTGCAAGTATTTTTTTTTTTTTTTTATTTTTATCAATGTCTCTTGCGCACATACTGGTTTTGGGCCACTTCCCTATAAGTGTAAGGTACAGATATTGGTAGCACGCGTGAATTCTCATTAATATGGATCTTATGTGGGATGAACGTACTCTTATATATATATATATATATATATTCGCCAAGAGTCCGGCCCACTTTCTGCTACTTTAGCTCACTCTTTTAGCTTTCACCACCTTGTGCCAGTCACTGCACTTCCTGCACTGATTACCGTCTATATCACTAGTTAGCGAATCAGACCAGATTCGTCTCTTCTTTTGTGAATAGTTTAATAAACTCAAAACGATATAGTTCTTTTAATTGGATATTAATCACTCTCTTGTTATTAGCTTCCGGTCTGCAAGTTAGACAGACTAATGAAAATGAAGTGAAATATTAGTAATAATTAATAACTGTCACTTCGATTTTTTTTAGGTTAGGAAGTGCTGCGCAAAGTTCACCTTAACGCACTTACGCACCCTAATGTAACTGTGGCGGGAAATTTAAAAATTGTATTTTTTGTTTTAAATTAATATTCAGAGTATTAAATATTAAAACCCTTTGAAGAGCAGTAGAACTATATTTCAAAAAAAAAAAAAAAAAAAAAATTGATGGGGTGTGAAAATAATTTGAATTGAAGCGAGAACAACGCGGTGTACCGCACAATTAAATGAAGAGAGAGAAAGAGCTTGATTCGAGGCTGGAGGAAAAGCTCGGTTTTTTTCTCGCCCCTAATTGGAATCTCTGATTCTCTCTACCTGACATTTGCCCTCAACAGCCATAGAGACTAAAATACTGTATACGCATTTGTCGGAGGGAAATATATATATATATACCTACTCGTGTGCACGCATCAGTGCAGGGGGAACGAGGAAAGTTATTCCGGTGCTTTATGCAGGAGAAGATTTAAATTTTGCTTTAGCCCTCACAAATTTTTGACTAAAAAAATATTTCCATTCTTATTTTTTTATTTTAAAAAATTTAATTAGATAATAAATTTAGAAAAATATTTCCATTTTTTTCTATTTACACTATTTTTTTTTTTATTAACAAAAAAAAAAAATTAAACAATAAATTTAGAAAATGTAATTCATTCTTTCTATTTAAACGATTTTTCAAATTATTTTTTATTTAAAAAAAATTTTAATTAAATATTCTGACGCTTTACGATAAAATTGAACGTAGCTACAAAAAAAAATTTTAGGTTATGTTTTACAAAAAAAATTAAATTAAATAATCGAAAAAAAAATTCGAAACTATGAGAAAATATAATCTAAAATTTTATGCAGTTAAATTCCCTACATATATATATATAAAAAGAAATTTTTCAGTACTCACTCGAATCGGTGGAATTTTGTGAATCATCTAAATTATCCTCCTTTTGTAAATTATCATTCTCAGATTGTGACTTTTCAGGGAAAAGTTCACGTGAGATTTTTTCAAATGGAACACTTGCATTATCAACAGCATCCACATCTGTTTCTGGACCCAAATCTTCATCAGATTCGTCATCGTCATCATCGTCATCATCATCATCATTCTCTTCCTTATATTTTGCTGAACCATTTTCATGTTTTCCATTAGTTGAATTATCATAATTAAAATTCTCATTATCAATGTGTAATGAACCATTGGTTTGATGATTTTGTTGTTGTTGTTGTTTTGAAAAATTCATCTCAAATGGACAACATCCCATATCGACTGCATGAATATTTTCTGAATTATCATCACGTGGTCCAAAATTCATATCAAATGGATAAGAACCAGTATTATCCATTGGATTGAAATTTGTCGATTGTTGGACGTCCTGCGGAGAATTGGGATCCATTCTCAACGCAAGGGACGACCGATTATTTTTTAACTTTGCTTCAATATCTGTTGGATGCGTTAAGAAAACAACAATCACTGAGATGTTGTCTTGTGATTGTAAATTTTTTGCAACCTCCACCAAATAATGACTCGCCTTTGTGTAATTTTCTGCAACAAAAAAAAAAAATAATTAATATTCAGAAACCTATTTTTTACAATTAGTAAATAAAACATGAAATGGGAAAAATTTAATATTTGAAAAGTGGAGAAATTAATTCCTTGTTATGAGAATTGTAATTTTGTCATTTAAACAATAAATGAATTTTCAATGTTAAATTACATTCTCCTCTATTATAATGTTTCGTTGGCTAGTGACAGAGGATTCAATTATTTTCAATTATCGCGTAAATCACATTTCGCGCTTGAATAAAGAAAACCGTTATTCCCGGTCAAATTATCGCTATCAGTTAAATTTTCAGCTGAATTCCCCGTTCGTTTATTTATTTATTTTTTGTATTCTATATAGAAGAAACAAAAAAAAGGTATCTTTTATTTCTAAAGTATAAAACTGTCATAAATATAACCTACTTGTCAGAGAGTGGAAGTTAAAAAAAAATTACTATGCGAAACGAAATGCAAATCTGATTGGTTGATCACGATAATGCACAACCAATCAGATTTGTGCATTTCTGTCGGTAATTTTTTTTTTTTCAAATAAAAACTTGTAAATGCTCCCTTATACATTTTAGAAAACAATAATCCATTTAACTGTCAGTCGAAAATTTTGTTGTTTTTCTATTATTAAAAAAAACAATTCTCTACTAAAAGCCATTTTCCCACGTTTAACTTAAAGAAAAGGTTTCAAGTATTTAATTTTGTGAAAAAGCTTTTATGTTGGTATTGGCACGTGTGACACTTGAGACATTGTGTGGTAAATTCAGACGATAAGTGCGGTGAGGGAGGTCCGTGATATTTTAACTCTGCCACCCACGACCCTTGAAGAAGAGGAGGAGAAAAAGGGGGCCAGTGAAAGTGCATTTTAGGGCGAACGAAGCAAGAGGCTAATAGCACCGTGAAAATGTACAAGAGGGTGAATAATATATACATATATATACATAACCGTGTGCACATAACTTTTATAAGTATCACATAAAATATACGAGCAGCAATCACTCGACATAGTTAACGATATATGTGTACAGAAGCGTTCTATTCATTTTTATCTCTTCATCCCTTGTTATTCCGAGCGAACATATTTAGGGTTAGAAGAGAAAGGAGATGAAAACTTTTTGATTTATATCCCAAAAATTAAGTATCGACTAAGCAAGTTATGTCCTCGATAAACACTAAATCACCGGTAAGACAATTTTATCAAATTTATTTTTTTTTTATTTTTGAGGTTAAATATATTTTTTCATACATGTCAGATTGAAATAAAATTTTATTCTAACTTCGTATATCAATAAAATAAAACGGTTTTGTTTGTTTTAAAAAAAGGAAATCCCATAAAAATAAAGTCGGTAAAGTAGATTTAAATTATTAAAAAGTTATGTAAGGCAAAAATAATCAGTAAAAACTTTCATTTTCTTGGGGATTTAAATAATTTTAAATTTGGTAATTTTAAAAAAAGAATAATATAAAATAAAAAATCTAGTATAGATTCTGGAGGCTTAGAGCAATGACCCCTTTGAAACGCCTGCGTAACTGTCTTGTTCCATCTCTCTCTCTCTCTCTTTCTCTCATTTCTCCCTTTCGTTCTTATTTTGTTTTCCGTGTACCATTTTATATGTTTCTCTCATTTGGAATTTCTCTCTCTCTCTCTTATTTTATTTTTCCTTTTTATTTCCATCCGTCGCGCTGGCGCTTCGTACAAAAAGCCTCTTATCCATATGGGGTTGCAACCCTTTCTGCTTTACCAACCGAAGATGTAAATTATTTTTTTTTTTATTTTTCATTAATCAACAAAATTTCTTTCTTTCAATTTTTGTAAATAAATTTAATATCTAAATCCAATTATTTAGCTTCTTTTTTTGTATAAAGCATTTTCTTGTAACATAGTTTATAATTTCTGATTAAATATATATTTCATAAACAATAAAAATGCAAATTCAAAAAAAAAATAGAAAATTGCAATTTACGCAAGTACTTCAATTGATGACGGTATTTTTTTTTTTTTTTTAAATCTAAAATTAAATCCGAATGCTTTTCATTAATATTTATAGCAGTTAGTTCCACTTCAAAGAAAAAAAAAGGAGCTAATGCATTATTTTTTGTTTTACAAGTGCTGCACGCAAAGTCATCGTGCATCCATTTCGTTTCGGCCCATTCTCAGAGTGTGGAGTGAAAATTTACATACAGAGCTCTCGTACATATATAATTATTACTTTAAAATACTTATGGGCGAGGTTTTACAACATATACATTTGAGCACACTGTAATATACCTAAATTATACAAATATATCTATATATATATAAGTGTGAAGTTACAAACGATGAGCATGACACAAAACATTGACCAGTGAACTCAAAATTCTGATGCAATGTTTTTTTTTTTTAATATATCCCGGGACAAAAAAAATATATTTAATTATAATAAAAAAAATTTCCCAAATTAATTAACATAACATTTTAATTATAATAATTATTAGTATATAATTATAATAATTAATATTTACTTAACATTTATTTACTATTTATTTATTATTTATCCTATTATTTATTATAATTATGTTAATTAACCTTAGATATATTAAATATTTTTTATGTATTATTATTTTTAATTTATAATATTAATATTAATATTAATATTAATATTATTATTATTATTATTATTATTATTATTAATCGAGACATTTTATGTATATTTTGTTACCCCCACACAATAATAAACCATGTGAGATAAAATCAAGTGAAAATTGTCCCAACAAGAGAACAATAACCCTAATTTTCAAAGAGTTAGTTGACAACCGCTCATTATTGTAATCTCATATCCATTCATTGAATTTCTATCGATTATATGTTTTGCCATTCGATTATCCCTTTGAAACTTTATATATATAACCACTTTTGGAAATGAGAATTAAAAAAAATGAAAAATTTTCATAAATATAATTTTTGAATAATTTTTTTCTAATTTTAATTATGTAATTGAAAAAAAAATTTTATTTTGAAATAATCTATTACTTGACAATTATCAAATTAAAATTTCTTTGTATTAAATAAATAAGTATTTATATCAAATAATTATTATTTGAATTAATTAAATTTTTTGTCAGTGATATTAATCTATATTAATAAAATCAGACTTTTGTCTGTACATTGCTTCAAATTAATTTTTTCTTGCATAGTTTATCATTTTAAGTAGTAAAGATAACAAATATGCCATAAATAAAAATTCTGTCTGTCTGTCTATCTGTCTGTCTGTCTGTCTGTCTGTCGTCAATATTTTGTACCGGCACAACTTTAAAACGGCTCAACCGATTGAGGTGAAACTTGGCAGTGTATTCAGTTTTAACGTAACTTAAAATCTTAGCCATATTTGATTAAAAAATATTAACATGAACGAAAGTTATGACATTTTTTCAAAATA